ACATTCGAAGTATATAAGCTAGTTAAATATGTATATTTTCATGTAAATAAATAAAAATGACATTTTTAAGAAGTAAAAGGGATAAATTAAAAAGGTACTTAATTATTGATAAATATGTAAAATTATAAAATACAAAAAATAATTTTCTTATCATAATTATTATTTTAAGAAAAACCGCTTGTTAAAAAAATCATTCTGTATAAATAAATAATTGATTTATCTACAATTCTATATCTAATAAGTAAAATAAATAACTAATTTATTATAGTGTATACATTTAATGATTTGAATTTAATTAGACTTAAGTTCTTTTATTAAGCGTCAAAATAACTTAGTATACATTAATGACTCATAAGACAATGTATTTTAAAATCCCCTCCATTTTAAAAACACATGAAAAAAAGTTCAAACATTCGATGTTAATNTTTAAAAACACATGAAAAAAAGTTCAAACATTCAATGTTAAAATATGTTTTTATTATAATTGATATGATTAATATTCAAAAATTGTCTTAAAGTCTATTTTTAATTGAACATAAATAAATCTGACCATCGAAGTTGAAAAATACTGTTTGATAATTCCTTGTCATTTAATTTGATTGGATATTCCCTAAAATATCAACGAAAATATAACTTATGCTCTTAATACCACTACCTGATTATCTTGAACCTAAGGTCATCACAATAGCACATCAAATCGACACATAGTGTTAGCGCAGTTTGAACCAGTAGTCCATAGAGTAACCAACGACTGGTATAATCATTTTACAACTGTACCTTGATGAGGGTCACAAAAAAAATGTCAACTTTAAAAACATTGATGCTTATTGTCTTTGTACTCGCGGCCTTACAATTACAAACCTACTGTAAGTGTAAAATTAATTCACAATTGATTTCAATTATTAAATATGTTATATATAAATAATGATTTATTTTATGATTAAACTAGATAAATTAGTAAAATCAAGATCATAAATATAAATATAATACTCAAATTACACTAATTTTATAGTCAATATTTTATTGACATTCTTTATTAATTTGATACATAATAAATTAATTACTAAGCAGATAACTAAGAATTTTAACTAATTAATAGCTCTTTAAAAGAGTTTAAACTGCATTTTATTAATAATAAATAATAAAACTTTTCATAATGTCGGCAGATAATATTTTATATGAAAAATTGTACATAATATTTTAAAATAAATATGTAATATTACATATTAAAGATGGTTACCAGTTGATATACAGTTGTACGCTTCAAGTGTAGATTAGATTTAAGTTGAATTTAATTCAATTTTGATATGGTAAAAATAAAACAATTTCATTTCATCTTATATATTTTTAAAATGACAACAATTAATATTTTCTATATGAGTTTCTAATTACATAAATAATAAATTTACACAAATATAGGCTTACAGAACCTATAATACTAATTTAAAATGAAAGTTTAAAAATTTTGTATTATTTGGTTCAATTTTTATTAAATATATAGGACCGATCTACCGATAAAACTGCACCTGTTTTATATAATTTATAAAGATTAGGTCCAATTTTTTTTTTATTAATTTTTTTTATGACCTTTAAAAATCGAGCAAAATTTTTAATTAATTTGAAAATTGAACAATTTTTTAAAGTCAACTAAAAGTTGAATAATATTTTTTTATACAAATTTTTGAACTTATTTAGTACTTTAACTGTGATATTTTATGTAATATATAAGATATTAGATGACAATATGAAAAACTGTTACAATTTAAATATTTAAGTATATGTAATTAACGTTTTTTTAATTATGAAGTCTGATACATACTATCACTAAATTGGTGATTTAGATGGAAATAAATCATATATAGAAAAATATATTATAATTTTCTTACAAATTATATGATACCAAAATGTTTATATTCAAAAATGTTAGTTACGTATTATATCTAAATTAGAATTAATGCACACAATTCAACAAAATATAGTTTTTTTCGATAATCTATTTATTTTATTAGCTTTTCTCAGTTCTTTAGTAATTGTTAATGAGTTGTTTGAAAAACATAAAATATGCAAAAACTAAAATGTTTAATTCGAGTATATTAAACAACAAATTAAAGTATGTAAATAAGTGTTAGAAAATGTTTTACCTTTTGAAAAAAAATGTATTTGTTCATTTTTACTAATTATCCTTTTAAACATAATGGTAAATAAAATCATTAGAAACATGGCTATGTGTTCACAAAATATGTAAATTAAAATTATTTTTATCTTTACATGAGATTAAAAGCTATTGTAAAAAATTAATATTAATCAAAATAGAATTAAGTTGCTTAATATAACTTTTTTTTTTATCAATAAATTAAAATATAACAAAAAAGTGTAATTATAAATATTTAAAGAAAAACTGGCAAAATATTATGATTTATTTGTATTAAAGTAAATATATAGGTAGAAATGTTATATAATAATAATACATAGTATATAACCATTATTAAATACATTTTATTTACATATGTTAATAAATAAATAATTTTCTTAGAACAAATAGTAACTACTATTTTATTTTAAATCAATTTTATCAACGTGCAAAACTGAAAAATGTATATTAATAATACACTTCTTGATTGATTTACGTGACAAAGAATAATTTTATATTTTATTGTTTTTAAATAACCATGTGCATTACTGCAAAAGGAAACATTTTTTTTTGAATGTCACGTTTATATAATCTAAAATCGTAAATTTGTCACCTTTCTGTAATTAATATTCTAAATATGAATCTTTTGTTCTGAATAAAAGAAATATTTCTAGTAATACAAAAAAGGTCGTTAAAAAATATCAAGTTGGCATTAGTTTAGACCGGACCAGTTCTTCTTTGGCTGAGCTTTAATATTTACACATCAAAGGGCATATACTATAAAGACTTATTTATCATTGATCACTCAATATCTCCTAAAATATGGATATTAATAAATTTCTTTTGTACATCGAATACTGTGAAATGGTAATAAAATCTAAAATTGGATTACCCGAAAACTATCGTTAACAGCATATATGTTTTATATCAACCGCTATTTTTACGCATCAAATAAAAATTAAACTTAATTTTTTTTAACATTACAAGATAATAAAATAATAGTTACTACAAAAAAATTATGTAATGTTTGATTAAATTGTTCATTATGAATAATATGTTTATTATTATATTATTATTATATTATTATTATTATAATAATATGATAATTTATCATTTAACTGACAATAAAATTCATTTTTTTTTTTCTAAAATTATTTATTATTTTTTTTAAAAAATCATAATTAATTCAATTAAAATTATATTATAAAATATATATATTTAAGGTAATTGTCAATTATTGGGAATTAAACCACCTATATTATTGAAAAAGTCACACGAAAACACTGATAATTCTACAGAAAAATCTAATACTAATGAATTGTTAGAAAATCTCAGAAGTTCAAGTATAAATGTAGTGAGTGGTACAAAGAACATTACAGAAACAACCGTTGATAAGGTAAAAGAAAATAATGAAAAACTGATGCATGGTTTAATAGATTGGTCCAAGTCATCTATTGAGGATGTTATTATCAAAGCAAAATGTATTATTCCAAAAGATGCAAATAGTATTACTAGAGCTGCTCTCCTTCAACAATGCTTATCTCCCAGCTTTGGTAAGTATCCCGAATTTTGGTTATTAATAAATAAGTAGAATTAATTCTACTTAATAATTATTATAGACAGCAAGTTAATTATAATTAACCCATTAAATAAATTCTTGAGTTAAATTTTATTAACGGGAATTTTTTACCAAAAAATAATTAAGAAAATCTTTTTTTAATTTGTATAAAATTTACTTTACTCCAGATTACCTACTTCGATGAACGTATTTGCGTAAAGATTATTTAGATAGTACAGTTATCATAAAAAAAATCATGTAACTGCGATTAGTTATAAATTATTTTATAAATCCCAGCTAATTTATTATCTCTAAATGAAATACTTTAATAAAAATAATAAAAATGTATAAAAAAAATTCCTGTTGAAAAATGTTCGTTTTTTTCATAACATAATCATGTGGGATCTTTGCCCAAAAAATATTTTTTGATTTAAAAAAATAGGGAGCCATTAACACTAATAAACTTATTTGTAATTTCAATATTAGAACATTTATTATATTTGAATTTGTTATTTATTCGTGTTTTATGTGCGTACATTAATTCTCATGAAAAAATTTTAAATTCTGAAAAACTTTATTATTTGAATTACTATAACTGTATAATACAAGGCCTATTGAGCATTAAGTTGTAGTAAATTTTTCATTTAACAATCTTTGCATACAATAATTTTTTAAAGGTTATGGTAATGAAACACGATGTTTTGGTGAGCTTGGTTGTTTTACAATGGATAATCCATGGATTTCATTTTTAAGACCATTTCCCATGCCCATGAAACCGGATGAAATACAAACTAAATTATACATGTATACAAGGTATATTTAAACTAACTTTTGTTTATTTTTAGATATTTAAATTTTTCTTCATGTTAATACTTTCTAGAAATACACCAGAGCGATACAATGTAAGTCTATGGCCCGAAATATCTATAGAAGGGTCTGATTTTGACGCTAACAGACCTCATACTGTTTTTATAACTCATGGATTTTCAAGCGACGGTAACAACTCGTGGCTTTCTGATCTAAAAGATTCATATTTGAAAAATGTAAGTATAAAATTGTTGATACATTTAGAATTAATCAATATTTTTTCTTCATGTGCTTTTTTATGTTATGTATTCAACAATAACAAGCTTAAACTTTATCAAAAATATAATCTAGTATTTCCTTCTATTTTTCTAAACTATAAAGTTTAATGTATATGAATTACATCAACACAAAATATTTATCTATAAAACGTATAGATTGCTATTTATAATAATGTTTTATATTATAAAATAAAAATTGTAAATAATTTTTTAAATTTTATTTCAGCGTGATGCAAACGTTTTTTTAGTCGATTGGGGTAAAGGTGCATCGAGTGCTAATTATTTGCAAGTGGCCTCCAATACTAGGATTGTAGGTGCAGAGTTGGCCAGGTAAATATATTTAATCAATACCATATTAGTATAACTCAAATTTAATTTATTGTTATCGATATAAGATTTGGAAAATACTTGGCTAAACAATATGGGCTAGATCCTTCAAAAGTTCACTTGATGGGTCACAGTTTAGGAGCTCACATATCTTCTTACTTTGCAAAGAACTTTCCTGGTGTTGGTAGAATAACTGCTTTTGACCCCGCTCAGCCTGGTTTTGAAGGATGTCCAAAAGAAGTAAGATTAGATAAGAGTGACGCTGAATTTGTAGATGTAATTCATACTAGTTGCCGCCCGACAGTTCCATTTTTAGGTTTTGGTCTCATAGCTCCAGTCGGTAAAAAAATTGCATCAAGCACCAATAACTTTTGCGTAAATTACAAATAATAACAAATATTTTTAGGTCATGTGGATGTATATATGAATGGTGGATTAATACAACCTGGATGCACTGTGCCACCTTTTAATACATTAAAAATTACAGGAATAGCAGATTTGGCAGCTATTCCAGTAAATGGTATATAAATTTGAATTAAAAATCAAAATAAAATAGAATATTCATAAAACCCAGAATAGAAGGGTAATAGGATAGTGGGGACAAGTATAGATGATATTTATCAGTGATAAACATCATTGCCTTAAAAATGGTTTGATGTAAAAATGTTAAATTTCATAATTTGTATATTTTTAATTTTACAATGTCTGTGATTAAAAATTTCACTTCAATGCTTGTTATATTATACTTAATTGATTAAAAAGTTATATTCGTTGGTGGCCGCCTTTAAACTCTTACTGTACTTATGTTTGTCATTGACTACATAAAAGCTTTTTGTCTTTAGCATACTCTAAAAAAACTTCATAATAATCAGAGTTTTTTTTAAAGTTTCATCAATTTTTAATTTCAGAAAAAAAAATTTTAAAATGCCTTTTTATTCCAACAGCGTAATTTTGAGATATTAAAAAAAAAATTTTAATTAAGAGGTATTTTGTTTTAAATTTTCGGTGCCGATAGATTCAACTAGATTAAATTTTAGTTTATTTGACGTATAAACCACCAAAGTTTATCCAGTGAGAACTGAGACAGTTCTTTTCATGGACAGACATAAAAAAACACAAAACCAATAACTTTTAAGCTTTTTTCTAAAGCTAAAAGTTCAAAGAATTGTAAAAATTATTAATACAATATAGTACCCCAAATTTAACTAAAGCCTTATACAAATTATCTGAAATATATACTTTTATAATAATTATTTACATAACTTAATTAAAAATTATATTAAAGCAAATCTGTCAAATGATAATTGCAATGACATTGTATTTATTTCAAAGCAAAATTAAAATTATGAAAATTAAGGTTTTGAAATAGATATGCTGGTCATTGTATATTCATTAATCTATTGAAAAGGATTTTTTAAACTCCGCTACTAAGTGACAGAATAATTCATTTTACTCAATAATTATTCACCTGTGTTTTCTTGTAGCGTGTAGTTAAGGAAACATTTTCTTTTAATAGATAAATAAAAATTTTCATTTTTAGTCTTATCATCGTGGGTTGCGTGTTCGCATGGTAGATCTTACCAATATTTTATAGAATCAGTATGGCCGATAGATATATGTACATTCTGGGGACGTAAAACTGAAGTTTTAACTGCTATTACAAGGTAAAATTTGAAATGTCTGTTTCGAAATATTAAAATATTTATATTTTATATTTTATTAAAAAAAAAAATACTATTAATTTTTAGTATTGCATCAATTGGTCAGTTAGAACCAATCACATCCTTGATACAAAAATGCAAATTAGATGAGTGTATTCCATTAGGCTTGGATGCCGATCAATATCCAGGCAGAGGTGTATTTAGTGCAGCTACAGCCTTCTTTTCGCCTTTTTGTAGTAAGTTTTAAATTTTTTTATAAAAAATTATTTACAATTCCAATTACTTACCAATTTTTTAAGGAAAAAAATACTAATAACTTACAATAACGAGGAATTAAAATTTAAAAAAATCGCTAACTTAGAGTCATAAAATAGTAAGTTATTAATAATAACATATTTTGCTCTTCCTCTAAGTTATTATTTCAATAATAACTTTTTATGTAAATAATATATAGAGTGATTTTAATTACGTAGTTATTAGGAAATTATAGAATAGATCCCTCTCTAGAACCTTCAGTATGTTTATGTAAGTGTTAATTACTATCCTTAACAAGAGCATAATTCTGAAAAAAAGCCAAGTTCCAACCAGCCTACCTTCCAGTCTACCTATCAAAGTAGTGGTATCAATATTGTGATTAATTTAATAAAGTATCACTAAAGGTGACTATTTGCCTTAATGCGACTTTAATGAGGTGCTAGTGCTAGGATATCCGGCGGAAGTGAATGGTGAATAAAGAGATACATGGTGGTGTTTAATGGGACGGTCCCCTCTTATTATAGTTACTTTGGATAATAATTTGACAAAAATTAAGAACTATTCACTTAGAATTAAATGTCATATATTGACATCAGTTTATACAAAATTATACTTTCTCACTGTAGTGCCGATGATCGTAAAAGGTGCAGTCGAAAGTAAAACATACGCTCATGCGCCGAAAAGCAAACAAAATAAATATAATATATTCATCGTATTAGCAATTGTAGCTTAATAGACTTTTTTCCCCCTGTGTCGTAAGAAGAGATATGATGTAGTCAATCAACGGTTATTGTATCGACAGGTAGACGGCTGATAAAGAGAGAAATACTCGAGTGAGTATCTGTTTAACACAGGACCCGGAACTGTGCCTACTCTTCTTCTCAAGCAGTCAATCTATTCTTTGACAAGACCGTACACTTAACCGAATGATTCGCTTATAAATATTTTATACACTCACTGTTACCATGATGATGTACTGTAGTTATTCCTATATTAGCTAGGCAAAGTTTACTCTTTCTTAAATTCATAAATACCAATCCTATTTTCAAGAGTAATATTGCTTCTTTATTCGTATATTAATTGGTCAGTTTTTGAATGATGCACAAAACAAATTTTACCACATTATCCACTAAATACTGTGAGAAGATCTGAAACTTTTTTCTTTTTTTCCGAGTTCTCTCCTTCCTATTACCTACGTAATTCCTAAATGAGTACTAACATTGTTGAATTCAGATAACCTTCATGAAAAGGCTCCATTCTCCCTGGATCTTTGATAACTACCCAGATTATTTCAGAATGATAATATAACTATTTTCAAAAATTGACACAATGATTAATTAAGTAATCAGTCGAGAACCATTTTTTTTTTTAGTTGTATACCAATAGCCCCCTAGAAAAAAATCTGAGTTCAAAACTGAGTACTGAAAAATACATGTGTTAAGTAATACGAATAAAGTAGCAAGGTTACTAGTAAATGTAGAAATAAACCATCTAAATAAAAAGCAAATTTGGCACAATTTAAATATCACTTTGATAAAAGAACATATCCGACTACATTTATTTAAATTTTTTTAGGAGAAAGCAAAGAAACTGACGAACTCATGAGATCAGAATTGAGAAACAGTAGAAATGCCAAGAATACGTAAGTATTATTAATAGTGTTTATATTATTTAAATGTACTTGGTTTTAGCTATGAATATTAATTATTTATTTTACAGTTTATATAGCGATGATGATAAAAAAAGTAATGATAATAAAAAAGGAATTTTAGGTCTGAATTTCGGTCGGTTGACAGAAAAAAACAATAATGATAATAATACAACTCAAAGTGATAAATCCAGAAAAGATTAATTAAAAGACTGAATAAAAATATCATATTTTTTAATTTTTTTGGTTAAAAATATTATCTTTATAATTTAATAATTTTAAAGCATTATTAAATTACAGATTAAATAAATATATTAGTTAGATTTTATTTAATATGTGATCACATTGTAAGTGTTATAATATTATCAATTTATGATTTGTAATATTTTAACGGGAAAACATATAGCATATATACTAAATATCTATGTTAATCAATTAAAAACTAGTGTTTTTTATTATACTAATGATTTAATTATAAATTTATTTAGATGTTAATAAGCTATTCAATTTATATGATTTAATCAATTTAATTTTAACGATTGAAATATAACTATATGAAATCAAATAAAAATAACATTGTTTAGTTTTAGTAATATTGGGTGGAATTAATAATTAATTTAAAATAATAAACAGAGTGTTAAAAAAGTAAGAAAACAGGTCAGTCGTTACAAATAGTGAGAACAATAGAATCCCATTTCCTTATTTAGTAAATACTTTATATATATCTCGAGCTATGAAAACAAGGGTTTTATAAGAATAATGTCAATAGAAGAAAAATATAGTGATAATGCAATAATAAGGTTTGCGCGTATGGTCGACAGCTGATATAAAAATACTGTCAAATTTTATAGTAGAGCTGACCCCAAATATTTAGAATAGAGACGAAGAAATTAATAATTACTTAAATTACTAACGTAAAGTACTAAATATCTCCTATTATTATTAAAATTTTGAAATCAATTACAGGGACTTTTAGATAATGATCTAATTAAGAAAATTATTGGTCGATAACAAATTTTAAATTAGTAATTCGTAAATTATTGACATAATTATATCTAGGTGAGAAGTAAAGTACGTCGAGAAATGTCTAATTATAAAAATAGCAGAACCCACTCTTCACCTCTAGATTTTAAATTATTAATAATTTCCAAAATACTGGTCTAAAAGTTGTTATTAACCAGTCATCATTATCTTAATTATAACATTATCAAATAAATAAGTTAGTTGTTCGAGAAAACGTTGAATTAAAAGAAACCAATAAAAAAATGATTAATACTATTTTTATTTTTGGATCAATTGACTGGTTTGTGATAAGTGATGGCATCCTGTATAATTAAATAATCAGAATAATTTGTTCAATTAAAATTAAGCTTCTTAAATATTTATTTAACAAGAAAACAATAGGAAGTTAAAATATATGGCGTATACTTAAGTAAAAATAATGTTTATGAATCACCTACCGAAGATAGTATTATAGAAGAGGTTGAAAAAAAATTCTGATGAAATCGAAGAAGAAGACGACGAAGAGGAATATACAGAAGAACTTACCAATTTCACAGAATAAAAGATAGACAATTCTTTTTCAATCACAAGAAATGTTTTTACACAACAAACAAATATTTCCGATAAAATTTGTTTTTAACTCGATGAAATCAAAACTTTTTACAAAAAAATACAATTTATAAAAATAATAATCAAACAAAACTCACTGATTCTTTAAAAGTAAACCTATTATGTATGACATAANTTACCAATTTCACAGAATAAAAGATAGACAATTCTTTTTCAATCACAAGAAATGTTTTTACACAACAAACAAATATTTCCGATGAAATTTGTTTTTAACTCGATGAAATCAAAACTTTTTACAAAAAAAATACAATTTATAAAAATAATAATCAAACAAAACTCACTGATTCTTTAAAAGTAAACCTATTATGTATGACATAATATTTAAAGTTTTTCTTACAATACAGAATATGGATGTAATGCAATTAAATTTGAAAACAAAAATTGTAATTATATTTAACGAATTTCTCTGTATAACAAATTTGGTTGTTCCTCATTACATATCATATAGAAGTTTTACTGTACTTTGTTTAAATAGTTAATTTTCTTTAAAACATACATAATATCAATCAATATCGTAAAGTAAACTTTGAAATATCGTGTATATTTTTCTCTTACTATGTTAGCAATGGGTAATTCGCTATATATAGTTTTATTTATCAGTTTAACTGAATTAGGAATTTCAAATCACTTAGATTTTCTTACAAAACCTTTTATTAACAATCGAGCTGATTTATACATTTTTTATTCACTTCGACGGAAAAATTAATGTTCACTTCATTATTCGACAAGTAGAATACTTTGTAACCGTTTATTTATCGAAACAGAGATCTAAAAACTTCCTTTCTCATAATCATTACAAATTGTATAAACCGATTCATTTTTCATTCAAAACATTGAGTCAAAGTTTCCATCGATAGGTTTTTCTCTTCTACCTTCACTTATCCGTGAGAGCGCACTGAATCCCTACGATGCGCTTTGGCATTTTACAGAATCGCTCAGAAACCTTTGCAAGCATAATATTCGCATACACGTGTACGACCGCGACGACAGTGCGCACCGGGCAGCCTTAGTTACTGTTTTGCCTTACAATTATTATTTTTTGTGATGGATGTCTTAACACTCGTGTTTTTTCTAATTTTAATGAAAGGTGAGTAAAGTTTTATTTTTTATACAAAAATGTAATGTTTTATTCTTATAAAACCAGAAATAAATGTAATAATTATGGCTACAGTTAATTATAGGCTAATTAATCGGCTTTAGTTAATGAATACAAATATTATATGTTTATTATTACAATCGAATAGTATTGACAAATTTTTTATTGGTTTATTTTAGATCCAGTAATTAACAATTTTAAGTAACGACTGACGACGAAGTGCAGGTGCTGCTATTTTTATCATTAAACATTTTTCGGCCCACTGTCCTTCCGCCTGATAAAAAATGTTAATAACTAGCGTAATGTTTGTCTAAAATTTGTTATCCGACAGTTATTTTCTTAATAAGAGTATTATCTAATTATTAAGATAGTTTATATATGTTTCCATTAGAAAAAATAAAGTTAATATCATGCTAATAATAAAATGCTTTTTATCTTAACATTTTAGAATAACTTGGAAATAAAGCATATATTAACATATTCTCTACATTATAAAAGTATTTTGTCAGAACTAAATGATTATTATACAGTATTAATTTAAAAATAAAAGCACAGTGGGGTGGCGGCACAGTGGAGTCGTGGCATAGTTGGGTCTAGTATAGATGATATCTGACAGTGATTAAAATCACTATCATAAAAAACGCTTCGATGCAAATTTGTAGATAGTGTTTAATTAAAAAAAAAAATTTGTTAAAATAGCATATTTTTGAATATGGTAGCCATTTGCGCATAGAAGATAGGTCGTCGGGACAAATTTTTTTTTTCATTTTATAGTACATAAAATAAGCTTTAATTTGATATATGTTTAAAGGACGCAGTATTTCCGAAACATTTTCAAAAGTTAAGTTGAAAAAGTTCTATTTTTTATACAATGTTTCATGTTTTGAACGACTCCTATATAAGGGAAAATTGTCCAATTTTAATAAAAAAAAGTATGTCAAATGAAAGATGTACTTATAATGTATTTAGAAAAAAAAAATTTGTGCTGATATATACATTTTTCAAAAAGTTATAGCATTTTTAAGTTGAAAATTTAAAATCGAAAATCGAAAATTTTAACACAAAAATAGTGTTTTTTTAACTACGGCAGCCGTTTAAATGTAGAAAAAAAAGTGTCGGGACAAATTTTTTTTTTTCATTTTATAGTACATAAAATAAGCTTTAATTTGATATATGTTTAAAGGACGCAGTATTTCCGGAACATTTTCAAAAGTTCAGTTGAAAAAAATTTATGTTTTTTACAATATTTTAAGTTTTGAACGCCCCCTATATAAGGAGAAATTGTCCAATTTTAATAAAAAGTATGTCAAATGAAAGATGTACTTATAATGTATTTATAAAAAAAAAATTTGTGCTGATACTTACATTTTTCGAAAAGTTATAGCACTTTTAAGTTGAAAATTTAAAATCGAAAATCAAAAATTTTAACACAAAAATAGCGTTTTTTTAACTACGGAAGCCGTTTACATGCAGAAGATAAAGTGTCGGGACAAATTTTTTTTTTCATTTTGTAGTAAATAAAATAAGCTTTAATTTGATATATGTTTAAAGGACGCAGTATTTCCGGAACATTTTCAAAAATTAAGTTGAAAAAGTTAGTTTTTGTAAAAAAGTTGCTATTTTAAATCCCCCCCAATGAGCAGGTTAAGTGTTAGATTTTCAAAAAAATGATATCAAATGAAAGATAAATATCTAAGGTTTTAGTATAAAAAAAAATTATGTTGATTTGTTGATTTTTGAAAAAGTTATGGAAGTTTTAAGAAAAAAAAGTGAAAAAAATGACAAAATTTACCGATTTTTAAATTTGTAATTTTTTTGGAGATTTCCCCCATTTGCGGGGAACAAGGGAAAATATTTCAATTTTTAAGAGTAATGTCTTCAACTAGATACGATTTGTGATCTTTTGACGTATTTTTGAAAGAAATCGGTCCAGTGAGAGCTGAGAAAAAGTGGCAACAGACAAAAAAAAAAAAAAAAAAAACAACACATCATAGTAAAATTAATACCTTCTTCGCTTCGCATCGAAGCTAAAAATTGAGTTTCACTGATAAGGTTACTGACATACTACCCTGCCCTCCATATTAAATTAATATAAACAAATTTACTGATCAATTAATTTAGTTTATATGATTATATACGTTCAAAATTTTAATTTTTTATTTATTTATATAATTGTATCATACTATGAGGTCGGCCTGGCCTAGTTGGTAGGTAGAAATGTATTTTTATGTGCACGGTGTACTGGGTTCGATCCTCAAAGCGCCAACAAGATTTTTCTTGTGATATTCTCATTGGTCTGGTCTCTGGTGCAAACCGGCCACAATACCCGTCTCATCTATCTTTGACTCCCTTACACATGAAAGAGGGCACCACTCTGTGTAGCATGTTAAGTTCGGGAAATAGAACGATGTAAAACTGCTCATTTTCATGTAACTCTATCATACTAAATTTTAATTTCTTATATATTTCAAAGGGTGTTTAACATGCCCGGTTTTCTCTCTTTGTCATATTAATACTAGTCAAATACAATTTTTTTTTTTTTTAGTAGCTTTTACAAAATAAAAACAAAAATTAGAAACAAGGTTTTATAATGTATATAGGGTGATTTTTTTTATCATAATTCAGTCAATTACTTAGAGAATAAAAATAATTTAAACATTTTTTTGGTTACATTTAGTTACAAAATATTCTTGAATTATTAACTATGTAAAACTTTTTAGTTTATCCTTTATACATTGTAAGGGTATTAACTTTGTTTTTTAAATGGGAACCCAAATTTTGAATTTAATAAAATGTTTGAGTTTTTAAATTAATAGTAGATGGCATTTGAATTTATGAACGTTTTCGTTTATTAGATATAATATTTTAAAGTATTAAATTTATAAATTAATATACATGTATAATACACGGGGGATAACAAATACGGGTAGTTAATTGGTTTTTTATGACGTCAATATTAGCAAAAATGTAGCATTGTTTTTCAAAGGTAGTAAGGCACATTGTTGTGAATTTATAAATACACCAACTGGCAATACAGAAAGCATATCTATTGATAGTCATAATTGACAATAAAAACTCCGTGACTGTGATAGTGACAACATAAAAAACCAATTAGTTATCTGTATTTGTTATCCTTCTTGTATTATACATATATATTAATTAAAAAATTTAATACTTTAAAATTTTATATCTTATAAACAAAACGTTTAAAAATTCAAATGCCATCTACTATTAATTTAAAAACTCAAACATTTTATTAAATTCAAAATTTGGGTTCCCATTTAAAAAACAAAGTTAAAACCCTAACAAAGCATAAGAGATGAACTTAGAAAGTATGCCATGTAACTAGCTGTATAAATTTAACGTACATAGAACCATTGAAAAGAAAAAATGTAATTATGCAATTAGAACTGCTCCCTACATGATTGTAAAAATTAATACAAAATTTACAAACAAATAAAAAATTCATTTGAAGCTTTAAAAATAGTTTTAAAAAACTACTTTAAAGTTTTTCTTGAGCTATATTTTAATAAAACTATATTATGATTTGCTTAGTAACATTTATATATTTAAAAAATATTATTATTATATACAATAGAATTAAATTCAAGAATAATTTTTTTTCTGAGGGAAATATTTTCTAATACCAGTATGTATAATATACTAGCACATAAATGTTTGAATTTGTTTAAGAGCTCCAAAAGTATTTCATTAAAATATTTAGGCTAATAACAACGTGTTTAATTTATTTATATATTATGTAACCCAAATTCTATAATTTATACTTAAAACTTTTAAGTCAGCATAATTTATTTATAGTTATTCAATTTGGTTTTCACTATAACTTTAAAACATTGTATCCCTTTCATATACTATTTATTTTTTTACTTAAAACATATTGTTAAATAATAAAATTACTCATTTGAAAAATCTTAAGATTTAATATTAAAGATTCTATTGAAAAATAATACAATTTTCAAAAGAACATGTGAAATATAATAGAAAATTGAACTTTAATTTTAATATAAAAAAAGTAAAACTTTACAATAATAACGTTTTTAAATTTATTTTATATGTATTTAAAAATACAAAAAAAAAAAGATTTTATCAATATTTTAAAAATTAAATTTTAGCTGATAATTTGGTCTTAGAATATCTCAAATTTATTAATATACTTGAACTGAAATTTAACATTAAATCAAATTAAAAAAAAAAAATTTTACAAAAATTTAAAAAAAAAAGAAATTATACCCTTAAAAAATCAAAAAAAATCCAAGAAACGCTACATAATGTTAAGCAATTTATGAAACAAAAATGGTGAATAGCAAATGGCAGATAAGATATTTACTAAGGTAGAAAAAGAATACGAGTTTGTTTGATGGTGTAAAAGCATTACGTGGTAGGTTTATTTATTATTAAGTGCATTGAAGACTGTTGAAGAAAATTTTCATACAACAAAATAGGCTGCTTTGTTTTTTAGTGTTTTCCCTAGATGCATTATACAATTATAAAGGTATTATATTAAAAGGTTACATAACCACCACACCATAGAAATATTAAAAATAAAAATTATTATTCAATTAAAAATTAAATCTATAGAATTAATTTATAAAATTGTGAGGTTACAAAATAACACCTTTTAACTAATATGTAGTGCCAAACGGCAGATTTGATGATGTTTTAAAAGTATACTTCTTATCAAATCTTCTATACGATATCAAATTGATATTACTTTGATGTTCAGAAACTCAAAAAGGTTAACATGAAAAGTTATGTAGAATTCTATACGATGATTTTATGATATCATGTTTAAGGTAATTTCGTGACGTTCAGATAACATTACACTATAACTTCTTTGGAAAGTTATAATTTACTAATTTATAACTATACAAAATTTTATTAATATGAAAAATTAATAATAACAGCTTAATAAGTTAATTAGTCTGTAAATTAATTATAAGAAATTTATAGGCGTTAAATAAAACTATGTTTAGCCATTTCCCTACCTGAACTAAATTTTTATTTATAATAAATAAAAGTATTTATTTAAAAATTGTTTAGTATTATAGACAACAGGTAGAAGACACTAAGGAAGCTTGGTCCCTAGTTTACAGCTGGACCTCCCCAGAAATTTTACTCCATACATTTCTAAAATTGTGATATAAAAGTTTTTTTTGTAAGTTCCTTTTAGAAATTAAAATCATAATTGCTTAAAATTTTAAGAATTCTTCAATTAATGTTAAGTGCTACCACATAATAAAAATAAAAATTTAATCTATGGAACTACCATGATTCTAACTTTATGATCTTTATTACCTTATCATATTAAAGTTATGTTAAAAACAAAAAGTTTTTTTTTTAATTTATAATATTATTGTTTGTTTGTAAGAAATCTATGATTTTGTAAGGAAATAATGTATGTTATTATAAATTAAAAGTAATGGATAAAAAGTTTCATTTTTTTAGTTAGATATTCAAATGACGTTTCATAATTTTTGATGGCCATTTTTAGGTATATCTTCATTTTTTGATTTGAATACAAAAAAAAAAAAAATTATCAAATACTATGAAACATTAATTACACAATCGCTAGATTACAAGTTTCTTTGTTTAGTATTAAAGTTGAAGTATATACACAACTTTGACAAAATGATACATAATTTAATTTTTAATCAATGCTTCTACTATTCAAATTATATTGAATTATCTCGGGTTATTCTATCCCTTAATCGGATTGTCTCCTCTATTATATTACATATCATATGATTCCAAAGATATTATTAAAAAGAAACTTTTCTACTTATTTTTTTTTACATTAATGTCAACTGTAAATGTTCAAATATAAAAACTCTATCACCAAATTTAATGCTCAAAGCTTTTTTTTCTACTCGATAAGCGATTACTTTTAAGGGTTATTCAACTTAAGTTACACTACAGTAATACATATATAGCTATATTTTTTAGAGAATAAAACGAGATCTGTACTATCTAATCGAAAGATATTTAAGGTGTAATCGAAAAGCTGGTTTTGTATTTCCACGTATTCCACCTAAAATATCCAATGTAATTTAACCTTTTTTCACCAAGATTTTTACATCAATATCTGATAAAGAACCAACTGTCTAAAATGTTTATGTCTGATTGTAAAGTTAGGGAACTAAGTATTATATGCTTTACATATACCAAATTATATAACACATAAATGTAAATTGGTCGTTATAAAGATAAAAAGGAAAACTTTATAGAAGTGAAAAAATAACTATGTACTTAATTATATTTTTTTATATTCTATCGATGTATTTAATACCACTATTATAATTAAAATTAAAGATTTAGGACATATTTTCATTTTTTATAGTATTATAATATTTATTAGTTTTTTAAGTAAAAAAAGTACATGCATATTAGAACATGAAACACAAATAACTTATGAAGTTATTATTATTATTTTACAATACTGTACTTTTAAATAGATATTAATATAATTTTTGTTTCTAATTAAGCATAAAAGTTATTTGTCTACAACTTTTTATGACTTCCATTTCACAAAATTTATATACTCTTATAGCTTATAAAGAGTTGTACTATTCAAAACTTTTATGCTTAATTAGAAACAAAAATTACCAGGAATTTATATGTATATGACCCCTAATCTGTTTTAATATAAATTTTAATTTTATAGATATGTTAGAATAAAAAAAACCTGTAAAATTACTGTTATATTTCAGCATTACCTCTAATTTTTATTGATGTTGTGAACCCTAATTTTTGGGCTTATAATCAATATTTATACAAACTTAAATCATACATCAATTTGAATTATTTTCAAAAGAGTTGGTTATATAAGTTCAAACCGATTTATAAGGAAAAAATTCAGTTAAATTTTATTTTATTTTCGAAATAAACCTAATACCCTAATTCAGTTTTGTTCGAAAATCAAATAATTCAATAAATTAATTGAATGAGAATTGTTCTTTAACATTTTATTAGCTAGTTAATAAACGGTTTTAACAAAACAATGATCAAAATTTATTCATAAAATATTTAATATATTAAGAATTACTTGATAATGATTAGAAATCCTACATTCAGTGTGAAAAAGTAAATTTTTCATATTCAAACACTTATATTTAAATTTGCCAATAAAAAATATTATTATATTATTATAATATGAAAAATGATTATTCAATATTATTATTTGATAAATTGTTAATTAAGGTGAATTTTTAGAGTGGGGTATTAGGGATGATCCTTAGAACAAAATTATTTACATGGCAAAGATTTAATTTTTTTTTATTTTGAGTGTTAGTTCAAAATTATTTCATGTATATCCCCCTTAGAAAACTCCTTATAATGCCACTATACTAATTTATTTAAAAAAGTACATGGATTCTTTCGATATTATACAGAGTGTTTCACTAAGTTTTGAGCTTATAAATCATAAGGTAAACTAGGTAAAATAAATGTAATGGGGAAACTTTTTTTGATTCTCTTACTATTGTTCGTGAAGTTTGAGAATAAATACATACTTTATTTATATTAACGCCCATTAAATGCTTTATTTATTATTTCATATTTTATAGCTTTTCCTCGTTTTTTTTTTTAATATATTATACTTTTGTGCATATTTCTTATCATCCATTATATTATATATAATTCCGAAGAGCATTAATCAAAGTCGCATTGCTCCACTGCTTTTTGTGCATTCACCAACTAATCCTCTACTAAACCAAATATTCATGTGAATACTTAAGCTATAAATTATTTTATTGTTAACTATTTTAAAATATTATGATATTTCAACGTTATAATAAACATTTACATTACTGAAAATAAAATAATACAAACTATTTTAATTCAATTATAAAATATTAGTGTAATTTGTAAAAACAATAACATATAATTTTATGAAAATTTTAAAAAGTAATTACTAAAAGTTAAGCTTATACGCTCTTACTAGACATTTTTGTACAGTTTGCAATATTTTTTATACTTATGTTTTTACTTTAAATTGTTTTACTTTTCTTAGTAATTTATTTATTTTATTACTATACAAAATGGACAATATACCTCTTAATTCATTATTATAAAATAAAATTTACATACAAAAAAATTCTTAATAACACAAATATATATATATAAATGTATATTACGCCATTTTAATATTTAAAAATGATTAACTAAATGCATATATTATAATGTATCAATTGAAATAAATAAATTTTCTTCAATTTTTTAACAATTTAATACTATATTATGATTAAGATTCCGTAATGATCTTAAATTCAAGGTCAAGCCCATAAAGGCTACTAAAATTATATTTTTAAGAGTACTGAATTAATTTTGCCTTATCCTAATTTTTTTTTTATAATAATGAATACAATTTTCTAAATTTTGAAAGAACAAATTCTTTAAACGGGGCCTAAATCCCTTTTTTCTTCCCAAGTAAGCATTAATAAATACTTGGAGAAAGGAGAGAGCTAATAATTTTAATTTTTACAAGTTTAGCATTTTTTGTATCGATTAGAAGGGCTTATACATTTTTAGTTGTGAAAAATTTTATAAGAATACTATAAGTTAATCTAATAACAATAATCAGTAAAATTAAATAATGTTATATAATTTATGGGAATATTTTACAAACATCGAAGAGATTGAAAGTAAATAGAATTCAGTAATATTCGAAAACATGATATTATTAATAGATCTTGTATGGCCTTTAAATTCAATGTGGTGTTGGTGTAGGCAAAGTTATTCAAATTTTCGATAAAATATAAAATTAATTTTCATCTTTCTAGACTTCAGCTATAAATTTTTAAAAACATACATTAAACTTGATGCCAATTTCACACTTGTGTATATTCCTTATTGTAAACTATTATCCGAGTCTTATGATCAATTCCGATTCATTACAAACATAATTTGATTTTCATAAAAGCTGTATTATAGGAATTAGTAATATATTACCAGCCATAAAATATTTTTTATAAAAACAAATATATAACCCAAGCAATAAATCATCACCTGTCACACTTTTTGTCAAAATAAAAATACATATATGTGGTCATCAGTATTCAACAGTTATTACTAATAAAGTTTTATGATCATAAAAAAATAATCCATATGTGATAATATATGCCAATTTTTCAACAATAAACAAAAATACTCTTGTAACAGAAACAGTTCATTATACATGATAATGGATAGCGTGATGTATTGTTTATTCATAACAATTTATTGACTTTGCAAACACATGATATCTTATTGTAAAAATATAAAATGTAATATACTCTTAAAAATTTTACATTTTCAAAACATAGAATAACAGAGGTTTTTATTAATTATAGATGCAATTTAAAAATAATAATAATAATAATTTGCATTATTACAGTAACTATTGGATTGAAAATTATTGATGTTTTGGTTCCACGATTTGTAGATTTAAAAGATTCGGTAACATTGGAATGCCATTTTGTCGTGGGACATGGTAAATTATATTCTGTAAAATGGTATAAAGATGACAATGAATTTTACAGATTTGTCCCGGAAGACATACCTTCTGTTCAAGTATTCCACCAATCAGGCATTGCATTAGATGTAAGTAAATACAAACTTATATATATATATTATTTCATTAGTCATACAACAAAAATTTAATATATGTTTCCTGTTCGCTATTTTCTTTTTAATAGATTTATTTTCAACTCCTTATATACCACTTAATACAAAATAAGCATTAAAAATTCATTAGTTATTGATGAGGCTCCTTTTTACTTAAATTAAGTTTAGTTTATTTAATTACGGTGAAATATTAAGTGTTCATTTACTTTTCTTATTCATTTAATAGAACTTTTTTTTGCTTCGATACAAATACAAGAAAGTGACGTTTTTACCCTAATGTATTTTTTGTTATCTGTTCATGAAAATTCACACTTATCTCTAGACTTCTTTTGCTTACCTATACGCCAAGAGAATTTAAATTTGATATTGTTAAAAAGTTTCGTTAGTTAACACTTACTTTTGGAGCGGTTTATGAAAATGATGTTACCACTGTCAGATTTCAATTGTTATAGCTGTTTTATAACTATACTAGTTTTTTTTCTTTGATTAGCACTTACTCAAAGATAACAATAATAAAATTATTATGTGATTCTTTTATGTATAGGAGTAAATTTTTTAAAGTTATATTTTTCACAAAAGAAATTATATAGGGTGTTCAGTAAGTAAGAAAACGAGTTTCTTTTGTTCTCATTATTTATAACAATTTATATAATTCCTTACTTACTGAACATTCTGTATATTTTAAAAGTATTATAATATACCTATTATGTATTTACTTAATATAAATGCATTTATATTTCTGAAGTTATTATAAATTATACATACAATACAACAGATAACCTGATAATCTTATTTTTTTAGCTGACTAAATGTAATATGCGCAAAGTTACACTTAAAAATCTTACACTACAAACTAGCGGAATATACAAATGTGAAGTCTCCACAGATGCTCCCAAATTTGAAATAGAGTTTAAGTCTGCTAACATGTCAGTTATAAGTATGTAGATATTTATTTGGTCAATGTATTCATTAACTTGATTATCACCAATACTAAAGTTTTGTATAAGTATAATGCACTACGTATTAAAGCCGTTTCGGCTTATATACACAATTTCTCTTGTAATGGATATTAAAATAGTAAAATTTATAATTTAAATTTGTACACGTTGTTTAGTTAATGAAATCTATTTTTAAAGAATTTTTATTTTCGAAATAATAAAACTATCCACATGTCTATAAATTTTAATGTATAAAGAAATAGACAGCAAAAAAAAAATTTCTGAATTCCTGGGTGTGTTACAGGTACCTTAGTGTATTTATGTTCATTTGAGTATAAAATGTGTAGCATGTTCACTTTTCCGACCCAGAAATTTATCAATCCATGTTCTATGTCACATTGCAAAGTGAATTTTTTTTTAAATTTTATTCGCCAATTCATAATTTGAACACATTTGACCACAACGGAGATACAAAATAAACAAGTTTTACACAAAAAATTCAATAATATTTATGTATTATGATATTAAATTATTTAATACTAATACACAATATACCACTAGATAAATAAATTATTACACATAATCAATAATGATTAATAATTAATTAATTTTTAACTTTTCAACTTAACTAAATTAATTTACCGTTGAAACAACTTGACTTTAGTCAGTAAATTAGATAATAACAATCAAGCTAAATTCAAAATTTCATAAACATTTTTATAAAATTATATGTATATTAACAATTTTATTGTTAATATTGATTTGTGTGTGTGTTTTAAAGTGCACTTTAGATTATATAGAAAATTTATTACATTTACTTATCAAAAGAGCTAGAATACAGTGAATTTAAATTGAATTTTCCCCAACCCTAAATTATATATTTGTAACAATAAATATAACTTTCTAAATTTTTTCGGGAAAAAGAATTTTTGAACTTGTCGAATAAACCTCTGTAATTGCATTACTGTTCCTAGTAATAAATTAAAAAAACCTGTATGGAAAAATTATAATTTCTTTATGTGATTCTCAAATTGATTTTTTAGCTAAATTTAAATTTTTTCTATTGCCTCTTTTTTGAGGCTATTACTAATTAGAAAACGAGTATTTAAACATATAAAAATTAATTAAAATAAAAAATCTAGTTACAATAAGAAAACGGCGCAAAAATAGATTTAAAAAAATATATTTTAATATCTGATGAAAATTCCTTTAGACCAATATATTTATTCATAGGTAACAAAATTATTTTTTTTAGAAGTATTGCATCAAGTCTTTTAATTTTTATACACGTTTTCCTTAGAAATAACGAAGTATACCATTATTTAATAATTTTTTATAATTTCATCGTAAAAATTATAATATTAAATTATTAAATATCAATTTCTTTCTAAGTTTAATTACTATGTTAAGTATTTATTCATATATTATACTTATTAATAATAAATATTGTAATTAGGATATAAATAAGGAAATAAGAGTTCATTTTGCTTTTGCAATAATACACCAATTTCTAATAATAAAACATTGCCTACAGATTTACATCGAAGCGTTTTTTATGATAGCGATTTTAATTATTGTCAGATATCATCGATATTTGTTCCAACTATGTCACACCCACACTGTGACGTCCCCTCACTGTGCAAAAGTTTTTCTTTTATAACAAATGTAGTTTTAAAGATAGAAATACGCAATCAGCATAAAAATGTTCAAAACAATATTAGCCACAAAACAAATAAAAAATATTTTTCTTTCAATTCAATTTTAAAAGTTGAAAATCTATTCTCTGTCTTCTCTAACATCACCAACCAATAAAAAATCGATTTTGGGAAAAAAAAAATTAAGGACCAAAAAATTTAAATAACCTTTTTTTAAACTGGTTTTAACTTATTTAAATTAATAATTCGTTAATTTATAAATTATCGACATTACTCCTACTTAACTAGAGTTAATTATTTTCATTAACTTACCCATTTATGCACATAATATAATATTGTATTTACATTCAGTTCATTTTATTTTATTACATTTATTAAAGGTTATATAGATAGTCGGTTTTAATGTTTATATTAATATTGAATTTAATTTATAGAAATTTTAGAATATAAAATCAAATTTTATTTACATATTTTATAATTGACAGGTTATCCAGAAGGAAACCCCTTAATAGAAGGTATTCGTAATCAATATGCTGTCGGTGAACTTGTGTCAGGAAATTGTTCTTCTTACAAATCATATCCTCAGCCTTCATTAACTTGGTATATCAATGGTAATCAGGTGAATTTCCATAACTTCAATAATAATGGAAATAACGATGTAATACTTATTTTTAACTTAAGCTTTAAAATATTTGTATAGTCATCTTGAAATTTTTACCATGAATACTGATACTCTACTAGGTGTATACCAGGCTATTACTTCTTTAACTTAATAAAATGCAATTGACCACTTGATTTAAAAATAAATGTTTTTTTATAAAAATATAAACTCAGCTATTAATTTGACTTTGCTAAAGTTTTGTATAATATGGAAATTTCAGAGACAATACTTTGGTGTATAAAATTTGTTTATTTTATTTAATTATCATGCTTTTATAAAACCATATTTCATTCTTATAAAATATTCATATTATTTTCAGGCAAATGATTACCAAGTAAAAAATTATCCAGTTTTAGTTAATTCCGAGGGAACTCTATTTTCAAAAACTCTAGGTATTCAATTTAAGGTATAATAAATAATACAAATATAAATAATTATATAACATTAAATATAATAATATAATAATTAAATAACAAATATTTAATAGTATAAATAATTTGAAAACAATATGTAACTAATTATATATATATATATATTTGTATTATTTATCAATATATATATATATATATAATTATAATATTTCAATTGAATAAATCAAAACATTAAACATACAATAAGAATTATAAATCTTATGATTTTACGTTTATTACGCTTACATTACTATTACTCACATGAAAAGTTCAACATTAATATATATATATATAATTAGTTACATATTGTTTTCAAATTATTTAATACTTTTTAAGTTAATCCCTTATACATTGTAAAGGAAACAACTTTGTTTTTGCAATAACGTTATAGCAAATATAAAAATTGAGAAGAGAATAAAATTTAAAAGTTATTAGTTAAGTTTCTCAAAATTAAAATTAAACACAAATCAACATAATTTTATTTTACATTTATATTTTACAATATTACATTTATCAATTCGTATATCAACATTTACCAAATAAATGGGAAATTTAAGTCTTTTAAATGGTATTGGAGATTACAATGATATCACTGATGTACATGACATCTTGATAATTTCTCCTTTAAACTATACAGACAAAATTGTTGCTTCAAGAACTTATCCCGTGACCCTTTTGTAGGTCCCATGTTTGTGGGACGTGTAACGTTGCATAACTTAAGGAATACAAAAGAATAATCAGTAATCCAATCTTCAACTGAAGATAGTGTAGTGGCATTTCTGGTATATCCAGAGGATTTAAAAATGCAGTTGGAAAATATACGATTTCGTGTTCATTAACACTAACATTGATTGATTTAAAAGACATAAGATCATTTGGCAACAATTATTGTGTCTAAAAATCTTAATTTCGTCAACAATAACACTTTTTGATGCCATAATTGGTCCAAACAATTATTCAGATATCATCCGAGAGACTCTCAATTAGTTAATTTTCTAAACAACAGTGCAGAAATTGTCTGCCCATTTTATACGGATGTCGTTTTATTTTACCATTTCCAATATCCAGCAATTTCTTAGAAATTTTGTAACTGTACTCGCATGCTTATTATCAATCGAAGTGTTCAACATTTTGCAATAAAGACGATTGTTTTACACATACGTCAATCTTTTCAGAAAAAATAGAGTGAATAATGACTATTAATGTATGTTGGAAATCACTAGAGAGTAGTAGGACAGCAAAACCGAAAACTTTATAGTTGTCGTTCAAACCTTGCATTGTTATATTTAACGCCTCAAGTGATAGTTTATGAGTTATAGTACACTCATCCTGGATGACGGTTGAATTTCTCTACAATATTACAGCTATTCAACTTTTTTTTTTATTTTACTCATCGCGTTTGGTTTGATATAAATTATAATGGTAGTTTTAATGCTAAATGTACCATTCGCCTATGATCAAACAAAGTGGCTGCAATGGCTAACGATTCAATTGCCAATACAATTTTCTGCTGTGACCGCATTTTCACAAGAATTAAGGATATTAAAAATGTCTAACCGTTTCCACCTGGTGCATCCAAAAAAAAGCTGCTTTATTCAGCATAAACAGCTGTCAGTAATATCAGACTCATTGTAACTCACTATTTAGAATAACTGTTGCTAAGTCAACGTCATTATACTATTTTTCTTATATCAAATCACTATTAATTAAGTTAGTGGCCAGACGATCTGGTGATGGCATACTATAATGATTAAGTGGCAAATTTGAAATTAAAATACATAAATCCTCCATCAACATTAATGCATAATTATACATCTCTAGCGTGAAATCTTTATTTGGATATTGTTTTATTTGTTTAATTAGGTGCAGTATGCCTTAATATTAATTTTAATATTTTAATATTAAAAATAATATAAAATCATATTTTTCTCATAGAATTGTTGATTGCATTAGATAACAAAAGAATTGCAAATAGATGACGAAAACAATTTTACGTGGATGTCAACGTGGCAACAAGTATCAGTTCCCAACGATTGTCATTTTCATGCAATTGTAGAGAAAATCACAAAGAATTATCTGATAAAATTTCAAAAAATTAATTTTTTATTATTCATATATATATATATATTAAATTAGACAATACAACACATAAGAAGTGAAAACTAGAACTTTTTAAGCAGATAAAAAAATGTTATAATCTTTTTAAACTCAAGCATACCATTGTACTTATGTAGCTTTGCCAACTCATAACTTTGAAAATTTTATTCATTATATATAAAATGACACAAGCGTATACATATGTATATTTATAAATATTATTATAAAAAAATGTATATTTAGGCTGTTTTCATAAAAACTAAATTAGATTAAAATAATTTGTTCAAATACTCTATATATTTTTTAAATGTTATTGGCTAATTAATATTTGCCAATATATATTAATATTTGCCTACAAAATAATATAAAAAATCTAATATATAAAATTCTCGTGTCGCTGTATTTGTTGTCAAACTCCTCCTATTTTCATGAAATTTTGTTTCTATATGGGGTAGGTCTGAGAATCGGTCAACATCTATTTTTCATACCTCTAAATGTTAAGGTTGGTCCACCCCTTAATTTTTTTTTTATTTTTTAGACAAAATTTTTTGTTTTTATTTTTTATGATACAGCATTAAAAAATACATGCAACCCTAAATTTCACCCTTCTACGATCAACCCCAATTTTTCCATCGCGATTTAAATTTTTTTTTATTTTATCCACAAATCCACAATAGGGTTGCAAGATAGCAATCAAATATAATAATTGTAGTACGATAAATTCTCATCGCAGTGTATAATTCCAATTTTCTTTAATTATATTTTGACATCTAGAATATTATACACTCTATTGCGCTGAGAAATTAATCTTTATTTTTTTTCAACTGCCATAATTAATAGTAAAAATATGAATAATAATTATTTTTGATGTTTAGATAGCTATCGAGAATTGTAATTTAAAATATATTCGTTACTTTAATAATGAATAATTTATTAACCTAAATAAAGCATACTTTCATTGTCTACAACGCTTTCGATTATAAATACACCCTACACACTTATAGTAAGTTAGTTATTTTTATTAAACTAAAAAAATATTTCCTAGAAATAATTTATATGGCAAAACAACGTTTGCCGGGTCAGCTAATAATATATATTATAATATTTTATATATTTTAATATTTGTTATATATTGTATGATTGTTATTGTTATTAAAAATTGCTAAAATTTTTAGTATAAAATCACACAAGGTAAATTTATCTTTAACGGACTCAACATATTTAATAACAATTTACATGAAAACTATATAAAAATCAAAACACTATTCCGTCGTATTGGGTAAATTTTTGTCAAAAAAATACCCACATGAACTTAAAAAACTGATATAAAATACACTAGCTGATAAAACTTTAAGCCATTCAAATTTATCAAAAAAATTAATATTAAATAAAAGAGTCTAAAAAATCTTTATATGAAATTATAAACAAAAATATTTTTATAATGAATTTTGAAATTGCTAGGGTAATTATTTTCCTCACGTTACCTACTGAAAGCTACTTATGTGATGTTATATTGTTAGAAAAAATTATATTTTATTAATTTCAACTACATTTATGATATTTAGATAGAAAAAAAACATTTTCAAGGTCCCAATGTGGAATTAGATTTAACATGTGAAGCTACTTTTGTACAATATCAACTAAAATGGCGAAAAATTATTGTGATTCAACATTTGACTCAATCGTACACAGATAATATGTTGCAAGAAGGTTATAGGAATAGAGGTTTCAGAAGTATGTTAAGTAAACATAATACCAGTATTCATAATACCATAAAATCATAAAAAGGCCGTATCGGGAAAATTTTTAAGAATTGGGATATTTACATTTAAATATTTTATATAGACCTCTTGATTTTTGCCTTGACATCCTTTATAGTTAGTACTCATGGCATTTGAAAATTTTAGACTACATAATATATAAAAAATAAGCTGAAAGCTTCACTAAAACTAATTGGTTTATAATAATTTTTTTCATAATAATGTTATCATATTCTGATGATACAATTTTTTGTTTTGATGTTAGCTATATTTTCAAATCTTCCGAGGGTCAGCCCTTTATTATAATATTAAGTATATAAATGATCTCGATAAAACTATGTCAATAAATATTTACTGCTACTTTGAATCCCCTTAAATACACCATGTATAGAAATTAAATAATGAGTTACTTTTTTTTAATAGTTCTAATAGCCTAATAGTTCTGAAAGTTGTTATATGATCATTAATCTCCATTATTCGTTATTATGAATACTATAATATTATATAGAATGTGTCAGTAAGAAAGGAAACATGTTTCAATTATTTTTATTGTTTGTAACAATTGACCTATTTCCTTACTTACTTACTTACATTGTATAATTATATCACGCTATCCTTACTATGAAACAAACGTAATTCAAAAAAAATGATTCATAACATTTTGGTAAACTTAAATTCATTTTTAATTTTATATCCAATAATGCAAGATCTTCTTATTCTTCTTTTTCCTCGTCTTAATCTCAACTAATTGAGATCAGGCACTCTTATCCTAAACTTCTACTTGACATGATCTCTCACATCCTCTAGGCTCACACCAGCTGTCCTCATATCACATTCAATAACATCTTTCCATCTCTCTTTTGGTCTTCCTCTACCTCTTCTTCCTTCAACATTTATTTCTATCATTTTTTTTAGAGCTTCCGATTCCTCTCTTCTCATAACATGACCAAACCATCTAAGTCTATTTTCTCTCATCATATCTACTATTGACGCTACACCTGTACTCCCTCTTATATGTTCATTCGTTATTGTATCTTCTCTAGTCACTCCACTCATTCATCTAAGCATTCTCATCTCTGCTACACTTATTTTCTGCTCTACTTTCTCGTCAACCACCCAACACTCTGAACCATACATCATAACTGACCTTATTACAGTCTTGTAGAATTTACCTTTCAGCCTCATGAAAATTCTTTTATCGCACAAGACGCTTCTCTCCACTTCATCCACCCGCACTTAATTCTGTGTTTTACATCCTCGTCAATACCACCACTCTTTTAAACAACTGATCCTAAATGCTTAAAACTTTATACCTCTCCTATCACGTCCACGCCTATTGTCACTGAACTCCTCATTTCACCTACCTCGTGTTCACCTTATCAAACTCGCACTCTATATACTCTTTCTTACTCCTACTTATTATTAAACCCTTTTCTTCAAGAGCTGATCTCCACACCTCTAGTCTTTGATTAATTTTCTCCTATTAACACTATATCGTCGGCGAACAACAAACATCATGGCACCTCCCTTCTCTATATCCAATAATGCAAGATCTATCTATAAAAATTGATCAAATTTTCATGAATGAAAAAAACAAATAATACACTATGAAACTTTTATAAGAGGTTAAAACTTTGAAGTTCTTTATCTCAAATACTATTTTTAAGCTACGTTCTTTTGTATAAATAATGTAATCTAGCTCTACAATTTATTTTTCATTGCTATGGCTTTTAAATATTTTAGCATTTATAAGGTTTCTTAACTTTTTATAATCTCTATGGCTACTTCATATTTTAGCATTTCTATGGCTTTTTATTATATATTTGTATTTTTGTGGCTTCTTATTATTTTAGCATTTATAAAGCTTCTTTATATTGAGTATTTCTATGGCTTCTTAATATTTGAGCATTTTTATGGTTTCTTAATACTTTTATTTCTTTTTATATTTCAAAACAATTTTTTATTAGGATTTATATGTTCTAGAATAATTTTTAGTTCTATCCCTTTTATCTTATAGAGGTGTCAACTAATTATTTTAAATGGCAACATACATATTAAACTAACTTATAAAAAAGAAAAATATCTTATTAAGAAAATGACTAAAAAAACGGGGTTTTATTGCTCTTATTATTTGTAACAATTAACCTGTTTCCTTGCACACTGAATTCTCTGTGTAATTAAAAGTTACTGTAGATAACAAATTATTATTAAAAAATAAAATGCCAAATTCAAATTTTAATTGAATACTTCACGTGTAATATTCATAAGATAAGATTTAATATTATAAGATTTTCGACATGATTTTTACACTTATTATAATAAAAAAAAGGCCTGGTTCTCGGAAAAATTAGAAAAAATTAAAAATATATAGTGCCTTAATTGTAATAATAAATAGTCTATTATTGAAAAGGTTATATAATAGTTTAATTTACAATTTATTACTACAGCTCACAAGTGTTATCTTAACTAGTAATTTTTTATTTAACAGATAAACTTTTACCAATATTGAAGATCTTTATAATAACATTAATACTGAATACATGACGATGATATGGAAACAAAACGTTTTGTAAATATTAACCTTTGTAAACATATGTATAATAAATCATTTTTTAAATTTTTTATACTTGTTTTATTGAATTATAAGTACATTTTATTGTTATATATTTATATTTTTGGTAATTATTAAAAAAAAACTTATATTTATAACTTGGAAAATGTTTAATATTATAGTCTAACTACCTAATAATGTATATAATGTAGTTATATGAATAAATTGTGGATAACGTGGCAATGCCTGTGCATACTGGACACGGATTTGAGACTTAATCATGGGCAACTCTTCTGTTTGCTGAACAAGAGATCAGCTGAATTGGAGTCATCACCCATTTTTCTGATGACGGACCAACTACACCCAAAGAAAAACCTCAATCAAAATTGAAAGAGAAATTTTATCAAGGGTTTATGATAATGTTTTATTAATACGAACAAAATAACTATTCTTATAAATAATTATTGTTCAAGACAAGAAAAAAATATATCATATTGATAAATATATCATTGATTCAATAGTAATGATATATTTATCAAATTGAACAATGAATTTATTATATAGATCGAGGTTTTTCTCTGGGTGTACCAGTCCCAGAATACATAAGTTTAAGAATATTTTAAGAAGGTTCCGCTTTGGAGGAGACCGAAATGGCCATTCGTGGTCCGTAGGAGCATATAAAAAATAAATATATATAAATAATTTAATTATAATATTTATTTTTATTTGAATAGTAAAATCAGACTTTGATAAGAGGTGAAATGAGAATGAACTTATAAAAATTACAGTTATCAGAAAAAAAGTAAATTGTTAACATTTACTAGCATTTTTTATTTATTTTATATAAAATTATGATATTTTTGTTTAGGGAATAATTTTCAGTAGTTATCTCAAAAAAATATATATCAGTTTATCTAATAAAAAATCTCTTTAGCTAAAAATTAATTAAATTTTTAAAATTTTTTAGTGGGTAAATATTACCCTATACTTGTTTCACGGAGCTGCATCATCATTTATTAATTTGTGTATGAAAAGTCAGAACTGCATTTTTAAAACCATAACTCATTCGAAAAACTCAAATAATCAGAAAAGTATTTTAATTGTTATTTTTGGGATATCAGACGGTTCGATTGATATATGATTAAAGACTGCAACTAATTCAGTTTTTGAAAAAATACTGTATGTCTAGAATGTGAGGTATGAACATCTCTATCGGGTAGAATAATTGCGTTTAATCAACAGTAGTTACCACACAGTCTTTTCTCGCCAATTTTATTATTTATATGAATTGCTTGAAAGGTGGCAAATGCCTTGTTTTACAAAAAATGAAAAATTCTCTAGTATGATTATTAAAATAAAAATAATTAAGTCACTCCCAACTAAAATTAGTTCCAAAGAAGCCTTTGAGACGGCTGCAATAATAAATTGACACTTAAAAGTAAATTCTAAACCTAAATACACATTGTACCTATATACAGTATTAATATTCAGTGTCAATAATTGAGCATTTCGCTGTGAATAATGTAAAGTTTTTATCGGATTATTACGTTTTTGTTTAGCATTTGCTGACCACACCAAAAAACCCGCACAAAGTATCAATTAAATATAGATTTTTTGTGATTCTATGAACAATGAATAAACGACAAGATTGAAACTTACTACTATTAGGCGGTCCAACAGATGTTCGTGTTAGTTACCCATCGTGTTTTTGTTTTTACAAGGCGGTTTGCGTTTCGTAGCCTTGTCTTTGAACCGATTATGAAAATAACACGTATCGTAAATTATAATTGTAGGAGATAATTATCACCTCGGCGTACTGGTGCCTTGTTATACGAGTAGCACATAATGTGTCCACGAGAATTGCTGTGGCTAAGTCGATCTACTGTTTTTGTGATTGCTGTAATCTGGTGTTCCATTTTACTCATTTACATTGCTTTGTCAGCTTGTTCACGTGACTGAAATGTGTCACTTATTCTGGCAATTAAAAAACCATCATTCTGAATATTTGCAACTTTGATCATTTTATCTGGCATTGAAGCTAAATTATATAGCTTGTCATTGCTAACAGAAAGTATCGCTCTAACTTGTGAAAGTAGCCTTTGTACCCATAAAGTTTTAAGTACTCTGCTAGTCACTTTTCCACTAGCTGGTTGATGCATTTCTAAAAGGATAGTTTATCGACTTAAGTCAAGCATTTTTTTAACCAAAATGTTTCAGAAAATTTTTTGTTGACATACAGAAATACTATAAAAATAAATAATACATTAAGCAAATAGAGCTTTATATAAATAGTATTTATTCCTACAGGTTCGCAATTCAACGTATATTTTCAAAAAAAGCATTAATCAATTATTATTAATGGTTTATTCATTTAGGATAAAACACTTTTTTTATTATATTTTTTTTTTAATTTATGATTTATACAGCAACATGTTACAAAAAAATTATAGACTGATAGTAGCACACACAAATAGAGTTAAAAAATTAATAAATTACAAAGTAAAATTATTTACTTTTGTAATTGAATACTTTTATCATATCAAATCTAATTCGACAATGAATACTTTAAGAATATTAGATTATTAATGTTTTTAATTGTTTTTATGGAAAAAGCTGGTTAAGCTACTTTTTATTTGAATAAGGAACATTTTTTCGATTTTTAAGAGTAATAACTTAAACTAAATACGAATTATTTGACGTATCGTTGAAAAAAGTAGGTCTAGTGAGGGTTGGCAAAATAAATCGTAGCCACAAAAGAACCACATAGTAAAATAATATTAACATGAATATAAATTTCTTCTCGAGGGGAGACTATTGTGATAAGATCCTTTATATTTATTGAAGTTATTAAATCTAAATGAGATAAATATCAAACGATTTGAAAATTTTATTCTAACTCAAAAAAAATGCAAAATATTAGTTGCCAAAGACTGGTATGAACCTCGTACCCTAAACGTGAAAGACACAGGTGTTACCGATCCTGCAACTGTTCGTTACTTTTGTCGCTTGATAAAATTGGCTATTTAAGCTTAGTTAAATTTATAAGTTACTTTTTCGACTTTAAAAAAGTAAAAAAAATTTAATAAGTTTAATTTCTTATGTCTTATGACCTTTATTCTATGTCAATTAAATTATATAATATTTATGAAAGTCAATATATTCTCCTAATAAGATATTTTAAAATAAAATAAAATACAAAACTCAAAATTTTAATAGAAAAATAGCATATTTTTGAATACGGTAGCCATTTGCGCATAGAAAATAGGTCGTTGATACAAATTTTTTTTTTAACTTTATAGTACATGACATAAGCTTTAATTTGGTATATGTTTAAAAGACGCAGTATTTCCGGAACATTTTCAAAAATTAAGTTGAAAAAGTTAGTTTTTGTAAAAAAGTTCCTATTTTAAATCCCCCTGTGAACAGAATTAGTGTTAGATTTTCAAAAAAAAATGATATCAAATGAAAGAAAATTACCTAAGGTTTCAATATAAAAAAATATTATTTTGATTTGTTAATATTTGAAAAAGTTATGGCAGTTTTAAGTACAAAAAACATCCTTATAGAAGGTGATTTTTATCGCAAACATTACATTTTTTTTTTAATTTCGACAGCCATTTGCACATAGAAGATAAGGTGTCGGGACAAATTTTTTTTCTTAGGATTGTGATTTGTGGTGATCCACACCGGTCAACAATGTACGATAGTAAACTTGCGTTGAATATAAGAGTATACTTCTTTTATTATACATGAGTTATTAAAAATAAAATTTCTGTGTAAAGAATAATATCGAGTTGTATCCATGACAAATGAAAATTAATGATCAAAAATCGCTAAACATGCAATAACAAAAGAGATTTATGGGGCCGAATTAAGGTTGATATGGGTGCGGGGATCCCTTAAAAAATAGTTCCTTCCTACACAGCATTAAAACCAAAGATCATTTTCACCAAATATTGGGAATTTTTATTAAAATTATAATAATTAATTTATAGGGGTCAACTTAACAAATGGCAACGTTCATTATTAACTAGCTAATTTAATAGATAATTAATTAGAAGAATGGTCACTAACAACTTTTAGATCAGTATTTCAGAAATTATTAACAATTTAAAGTAAAGACTGGAAGTGAGAAATGGGTGCTACTACTATAATCACTAGTCATTTCTCAGCCGTGTTCTTCCTCCCGCCTTAGTGTAAAATTACCAATAACTTCCGAATACAAGGATATTTTTAAGGTCAATATCACTATATACATAAAATGGGTTATTTGGAAAACGGAAAGCACCACAAGTTCATTTATTTTTAAAAATAAGGTAATATAGTTTTGAAATGCTTTTTTAATAAAAATTTCAAACCTACTTAACGTTATTTTTTTTTAAAAGTAGACATCTGAAAGTTATTTTTTTTTTTAATTTGCTTTTTAAGCACTTTAAGTATTATAGCAACCTTCCTCTAAAGGAATTTAAGAAACCTCATTTGGGAATACTTCGGGACGGGTGGTTGTCCATTGCCTTAGAATTACCTTTAGCATACAAATATATATTTTTAATTTATTTGATTAATTTATAAATTTAATGATCTTTTTGGTCGTTGTATAATAATTCATAGAGATACATTAAAAAACTAAAAGATTATAAAAATATTTTGTATTGCACCTGTATATGGAGGTGTCATAACCCCGACACCAACTCGAATACACAACTGAATACATTATCACCTTCAAATTGAAATTAAAAATAGACTTAAATATTAAGTTATAAAAGTCACTCAATTTCGACGTTTTTTTTATTTCACTCTACTTAAAAAATAGTGTTTTTTTTCAAAATTTATTTGTATGTAATAATATTGTTATTTAATTATATTCTTACTTCACAAATCTTTCAAAAACTAAGCATATATAGGTCATACATATAAGTATAGAACACATTTACATAAAATCATTGCATCTATAGTTAACCAAACATTTTTAACTGATTTTTACATTACTTTAAATTAAAATATTATAATTCATACAGGAAGTTTTTTAGCCAATGATACTTTATTTTTAAAAAATCAAATAAAAAACCTCAAAAATTATGTACAGTACTTTTCATAAGTCATAAAAATTTTAGACTAATAACATACAAAAAATTGTCAATAATATTCAAAACATCAACTTAATATTTATTTTGAACACTTTTATACAAGTATGAATTATTTCTTAAAATATTACATAAATTAAATGATTATAAGACTAGGTACTTCAATAAATCATTTCTTTTTGTGGTAATTAGGTTTTAATTAGTACCCAATATTTACAATTTTAGTAAACATTTTTGTAACTGGTACTTTAAATATGAGTTTTCATTTAAAAAACAACTTGATACAAATATAATTGTATTGAAATAACAGGGTTTCAATTTAATTGACATATAGGAAAGGTGTATTTCTTAAGAATTATACAAAAGTTACAAAGTTATCTGTACTTAGACAAAGAAAACACTGAAACTATTGATATAAACCTAAAAACAAACAAAAAATGTAAAAAAAAATATTTTAATAGTAATATAAAAACTCACCATTTTATATAAAAATAACCATCTATTTTAAAACCTTAAATTAGGTTTACATTTCATTATGTGCCTGAAAAAATGTACAATTTTTACCAATAAATTTATATAGAAATAAATTATTTTAATTTTAGTACGTAAAACACTCATCAAGGTTATCTTATAAGATTAATAATTAAGTCTATATATTTTACAAGTGTGTTTTAATGCAAGATATATACAAAAATAAGATTTTATCCTAAATAGATTAAGTTAATACCTTAATACTCTAGACAAAGATAGTTCTCAGTAAATAAGTGTGACACTAGTTAAAATAATAATGTTATTTACTCAATTATCTTTTAAGAGTCTTAATAATATATAAATTAATTTTTTATGGGNTTAAGAGTCTTAATAATATATAAATTAATTTTTTATGGGTAATATTCTTCTATTGGTTTTAAATACAGATAATTTAAAATTGTATTTTAATTTCAAAAAATAAACTGTCAATTTAATATTTCTCTAACACCACTCTACGTCTACTTTTTTCATAATTTCAGATACATTCTATCCATATCATTCTAGCCATGCTATTATTATTCAATTAATATCAAATTTTTTATAGAGAATTTTATTAAACTCTAATCATCTTAAATTTATATTTTACTAAGACTGTAGTAACCTCAAAAACATAGTACACAAATAAATAAATGGATTACATAAGAAATTACTAACAAATTTATTGATATAAAAAAACTTGTTTTTTTAGAAAATGAAATTCTGTTTCTTTATTACAAAAATAGTAATACAGAAATCTAAAATTGAAATTAAATAAATTTTTATTTCAAGACCCAAATAAATAATTGAGAGTTTACAAAAATATATTTTATAAGAATACGAAGGTTGCTATCAAATAAATTTTTAAAGATGATTTTTCCTTGAATATTTTAAAATTATTAATGTAAAAAGACTAATTCTTACCCCATTTAGCAACTGATTATTTCAACTATATTAAAATAACTCTTAGTTACAATCAACTTACTTATCAAGCTTTTCCCAAAACACCATAAGTGTTGCTCTATCTAAATGGCGTCTTGTTTTTGATATTTCTAATACATTTACAGCCCATTTAGCTACATTATTATCCAATTTCATTTCATCAAATTTCAAGTGAAATGCACAAACTAAAAGTTGAATAATTTTAATAAGTAAACAAGTATTAGTATTTGTTAAATCCCCAAGAACTATACAAATATTTTGATATTTAGTAAGTAGAATCCCATTTGTAACTTACTTCGCCGTTTCTAAATTTTTAATTACTAACCATTAAGAAACTATAATAAACTAACATTTTGATTTTATAAATAATATCTTTTCTTAGAAAACATCAATTGTTTAAAATCAATAAAATAAAGTTTATAAATATTTCAAGTTTTTTAAAATGTATAGAAATAATCAAATTTACAATTATGTAATTTACTTTTAGAGAAAATTTCTACAGGATTTCCATCCCATGGCCAACCTTTGAACTGCCAAGCTGGACCCATAACAAATACAGCTACAACTCGATCCCATTCTCCTTGTGTCAGTCTTTGTGGGTTATCTACAACTCGGTAAGGGACAGTCATACCTCCATCTTTTCGGCGTTGTAGCAATAATTCATTATCGCGTTTGAAACCATTTTGTTTTTTTTCTTCAGTTGACACAAATCTATCATTTATAAAAAAGTTTGTTTAAAAAAAAAACAAATCATACATTAATTAATATCAAATTTATTGTTTGTTCAATCATAATAATTACTTACTTTAAGTCTTGTAAAATCTCTCGAGCATTATGCATTGAAATCAATGAAGATTGTCCTGCAGGAATAATAATTATTGGGGTTCGAGATACTCTTTGTTTTGCTTGTTGTGAAACATTTAATTTAGCCTAAAATTTATTTTTAAAAAATGTAAAATTAATACTCATTAAATTATCTTTTCTAAAAACTTAAACATATAATAACTATTAGTTAAATAATATTCCATAATTTTATCAAATAATTATTTATGCAATGTTAAACAAAAAAAACGGTAGCCCAGTGGGGTCGAGGCACAGTGTGGACGAGGCATAGATGGGACAAGTATAGATGATATCTGACAGTGATTATAATCACTATCATAAGAAACGCTTCGATGCAAATCTGTAGATAGTGTTTCATTTAGAGAAATTGGTGGATTATTCCAAAAGGAACATCAACTCTTATTTCTTTAATTATATCCTGATTAGCAGTTCTTTGATTTTAAAATATAATATATGAATAAATACTAACTAATTATAGTTTTTAAATTCAGTATGAAATTGTGAGGCCAGCTATGATCTATAAAAAGCAACCGTAATATGAAAAAAATTGAATATAAATTTTAGTACTCACATTAAATGTAATGTAACTCGAAAAATGTTTGTTTAAATGAAAAAATATAAGATAATTTTTTTGTTTATAATTGTCTTTTAAACAACTTTTGTACGAAACTTTTTTTTGTAAGTTAAATATTTTTTGAGAAAATTAAAAAAGCTCATATTTTTGAACTTTTGCGAGGCTGTAAAAAAAAGCTCAATTTCAATCAATGAAGACTATTAGTATGTCATTATACATATTTTAATTCAACTATTAATAAAACAAAATTTGGTTGGGAATTTTTTAAGAAATTTTTCCTTTGTTGACTGGCCTAGATGTCAATTTTAAATTTGTAATTGAGCTAAAAGTTATGGTAATATATTCAATTTTTTTTGCTATAAACTTTCATAAATCTTTATCAAAAATTGTTCATAAATTTTAAAGAACCAAAAAAATAGGTTAAAAATGAAAATTTGGATTGATCATTTTTAACATATTAAAAATCAAATCAGTAATAAATTGAAAACAATTCTTTTTTTCTTTTAATTATTTTTATATGTAATTAGTAATAATATAAAAAAAATAAAGAACTGATAGATAAAGTCTAATTGCAGATTTGAAAACAACGCGAAACTTTGATTTAAAAAAGTATATTTTTGTTTCTGATGAAAGTTCCTTGAAGTACAGTGCATTCATTTATAGTAACAAACAGTTTTTATTGAAAATTATTGTATTAAGCCCTTTAAATTTTTATACACGTAAAAATAAAGCAAAATACAACTTCTTTATTATTTTTATAATTTCTCCGTTTAAATTACAATATTAAATTATTGAATATCAATTTCATACTAAATTTAATAATTATAATTAGTATTTATTCATATATTATATTTTAAAATCAAAGAACTACTAATCAGGATATAATTAAAGAAATAAGAGTTGATGTTGCTTTTAGAATAATCCACCAATTGCCTAATTAAAACAAAGAAAAAAAAATTGGTTGAGAATTTTTTCTGCTATTCTCCAAAATTAATCCTTCGTTGACTAGAATGAATCATTAAATAGAAAATTTTATGAGAATTAAAACTATGCTATTTTTAAGACTAATATGCAGTCAGGAAATTTTATAATTACTATTTACAGTATATTTATCAGAAAAACTCATTATTTTTTTGTATTTTTATCGTAATAGAACACCTAAATAGAAATCATAGTAATCATTTCTAAGTAATTTTTAGTATTTAAAAAGATTCTACAATTGAAATATCCAGAACTGAATTAATTTTAATGATTTACTTTAGCTAAAAAAAAAGAAAGTTATAATTTTGAATCCCACTTGTGGGCAGGTAAAGAGTTAGATTTATAAAAAAAACAAATGATAGAAAAGACATGCATCTAAATAAAAAAAATTATACTGATTTGGTCATTTTTGTTAAAGTTATAACAGTTAACAAAGTTATAAGTTTTATACACTGGACTACAAGGAACTTTCATCAGAAACAAAAATATACTATTCAAAATCAACTTTTCGCAATGTTTTCAAATGTGCAATTAGACTTTTTCTATCACTTCTAAGTTTTAATATTATTAAAAAATAGTATTTGCATATAAAAAAATTTGTAGATAATATTTAATTTTAACAAATTAATGAATTTTTTGTCACTTATGAATAAATATACTGGACTACAAGAAACATTCATCAGTATCAAAAATATACTTTTTTAAATCAACTTTTCGCGCCGTTTTCAAATCTAAAATTAGACTTTTTCTATCACTTCTAATTTTTGATATTATTACTAACTAGTAAAAAATGAGTATTTACATATAAAAAATAGAGCGTATAATACAATTTGATTATATTTGTAAAAATCAATTGTTAATTCAGGAGAAAAAACAATCATTTTTTTTAGAAATGATTTATATAGCAACATGTTACAAAAAAAAATTGTAATATGATAGTCTAGTAGTAGCACACACAAATAGAGTAAAAAAATTATTAAATTACAAAGTAAAATGATTTAATTTTGTAGTTGAAACCTATCATATCAAACTTGATTCGTCAATAAATACTTTGAAACATTAGAAATTAATGATTTTAATTGTTTGTATGGAGGAAATGGAATAACTAACTGTTTAATTGATAAATTAAAATTTTTTTTCAATTTTTGAGGGTAATATCTTCAACCTAGATACGAATTGTAGTCATTTGACGTATCGTTGAAAAAAATAAATAAAAAATTTGTTACTTATGAATAAATACACTGGACTACAAGAAACTTTCATCAGAAGCAAAAATTTACTTTTCTAAATCAACTTCTCGCGTTGTTTTCAAATCTGCAATTAGACTTTTTCTATCAGTTATACATTTTTATATTATACTAATTACATATGAAATAATAATTAAAAAAAAAAAAAAATTGTTTTCAAATTATTACTGATTTGATTTTTAATATGTTAAAAATATGCAGTCAGGAAATTTTATAATTACTATTTATAGTAAATTTATCAGAGTAACTCAATATTTTTTTGCATTTTTATCGTAATAGATAACTTAAATAGAAATAATAGTAATCATTTCGTAGTATCTTTTGGTGTTTAAGAAGATACTACAATTAAAATATGAACTGAATTAATTTTAATGTTTTACTTTAACTAAAATAACCAATAAATAATACGAATTGTAGTAATTTGACGTATTGTTGAAAAAAGTAGGTCAAGTTAGAGCAGAGAAAATAAATGATAGTCACAAAAAAATATCTTCTCAGCTTTGCATCGAAGCGAAAACTTAAAATATAGTAAAATAATTTTAATACGAATAAGAAATTTCTTCTTGCAAGGGGCGACTAAAGTGATGGGATCCTTGATCTTTATTGAAGTTATTGAATCTAAATGTGATAAAAATCAAACGAGTTAAAAATGTATACTAACTTAAAAAGAATTAAGAAAAAATGCAAAAAATTCATTGCCATACGCGGGTTGGAACCTCGTACCCCAAGCGTGTAAAACATAAATTTTACCAACTCGGCAACCGTACGTCGCTACCGTCGGGTGAAAAAATAGGCTATTTAAGCTAGTTCAAATTTCAAAGTTATTTTTCTCGACTTAAAAGAAGCAAACAAATTTAAATAAGTTTAACTTTCTATGCTATATTAATTTTTTATTTATATAATATTTATGAAAATCTGTACTCCCCTTGTCAGGTATTTTAAAATAAAATAAAATACAAAACCCAGAATTTTAACACAAAAATAGCAAATTTTTGAATACGGTAGTCATTTTTACCGTGAAGACAAATCCAGAGGTCAAATTTTTTTTTTTAAATTAAAGTATATTATATAAGCTTTAATTTAAGATATATATAAAAGTGTCAGTATTTCCGGAATACTTTCAAAAATTAAATTGAAAATATCATAGTAACAATACGCATGATTAAAGTTTTGACCCCCCTTGTTAAAGGGGTATGATCCGATTTACAAAAAAAGCGTGTAGATGAAAGGAGTATATAAATATTTATTATAAAAAAATAATAATATTGATCCATACATTTTTCCAAAAGTTATATAAAATATAAATTAAATAATATAACATATAAAATCGAGATTTTTTTCACGGAAATCGTACGTTTTTCTTTAACTTTGATGTCCGTTTTCACCACGAAGACAAGTCCAGAGGTCAAATTTTTTTTTTTCAAATTAAAGTATATTACATAAGCTTTAATTTAAGATATATATAAAAGTGTCAGTCTTTCCGGAACATTTTCAAAAGTTAAGTTGAAAAAGTTCTACTTTCTATACGCATTTTAAAAGGTTTGCACCCCCCCTGTATAAAGGGAAATGGTCCGATTTTAAAAAAAAGTATGTCGAATGAAAGAAGTATATATAAAGTATTTATCATTAAAGAATAAAGTTGATTCATGCATTTTTTAAAAAGTTATAGCAACATAATGTTAAAAAATGTAAAATATAATATCAAGAATTTTTTCACAAAAATAGCATATTTTTGCATACGGTAGTCATTTTCACCATGAAGACAAGTCCAGAGGTCAAATTTTTTTTTTTCAAATTAAAGTATATTACATTAGCTTTAATTTAAGGTATATATAAAATTGTCAGTCTTTCCGGAACATTTTCAAAAGTTAAGTTGAAAAAGTTAATTTTTTGTAAAAAAGTTACCATTTTGAAACCCCATCCTTTGGGCTGTTAAAGGGTCAAATGTTCACAAAAATATATAAAATGATAGGTAATTATCTAAGGTATCTATAAAAAAAAAAATTATATTGATTCGGTCATTTTTAAAAAAGTTATGGCAATTTTAAGTAAAAAAAATTGAAAAAATATCGAAAATTAGCGATTTTTAAATTTGTAATTTTTTGGGGGATTTCCCCCGTTTACGGGGAACGAGGGAATTTTTTTCAATTTTTGAGGGTAATGTCTTCGACTAGATACGATTTGTGATCTTTTGACATATTGTTCATCAAAATCGGTCCAGCGAGAGCTGAGATTGAGCGTTCACAGACACAAAAAAAAAAAAAATAAAATAAAAAAAAAAACACATCATAGTAAAATTAATACCTTCTCAGCTTCGCATCGAAGCTAAAAAAGGTGCCAATTGATTTTTTTTCAAATATACATAAAATAAGCCACTTGGACATAAATTGTTTAATACTACAACAAAGTCAAATAGAAAATTTTGTATTAAATATTTTTGCATGTTTAGATTTTTTTTTTTAAGGTATTTTTGACATATAATTTTTAAATTTTTTTTTACTTTACGTTCATTGTTTTTCAAAATAACATTTTATAAAAACATTTATTAATTTGTATAGGTGTCAATAAATTGTACATATTTAGTTCTTTTTTAGAGCTTTAAATTTTGTACCTTACTTAATTTTGTTTTTGCAATAGACTAATCAAGACATTAGTTCTAAGTTAGGAGTTTAATTGATAACATTATATGTAAAACTTAACACCTATTTTGTTTTACTCTCAAAATCAAGTTTATCATGTAACAAGTCATTTGAAATAAATTTTCAACCAGATAATGTCTATTTTTTATTTTAAATTACTAAAAGTATTTCAAATAAATTTTAAACACAATATAAAAGAACTATTTAGTCATTTATAAAATTTACCAAAGTCTAGAAAGCAAGACATCAAGGGAGGACTAAGCTTATCAAGTCCTCCCCTAGTTACACCAATGTTAAAGAATCATTTAATTTAAAAAAAAAATTTTACTAAGTTTTTTGAAATCGATATCAAATTCATCACTTACAATGTGACTGCTTTTAAAACAGGATGGGTCTTTTTTTTTTATTAATACTAAAAATTTTCAATACCTGTGATCCAGTTATTCGTGATGATTGTTGAACAGGTGTGACTGTAGCAACAGGTTTTTTTGGAACTGTACCTTCAGTTACTGATTTCAAAGTCATTCCATGATATGTACCCATTGTATCAATTTTGAAACCCTCAGTGTCTAGTAATAATAATTTAAAAAGCCAAAAGTAAGAAATAATATGTCATATAGAATTTCATAATATGATTACCTTCTCTTGATTTGATAAAACGTTCTTGATCATATCGATTATATACAGTAGGTTGTGGAATTGTTGGTTTTGGTGGTGCTGCACGTGGTGTTGCTGACATACTATGTGTAGGTCGTGATCTACCATCTTCTCTATTTTTGATTGATTGCAGAATGGCAAAAATGTTCTTACCAAATACCTTTAAAAATGGTAATACAATGAATTATTGACATTAAAATAATAATAATAAAATATCAAAAGCTAAAACTTTTACTTATTCATAATTTATAGACTATTTATGATAATATTTCAACTAAATTTATAGAGTTAATTAAGAAGTTATGCTCTATAACATATAAATTTAATAAGCATATAAATATGATACTGGTTCACTATAAACATTATTAATTTAATCTGTACTTATACTTAATGTCATGTCTTATAAGAGCTTTAAATTAACATAATCACTGGGGATTGACGGGCGGTTATAGAAAGTGTATTGAAAATTGTGTGAAAAAAAGAGGCATGGTACGGGATTAGAACCTACAACCCAAAGCGTTATAAAGACAGACTTTTCCACTAGACCCCCACCTAGATCCCGATACACATTCATTTAAGTTGATAATGTGATGTGCGGCTGTGGGAAATACAGTACTTTGTCAAAATATACCCATACAATATGGGTATATTATAAGTCATATATATAACCAATATTTTATGGGTATATATTAATCAATACTGGACACTAACTAATCAGAAAGTTACTATTTAAGTAATTTATTAACTTAACTAGTTAGTTTTAATACATAATAACCCAACTAGTTGAATTTAGTGTGTAAAATAATTAACTGTTTATATTATATTCCTTGCAGTTTATAGTATACTTAATTAAAAAGGAATAACTCCAAAAGTCGATAATTAACAGCATAAACTAATTTTTTACTTTTCCGTTGCTTTGTAAAATAGTAGTTCGTGTCCTCCATTGTCTTTCTCTTTTTATAATATCCTTAGTGATATCTACGTCAAAATCTAACATAACTCGTAAATCTGGTCCTAAACCTATATCATCATGACCTTTAATAGTAGTACGTTTTTTTGCCAAACGTTTAGCTTTAATAGCAGCAATTTTTTCTACTGACATTGCTTCTGAAAGAGATCTGAAAAAATAATTGTATACTTTTATAATATTTCCTTATAAAAAAATTTAAGTTGATGAATTATTCCATTGTTAAATATATTTAAATAATACTTGATATTGTCAACATTAACAGCCGATTCTTTAGGCGCATCTAAACGTGCAGCTAATTGTTGTTTAACTCTTTGAACTTGCAAAGTATCTTCCATACGGGGTTTCTTTGCAATTGATTCTTGAACATCTTCAACAGCACTTCGTTTAACCTAACCCAAAATTAATACTCAATACAAATATTGATAAAATTAACTACATTTTTAATTTTTACTTGAGTAGGAATTTCTAAAGGTGCACTGCGATCAATACTGGCAGATGTAGATAATTCACCATTTAAGTATGCTAATAATTCTCTTCGATCGGGTCTTCTTACTACAGGTATATTTTCGGCCTGTAGCAAATTACTTATAAAATATTTGATACATATATTTATTAAAAAGGAAAAAAAATACAAACCGCTGCTTGCCGCACATACACAGGATGTGTAAGTGTAACATTTTTTAGAAGGAATAATAAACATTCTAATGTGTAGTACTCTTTAGGTGCACCATCTTTGCCAGAACTATAAATAAAAAATAACAAAATGTTCAATATTCATTGAATATTTCACAGATCAAAATATCTATTTAATCCATGTAACCAATATCATTAACAGTTTTTTCAAATATAATAAAATAACTTTTGATCAGTGCGGTGAATTAAGACTCTTATATTGATATTTTATCATCACATTATTTAGATTTAAATCATTTGTGTACTTACCCATACATTAAGAAATTTGTATTAACAGTTTTAGGCCAGGACAAATCACCAAACAATATATGATTGTCCTTGATTATTATTTCTTTTTTATTAATATTATAAGTTCGCAAAAACGTCAATGGATCGGCCATTTTTACAAATTTTTTACTAAAACGTACAGCACTAATAAAAAAATTTAAAAAACAAATCTAGAGAAAAATAAATAGAAATCTGTAGTTCATGTTACGAATACAGAATACGTATTTATTAGATAAATGAGAGTTATCAGTATTGTTTTCAAAACCTAAACAAATTCAATTATTATCAATAAACATACAGTGTTACAAAATTATAGATATAAATAACCACGTATAATACAACAAGGTTATTTATATAATTAGATTTATATACCTAAATATAAATATTATTTATATGTATAAGAACATAAAAACGTATTACTATTAAAATTTAACACATTGTACTTAATTTTAAATACTAACCGCAAAAAATCAGAATTAAATTCTTCTCACTTATTCTCTACTACACACCACTGAAATTCTCAAAATACCTAATTTATTAATTCCACTGTTAAACAAAATAACCCAGTGTTATTAACACCTCTTCTTACTATTTCAAACCTAAGTTTAGGCTGCTTCATATTGTCCATACCGTACAACTGTACATTAAGTTTGGAATAAACTATTTCTGGACTTTAAAGACATTAAATAAAATTTAAAACATTTTCGTGATTTCGCACGTAATTTAATTACATTCCTTAAATTAGATTTTAAAAATTTTAATGGGAAAGTAATTAGTTTACTTATTTAATTCTCACTGATGTTCAAAAATCAAAAAGTTCGAATGACAATTTTTAAAACGTTGAGTTACAATTATTTTTCCTAAAATTTTTAGCAATCCATTAATTATTTTTGTAAAGTGCTAAAAATTGGCTATTTTGAAAATTAAAAATTGTAATAACTGCTATATATTTTTTTTGTACAAAATTTAATAATTTTAAGAGATTTTGAATAAAAAAAACCCAGCAAAGTGAGGTGGCGGCACAGTGGGGTCGTGGTATAATTGAGTCCAATATAGATGATATCTGACAGTCATTAAAATCACTATCATAAAAAACGCTTCGATGCAAATCTGTAGATAAGGTTTAATTTAAAAAAAAAATTTGTCAAAAAAGTAGGTCAAATGAGAGCTGAGAAAATAAATGATAGCTACAAAAAAAAACCACATAGTAAAATATATTAATATGAATTTCTTCTCACGAGAATAGACTACAGTAATGGGATCCATAATATTTATTGAAATTATTGAATCTAAATGAGATAAAAATCAAATGAGTTAAACATTTTTTCTTACTCAAAAAGAATTAAGAAAATATTCAGTGCCACAGGGGTGAAAGACCCAAGTGTTACCGTCTCAGAAACCGTACGTCGCATTCGTCACTTAATAAAAATGGAAATTTAGCTAGTTCAAATTTTAAAGTTATTTCTCTCGACTTCAAAGAAACAAAAAAATTTAAATATGTTTAACTTTTTATACTATTTCAATTAGATTGATGTAATATTTATGAAAATCAGTGTAATCCCCTTATAATACAATAAAATACAAAACCGAGAATTTTAACACAAAAATAACATATTTTTGAATACGGTAGCTATTTTCACCATGAAGACAAAATAAAGTCCAAAATTTTTTTTAATATTAAAGTATATTAAATAAGCTTTAATTTAAGATATNCATTTTATAGTACATAAAATAAGCTTTAATTTAAGATATATATAAAAGTGTCAGTATTTCCGGAACACTTTCAAAAATTAAGTTGAAAAAGTTCTACTTTCTATATGCTTTTTAAAGATTGGAACCCCCCCTGTATTAAGGGAACTGGTCCGATTAAAAAAAAAATATGTCAAATTAAAGAGGTATATAAATATTATTTCTCATAAAAAAATTGTATTGATCCATACATTTTTCAAAAAATTATAGCATAATAAAGTCAAAAATGTAAAATACAAAATTGAGTTGAAAAAGTTGTCATTTTAAATCCCCCACTGTGGGCAAGTAAAAGTTCACATATAAAAAAAAAATATACCAAATGAAAGGTAATGATATCATGCATCTATATAAAAAAAATTTATATTGATTTGGTTATTTTTAAAAAAGTTATGGCAATTTTAAATAAAAAAAATTAAAAAAATGTCAAAAATTAGCGATTTTTAAATTTGTAATTTTTTTGGATATTTCCCCCATTTGCGGGGAACGAGGGAATTTTTTTCAATTTTTAAGGGTAATGTCTTCGACTAGATACGATTTGTGATCTTTTGACGTATCATTGAAAGAAATCGGTTCGGTGAGAGCTGAGAAAAAGTGGTAACAGACACAAAAAAAAACACTGATGGGTTTTTTTATAATTTTTTTTCTTTAATTTTTTATATTTTTATAGTATTATTAATATTAAAATTATAAATTTTCTTCCTGTGTGAACTTTTTTTTTTATGTTTATAACGGACATGACTACTAAAAGCAATATTGTTAGAGAAGGCGTTCCATAAGGAACGGATTCCTTTTTTGTGGAACAAATGAAGAAATAAATTCCATTACGTCTAATAGTAATAGAAGCGTCATTTAATTCATTATTTTTAGGAATAGAAATTATTAATAAATTAATAATTAATAAGCATCATATAAATTAGTTTATGTAAAATAATTATACTATAAATGTGTGTACATTTATAATAAAATATCATACGAATAATTTTTTTTTTATTTTTGTAATACACTTCAAAAGCTTTAATTGAATAAATCAAAAGTTATCAGACTTTTCAGAAAATTTTCAAAAATTAAATCGAAAAAAATAATATAATACAATAACTTTTTTTTTGAGTAATGTAGGAGGGTAAACCTAATTTTTTTAATATTAATCTATAAATTTAACAAGTTTTTTCATTGGATAATGATCTAATTAATAAAATGACTAATCGATAACAATGTTTGAACCAGTACTTCAGATGATATTAGCATTTTTAAACGTAGACAGGAGGAATGCTGAGAAAAGTTTATTAATAAAAACAGTAGCACCCATTCCTCACTTTCTGTTTATACTTTAAATTGTTCTTAACATTTGAAGTATTAGGCCAAAAGTTATTATCAACTAGTTCTTTTCTTAATTACATAACATTCTATTTTTTGAGCTAAATAAATATGAATATTGTTATTAGAAAAAATTAAGTTGATACCCCCAAGATATTACAGATGAAAATAAAAATTATTTTATAACTGATGAATGGAAATACATATGTAACTAACAAAAGAAAAAAAAAATGTACAAAGATTATTATTATTATGACTAGTATTAAAAGAATCATTCTGTATTATTGTAATGGATCATCACAATAAACATGTAAAAGTTAATGTGGAGGCTATGACTCACTGCTTTGTTAGCTTTACACAATTTTAGCACCCTTGGTTTTATTCTCTAGTTGCACCATTAGGCTAGAAGGTACCCAAATACTTAACCCCTCCTTAAATGCGGACCTAATTAGACATTATAATACAAGAGTTTTGGTGAATTCTACTTCCTTCACAAACACTTAACAAAATACATGATTCGATAAGTAGAAATTAAAGGAGTTAAAGGCGTTAATTCACTAAAATCACCTATAATTCTGAACAGTACCTATCCAGGCAAAGCATGCAAACAATGTATAGTTTTTGATAAAATGTAGTCCACTTGCAGATCCAGTTCAATAATAAAATTATTTACTCAGTTCAATTAAAAAATAAGTTTATAAATTTTCTATATGGTTGTATAAGTTATAAATGTACAATTACAATAATATTACAAAAAGGTTTAAATAAAGTAAGTTATTTTATACAATTATAAATTACTATATTATCACATGTTAAAACAACATTAAAAAATCAAACTAAGTATAAGGCTAAAACATAATTAAATACTTCATATTATAATTTTACTTTTTAGTAATACATTTTACTATAAATATTTTGTTCATTATGAATATTAAGTAAAATAATATAGAGTTACTGAATTAGAAAATGTTGAAACTATGAAGAGTTTAATGAAGGTTTAAAATAAGAAGGAATACTATTTTTGCATGGCTTTTTAATTGATAAACTTTTGGGTCTTCCTAGTTTACGTTTTCGACTGTTATGCAAATTTGATACTGACGAGCTGGTTTTGCTTACATTCTCAATTATTTTTACAGTTTTAATAGAATTTAATTGTTTACTTAATTCTACAGCTACATGATGATCAATATGTTCATCATACTCATCAATATCTAATTTTCTCAGGCATTTATCACATATTAATTTTAATGGGTCCTCTCCAAAATTACTTTCTTCAATGATAGAAGAACTTTCAATTTGAAATAAACTCTTTTTTACTTCTTCTTTAGTTTGCAAAGCAATATCAATTTTTTTACAAAAGAAACCAATATCAGATGATTGTTTATCATCTAAGGATTTGTTTGACACTATAATTTCATTTTCAGAATAAGTGGTATTAATTAAAGTAAGTTTGTTGTCTTTGTTATTAACATCTACAAATTTATGTTCTAGACAATCATTATTAGATACTTTAGTAGGAGAGACACTTTGAAGTTTTTTTAAGAAAAAACTACTGACATCAAGTTTATTAACTTGATCAGTTTCAATTTTATGATCCTCTAACTGTTCCTTTTTTAATTTTTGTTTAGGAAATTCTATACTTAACTTATTTTGAGTGATATTACTTTGTTTAATTGTATTATTTGAAACAGATGAATTACAAGTAGGAAAGTAATTTTTTGAACAAGAAGGTTGATGGGTTACATAATGTTCATTTAGTATACTTCTTAAAGGTTTTACAGTATGTGTATTTGCTTGTTTTATACAATTATTAGAAGTTTCAAGTATACTAATATTTACTTCAGCTGATTTTGTCTGATTTGAATTATTTGTATCAGTAACTGTAGCCTTATTAAAATAATTATTAATTAAATATTTTTCATCTTTCAATTCTTTAAATTTTCCAACGGCAAGCCCTATGAAAGTCAAAGGATTTTTCCTAGAAAATGTAAAGAAAAAAATTAATAAAAATCAAAAACAATCTTTATGTTAGGTAAAAACTATATTTTAATAGCTTTGTAATAAAAACTTGAATACAGTAAAATGTTTAAACAATTATTTCTACCAATTAATTGATTGTTTTTGGTTATCAGTCATAGAACATAACAAAGAAAAAGCTGTGGTCATTAATTTTTCACGGCAATATGATATTACTTCACCACAATGTGATGTTGGTAAATTTACTTCCCTATTTTGATACTTAACACTGACAGTCATAGATGTTGCTTTCCTTTTGTTCTGTAAAATATAACAATAATATTTAACTAAACTGTACAACATCACAATAAAAAATGCAAATTACCGCCTTATAGTCAGAATTTAATTTTTCGAAAACATCATCAATTAAAGTACTTAACCAATGAGTAACATCTTCTTTAACTTTTAAACCCAACGGAAATGATTTACAACTTCCAATTGATTTTGGAATTAGTCTAGATTCTACTGGCTCATTATCAATACCTCTTGCTATTTGATATAAAAAGTTACTGAAAGTTATATCATAATAAATTAATTAATTTAAATCATATTTTTTAGATAAACCACTCGGAGGCATTAAATAATGAATTTCATAAATGAAGACATAACCCACTCTCACCATCTTATTTCCACAAAAAATCCATTACCATAAATATTATTAATATTATAAGTTTATATATAAATTTTTTTAATTTAAAAAATAACAAAATATAAGAATATACCTAGTTTTATCATCAAATATTTTTCTTAAATCATTTAATGAAATTTCAGCCAAATCAGACATATAAGCACATTGAAACAGTTGAGTCACTTTATAACCTAATTTTCCTCCTAAATTTCGTACTTTCTTTAATGGCACAGACTTAAAAAGATGTGGAATACTAGAAGGGGGTAATAGAGTTTGTTTATTAGGTTTATTAAGACCACATGCAAGTTTAGCTAAAATCTAAAAATAAAATTAATTCATTAATATTTTATTGTAATATAAAAATTTTCATTTAAATAGAAAAAATTCACAATAATTAATGTAAAGCTATTATTTTACCTTATTATTAGCAATTCCAGCAGAACAACGAAAACCTGTTTTAGTAAAAATAGACATTCTTAAATTTTCAACCATAATGGCACCAACAGTCAAACGCAGCATGTTATCATCTTGTAGTTCATTATTATATACATCCCTAAGCCAAGACTTGGTACACTTGATTTTATCTTCTACAAAAATTATTCAACTTTAAGTATTAATTAAATTATTTAAGCAAAATAAACTCCATATAATGGCTACCATGAAATACCAAAACAAAATTTTTTAAATCTGTTTCATAATTTGCATAAATATTATATATATATATATAACTTTACATGTCAATCTTGTCAATTAAATCTAAATTTTAAATCTAAATATAAAAGAAAATAACTCTGGATGACAAAAATTACAAATTCTTCATTATATTTAAAAAAATAAAACAATAATTATTAAAAATCTAAACTTACCATTAGAACCATTAGTTGAATAACCTTCAATGTAAGTATTTGGTAAATCAAGTTCAGTAAGCAATTTGTTTTTCTTGGATTTCAAGTAATTGATAACAGCAGATGTTAAATCTACATAGGCTTCATCAATACTAGCTCGTTGCACACAAGGACTAAATTCACTGAGAACTTCAAAAACTTTTTGGCTAGCTTCTCGATACCTACACAAATTTTAGTACTTAATAAAAATAAAATCTTAAACTTTAAAATAAATATTATATTACTTGGATAAGTCTGCTTTACCATGAAGTTCTTTTACACGAACAATATTTAAATCTGGACAAGTCTTTAAAGCATCATTTCCTCTCATATGACGTCCAACACCTTTCGCTCGTGCTTCATAATTAACAGCTATAATACTAAAAATATAATACTAAGGTTAAATTCTACTAATTTGTTATTACTTTTTCGTTTTTCCTAACCCGCCTCCTTTCCAACTATTATATTGCACAACCGCAACAGGCTTTCCAATCAATTCTTGATTATGTTGAACTTCTACTTGACAATAAAAACAATCCATATCAACTAATACTATTATACGACTTGTATCAAACTCATCCATATTTTTATAAATTATTAATTAAATTACAGTAATCAAAAATCGAAGGTGATGGTACTCGAAAATTCTTATTTCCCTATAATAATACTAAACTCAATAAAGTTCAACTGAATATTTGTATTCAATTTTCAATGACAATTACAAATAAATTATTATCAGCAAATAAAGTACCAGCTGCAGATAACAACTTTCGTGATAATTTGTAATCTATTTTTTAATAAATCAGTCTCATGGATATAGATAAGTAATCCATTATAAACTAATATTTTGTAAATATTTAATTAATTTAAATATAGACATATACTTATTGTATTTCTAATATAATTATGATTTTTAAAAATACTTCGTTCAAGTTATACAGTGTTCTTTTGATTAATAGACCAAAATCAAACAATTTTATTTTAAGAAAACAAAGCACGTTCATTGAACGATATAAATCATACTGGAAAAACGTAGCAAACGATTATTATGAAGCAATATTAGGTATTGGAACCTATTCAAAAGAAAATCCGTTAAAGAGTATGTTAACCAGTGTACTGGCTAGTTGTATGTTTTATTGTGCATTTAATAATCCAGATGAAGAAAATTACTGGTCAGAACTTCTTGACTGTACTAATTCAATGTTGTATATTAGTCCTTCAATTTGTAGTCCTAATACTGTTCAACGCTTAGAATATTTGAGTCGATGCAACAACTCTAGAACTATTAAAAGACTAAATCTTTTAATATTATCAATTATTTGGATAGATGATTTTGACGATAATATTTATCTATACAAAGCACAATGTACTTACTTAAAACCATCTATTTTTCAAATACCTTACAGAGTTGTAGACATTGGATTTTTAAATACATGGTGGTATCTTAAACAAACAATGGTGGATTATGATGTAAATCCAAATGAATGGAAAAATGATTCAAGAGATATAGTTTAACCATTTTTGTTAATATTGCATTGTTAGTTAATATATAAGATGTACATATTTTTCATGATTGTTGTTTATTTAAAAAATAATTAAATGAAACTGTTTTATAATCAAAACATTTCATTTTTATTATCTTTATTATAAATATTTTACCATAATTAAAGATTTAATACTATTATGTAAAGCTAAATTTCTTTAAAAGTAGGTGATTTGTTTAGAAACTTACATAAAATATCATTTCTAAATATTTTAATTTTAATAAATAAAATCTCATTGAAATATGATTATAACACAAAATTATAGCTTCCATGTAATTGCACCAAAATCTTCAATTATGCAAATTATAATAATATTTATGTAATATAAATAAAACAATTTTTTTTCAAAGATTACTAAGTGAAAAAATCATATTATTAATTCTTATACATAATTGTGTAAATTAAATTTAGATATAAACAAGTGTTAACATAAAAATAATTAAATAAAATAATCATTATGGCTCTTTTGTTTATTGAGTTTTCTTAGGTAAACCAATAGCTTAAATACCCTGCATTTTTTGTTATAAAGACAATATTAAAATTTGGCTACATTGATTTAAATAACTTAATGTAAAGTGATATTTTATCAAAATGAAGGTTTCTAGTTTTAGCATAATATGAATAAAAAATAGTACTTTTTTTTTTGATAACAACTTTAAAAAAATTGAAAACAATTACTTTTATAATTATTACTACTAAATAATAATTACTACTTAAAGTACTCAATAATGATATAAAAAAAAATTGAAACACTTATTAAAACCCAATTCCAAATTTTATTTATTTTCTGGAGATAAATAAGATTTTTTTTTTTTTTTTTACTTCCATTAAATCAGTGATTTATTTTATAACATATTCCTTTTTATATTAACATAGTCCCATCAATCATTTAAAAGTGGCAAAGTTGGGCACTTGTTCAAATAAATATTTAATCATTAAATTTTATTATTATTTAATAGAAAAACACTTGTTTTTTTTTGTATGATATATTATATTTTCGTTAAAATTAATGCATTCACAATATTAACAAGAATTTATCGTAACACTTACTTTAGTTATGGTAAATAACATAAAAAAATTAACTAAATAATACCAAATTTGAAATGCAATTTTAAACATGACATATTACAAATTTATAATCATATCAATAACCACTTTAATTATGTAAAGTATAACTTATGTAAAAACTTTTTACAATGAGGAAATATAAATATCTACCTAATTCATTAGCCAAATTAAGTTCCAAATATTTAGTACGAATAAAAAAAATTATAAAATCGATTTGGTTTAATTATACATTTGTATTTAAAACTTTTATATATTGTTTCAAAATATACATATGACTGAAAAGACATTTTTAGGATTGGCTTAAATCTTTAGTGATAAAATCACCCCTATCAGTCTATTTAAAATCTTTTAATTGATAGTGTTATTAATTAATTTTTATAATTAAAGCATAATTATATCTCACCATTGATGGTAAACGTGCTCCTTAACCTTCAATCCACAATAAAACAATGTCTCTGATAATATTAGTGGTAATAAAAATTGGCACTAAGAGTAATTACCTCTTCGAGTTAATAGTGTGCTCAGGATTTTCTTATTCATAATAAAATATTATATCCCCTTTTAATCAAAATATTAATGTAATGTTATCAAATAATTATTTTCGTTCTAAGGTAGTTAAAATTCCTTTTCCTCCCTAGGCTGCCCTTGCTCTGTGCCACCCCCTTTGATATTTTTTCCTAATATTGGGAGAGAAAAATAATAAAATAGTTTCTATTCACATTTATAATTTTATTTTAGTCAATTACACTAAAATAAAATAACTTTTTAAGGAGTCCATTAGACTTTCAATGGAAGTTATTTTAGAAGATTTCAGTTTGGAAGTAAATAGAAACTTCCAGTGGACATTAGATTCTTACAATAATTAAATACAATTGTATTTATTGGTACAGTGTTGTTTTAGTGTACATTTAAAGCTAATATTTAACTACAGTATCAAACAGTTAAAATTAATTTTATTAATAAGAAAAAATATATTTTGCAAAAAAAGTCGTGATGAGCCTTCATTTAATAATATATTAAAACTATTTGATATATTTTTCGTTATTTGCATGATACAGACTTGATTCTAAACTTACTTTTTATAATCTATTGTTATAATTTAAAGTATTCTCCTACTATACTTACGGGTTAACAAATTTTAAACAAAATTTTATTTAATTATTTATTAGTCATAATTATAAAAATATATAACTTTTTGGTAACTATAAATTTAAAGCTTTGAAATTCCAAAAAAAATCAATTGAGACTTAATATATAAAAAATAGTAACCTAATTACAGAAGAACAAATTGTTGACTATCTCTTATGCACTTCTACAACTACTGTTGAGCTTGTACCTGGTGTATCATCACTTAGTTCAGTATTTGTACTTTCTTCGGCATATTCATTTCCTTAAAAATATTTATATTATTAATACTTAAATCTTTTGACAGTTATAGTTTCCTACAAACTCCAGATCCCGATTTCACTTAATTTGGGAATTCCGTTATTTATATAAATTATTAGAAAAGTAATGTGAATAAATATTTCACAATATGATATTTTGTAACGAAGACTAAAAACATGAATAATATGCATTTCATGGTAATTAATTATAAATATATTACTTCAAAATAAATATTATCTTAGTGTTTTTATTTATCAGAGATTCAAAACTACTTTTACTCATTAATAGATTATTTTGCTTATTCCAGACAACCATTAATACAGATGAAACAAGTTCTATTGTACTTATTAAATTATTTTTTCAGTTTATTAGTGATATGATCATCACACACTTACATTTCACATGTCAATACACTTTTGTTAAGGTTGATATTATGGTAAGGAAAACACAGTAATGTATCTCTAGCAACTTTATAGTTATGAATTCTAAGTTTTAAAAATCTTATAATTACTCGACGTTTCTGCTACAGCACACGTTTTACATTTAACTGAAACATTTTTAGATTTCAATAAATTTTTTGCTGCAATATGCATCATAGTTAATCCAAAAATCCAGTAACCTAAGCCATATCCACCGACAATAGCAATGAAAACTAACACATTGTAAGTCATTACAGCACACATTAAAATATATCCAATCAACATTTGAAGCAAATAAATTCCTAATGCTTTAACACAGCTATAAAAAAAGAACATTTTAACTTACTAATAATTAATAATAGAAAACTATAAATCCTCACTGTATTATTCTCATTTTAAATGAAATAGAAAAATGTTCTTTAGTGACATATTCTTTACATCCAGGCTGACTACAACATAATAAACGTTTGTGAACTTTAGTCATATAATGCACAGTTTTAAGTGATTCAAATATAATTGCTAGGGCCATCAACCCTACACATACAGTTACTAGACCTAAAACAAATAGAAATTGATATATTTTTGAATATATTTATGATAACTTATTGTTATAATAAAAATCACATAAAATTGAACTACAAAGATATAAGTTTAAAACAGGAATAATTTACTCTATAATTTCATTGAAAATATAGTAATCATTTTACTTTTTTTTAAATTCTTAAATTTTTTCTATACATTCTGATCCAGAAATCATAACTCATCAAGATAATAACAAAATAAATCAAAATTTTTCTATAATATGACTTTATTTTAAAAATTCAATAATTATCTTCTAAAAAGTTGATCAAATTGACATGAACTTTTTTTTTTTTTGTAACTAAATATAAAGTTGACAAATAATTACAAATAGTTGTAAGAAATTCACCTATAATTTCAATACTAATAGTATTTTTAATAAAGTACCTAATCGTATTTCATTAACAATCATGAAAATTATATCAATGAATTGAAATTTATTTTAATGTCTCATGTTTTGGACACACCTCATTAGATTTTACAATTTTTTTTAAAAATTAAACTAAATAATACTTATAGATAGAAATGTTATTATTCATAGTGTTTACCTATAAATGACTGAATATTAAAATTATTAATCAAGAATGGCTCAATGTTTGAACTGAATGTAAAAGACATTTTTCACGTTGTATATGTGTTGTTTATGTCAGTAGATAGACCTATATAAGTTTATTTAAAATCATTTTACTAAGTATATTGCATATTAATATAATATTAATATTAATATATCCCATATTAATAATCAGCGTCTTGAAATTTATCAAACTGATGTCAGAAAAGTATAAGGTCCATTGTCCATGATAATAATTAAACAACACTAAAAAAAAATAATTATATTTAAATTCCCTACGCTCATAATACAATTACACGAGTGGGAGAAATAATACACTTCTTTTCACTTTACAGCAGAAAATAAACAAATAATCTAAAACTGATAATTACTGAACTATGATAATAACTGCTAATCAAGTTTGGATCTAAACTGTCAACATGCAGCTATTTTTACTGTAAACGAATAATTAAATCATATTGGTACAATAAGACGCAAAGTAATGAAACCTTAGAAATTTTATGTCGCAATATATTTCGTCACTCTAACATAATAACTCTCTCTTTAATACTATTGAAACGTATCAAATACTCATTATAGCTAAACGCGTTTTATAAGTAGTTAAAATATATCAATTTTTATCTAAATATTAATTTATGTAAAATAATAATAATCAAAATTTGCAGTTCCAAATTTTTCCTAGGAAGTGCTAGAAGTATATAAACAGTGAAAGGATACACTCCACACACTTCCATATCCATTTCAAGACACCTGTGCTAATATTAAAACGCAATATACTTTATATCAACTCTTCTAATACTGTTCATCTTTTTTATAAGTCCAATAAATAATAAAACTCTAGATAACATAAAATATGTTTATTTTTATTAATATTTTAAAGTTTATAATTTGGAAGTTACAAATGCTATAATCATTGAAAAGGATTTACAAACTTAGGCATGCTAAAAATTTTTGGAATAGCTAAGTTTCTCCAACTTGCACCTATCATCATAATATATTTTTATAAATAAATATATATTAATCTGTAAACTCTTCCTTAAATACATCCCTATAAAAAACCTATCCACATCTATCACAAAAAAAATAAATCTTGAATGTTTCTTATAAAGGAGATCAAAACTATTTTATTCATCAACACAAGTTTATGTTTACACATCAGCTATTAGCATCAAAAGTGTCATTTCCTTTTTTTTTTTTTGTGGCAAATTTTTAAATGGACCCTTCATACTCATAATTTTTAATTTATGACTTCTTTTTTTCTAAAAGTATGCATGAATCCATTTTATAGATCTGTTGATCAGAGTTAAATTAGTTAGATGAGATTTCAAAAAAAATTTCAGTAATTATAGGTTAGCTTAGATAAAGTAATTTTTAATGAGAGAATGGGATATGAGACTTTATTTTGTCTTCACGGTGAACATGGCTACCAAATGCTATTTTTGTGTTAAAATTCTCGATTTTATATTTTACATTTTTTACTTTAAAATGTTATAACTTTATGAAAAATGTATGGATAAATACAATTTTTTCATGAAAAGTAGTCTTTATATACATCTTTCATTCGACATACTGTTCTTTTAAATCGGACCATTTCCCTTAATAGAGGAGGGGTTCAAAACATAAAAATGCATACAGAAAGTAGAACTTTTTCAACTTAATTTTTGAAAGTGTTCCGGAAATACTGATACTTTTATATATATCTTAAATTAAAGATAATGTAATATATTTTATTATGAAAAAAAAAAATTGAACTCTGGACTTGTCTTCGTGGTGAAAATGGCTACCAAATGCTATTTTCGTGTGAAAATTCTTGATTTTATTTTTTACATTTTTAACTTTATAATGCTATAACTTATTGAAAAGTGTATTGATCAATATAATTTTTTTATGGGAAATACTATTTTTTAATAATCCCTTTTTCATTCGACATACTTTATCTTAATCAGGATATTAATAAGGAACTAGCAGTTTATGAAGCTTTTGGAATAATCCACCAATTTTTTAAAATTAAACACTATCTAAAGATTTGCATAAGCGTTTTTTTTTTTGATAGTGATTTTAATCACTGTCAGATATCATTATACTTGATCCAACTATGCCACGTCACCACTGTAACGCGACCCCCCTGTGCTGGGTTTTTTTTACTCTATTTATGTGTGCTACTACTAGACTATAATATTCCAATTTTTTTGCTAACATGTTGCTATATAAATCATTTCTAAAAAAAATGATTCTTAGTTTCTCCTGAATTAACAATGGATTTTTTCAATCATTATCAAATTTTGTAATACGCTCAATTGAGTAATCTTTTTAACAACTTTGTTTTAATTGGTTTATTTAGTTAAAGTAAATCATTAAAATTAATTAAGTTCTGAATATTTCAATGCAGAATCTTTTTAAACACCAAAAGTTATTAGGAAATGATTACTATTACTTCTATTTAAGTTATCTATTACGATAAAAATGCAAAAAAATATTGAGCTACTCTGATAAATTTACTATAAATAGTAATTATAAAATTTCCTAACTGCATATTAATCTAAGCGATACCATTGTTTTAATTCTCATAAAATTTTCTATTTAATGATGTCAATTTCAAATTTGTAATTGAGCTAAAAGTTATGGTAACATATTCAATTTTTGTTACTATAAACTTTTGCAAAACTTTATCAAAAATTTTTCATCAACCTTAAAAAACCAAAAATATAGGCAGAACCTTGGTGCACTCCTACTCTTACCCAAAAACCTTCTGATATTCCTCCTACGCTTTTTACCCTAGTACAAGTGCCATCATACATATCATCTATTATATTAATGTACCTTTTCGGGACTCCTTTTCTCATATGTAATTAGTAATAATATAAAAAATTAGAAAAGATAGAAAAAGTCTAATTGCAGATTTGAAAACAACGCGAAAAGTTGATTTAGAAAAGTATATTTTTGCTTCTGATGAAAATTCCTTGTAGTCCAGTGCATTTATTTATAGTAACAAAAAATTTTTATTGAAAAGTATTGCATCAAGCCCTTTAAATTTTTATACACGTAAAAGTAAAGCAAAATATAATTTCTTTATTATTTTTATAAATTCTCAGTATAAATTACGATATTATATTATTGAATATCAATTTCATACTAAATTTAATTACTATTTTATTATGTATTCATATATTATAATTATAAATCGGGATAATATTAAGGGAATAAGAGTTATGGTTACGTTTGAAATTATCTACCAACCTCTTAAAATTTAACACTATCTACAGATTTGCATCAAAGCGTTTCTTATGATAGTGATTTTAATCACTGTCAGATATCATCTATACATGTCTCAACGATGCCACGTCCATACTGTCCCGTGACCCCACTGCGCTACCGTTTTTTTTATTCAAATTACATTTTTTAAAAAAAAAAAAAAAAAGTCAGCTACTTCAAAAATTATTCAATTTACCATTATGTAATTTAGTTTTATAAGAAAATGGTTTCTTAGTAATGAAGGAAATATATATCCGAGTAAAGTGATAGGCTTTCATGTGTAATTCTTGCACATCCAAAAATTTTGCCATATTTACGCCTATGCACTATATTAAAATTTTAAAAAACATAAAAGAGAAATCCTTATAAAAAGATATATCATTTTTATAGTAAAAAATATTTGCAATCACCAAAATTTATATTTTTTGTTAACATTTTTATTTCATTAATTTTCGTAGTATCGACCCTGAATATGTATTTTATGGATGTAATTATTATTATAAAAGTCCTTGATTTGTTTTTTTTCTGTTTCTTCACGTTGCGACGAATAGTTTTCAGGTACTTATTATTACAATGTATTAGTTTTTACTTTATGAATCTATATACATATAGACATATGCAATAATTTACTATAACAAATTCTAGTTCTAGTTAAAAATATCAATAATTTGATACGTTATCAATTTTGGGACACAAAAGTTCAATATCGATATCGAAACTAAATTATGAGAATATGTTTAGCATTAATGATGGTAACATTTTTTTCGAAACACAAATACGCGATTTTTTAATATTTGTTAATTTTTAAATTCTATGGTATTCGAATTAAAGGGGATAATTGTAAAATTACAACTTATGACAAATTAAGTTTAACTTACATAAAACTATTTTGCAGAGCTCCTAATATTTTTGTTTAATAAAAAAAGAACTTTTTTTAGTCATTTATTTAATTTGCGGGATTGTATGGGAAAACACTTTGTCCGCACCAAAACATTTTTAATATTATTTATCAAAAATTTCGCTTGCTACTGTAAATGTTAAAAACTTCAAAAATACATGTATGAGAAAATTCAAATAGTTTTTTTAAGAGTGTACGATTAAGTCTTATTTTTTTTATAAAACACTATTATTTTGGTAATGATATTTAGTAGTTATGAANTTCCGTCTGGCCATAGTAACAACAAAGATTTGTCAAATGCTTTACAAATTGTACTATGATTTGCTTTTTCAAGTTCATCAATATTTAATAGAAATATTTCACTAGGAGAATCATATAAGAGTGTTCCAATTATTGTGCTGACTATATACCTCCCTTCAATGTCTGTGGTCTCGTCTAACGATATCCATATTTTTTTACCGTTTACTTTTTTTTTAATTTCGTTCACTGTATCACTGTAACATTGGTCAACATAACCTAATCGTAGGGTGGATTCTGCAGGGGTATCTTTTCCAGTATATTTTTCAAGAAAACATCTAAATTCTGGATTGGAAAGTTTGTTCAAAGGAATGTTGGCACCTAACATCGCTTTGCATAAATCGATGTTATATTCACTCTTTTTTGATATGGAAGGTTTGAAAAACTGTATTTTTGTATTTCTTTCTTTTCTTTGGTAACGTTGAACACCGCGTACATGCTTATCTGAAGCGATGTGTTGTGAAATACTAAAACGTTTTCCACTAGATACTTTAACTTCACATATTTTACAGATCAACACTTTGTTATCGGTTGAAAAAATATCTGCACCAAATTCCGATACAAAACGTTTCAAACGACTTGCAACAGTTTGTTTTTCTTTAGGCATTTTAAAATATTAATAAAATAGTAACGGACGGACGGACGAACGTAAACGACTCAACGGCAAGCGCAAGAAAACTAGGTACATTTAAGACTATACTATAGTATTATTATACCAGCTGTTATCAAATAGTTATGTAATGGTGTGGGTATTTAACAAATTCTATAATTAAATTATAGACGCCGGTGACAAGCATTGCACGCGTGTAAATGCCTCTACAGGTTTCGTTGCGATAATGGACAAATATAAATTGATAGATTTTCATAAGCGCGTTGTATGGCGGAAGATGGCGGTAACGATAACATTGTTTCCGTGGTACTGCGTAAAACCACTAACACCTATAAAACCTATATAGACGTACGAGAATGTAAATAAATTGAAACAAATACTAAATTTTGTAAATGGGATAGTAAAATAAGAAATAAAAAAGGATTCAAATATATTATTACTAATAATATATTTATTTTTTATGAAATAATATGCGCTAAGAACTCGAAAAATTCTACTATATGCCAAACATGCCATTACACTCAAATCATGCAAAAACATGCACTATTAAATTCTTTATTTTTATTACTATTCTTGTGAAACGTATTTCTATCTCAGTTAGCATGTTTTCCTGTGTTGCAAGAAAAACATGCAAATGCATGAACTTACGAGCCCTGGTTATGAACTATTGACATTAAGAAATCGATTTATTAATATTTTATCTAAGCCCTTTTTATTAGGCCCAAAATGCTATTGAATACTACAAATTTTACCATTAACGTCATTATATAAAGGACTTCATCTATTTTATAAGTGCACGTTCAAAATTAATACAATAAATTATTATTATAAACTTAAATTAAAAGTCCATACATTGTATATTATAAACTTACATCATACATATGTATGATGTAATATTAAGTAAATAGTCAGCCTTATATAATGGGTTTTATATAATTTCATTTTATTTATCGATGAGTTTAGAGTACGTACTATTTTTTAAATCATATTAATTTTGCTGTTTAACATATTTAACAATTTTATAATGTTCACTTTGTTATTTATTATAAACATATTTGTGTTCACGAATATTTTCGCAAAAGAGTTCAATAATGTATTAGTAATGCAAAATTTAATCAAATTGCCACGCTGGAATCATATAAAAAAAGAATTAATATGTGACGTTGAGAAGAATGTAAAAACATTTATTAGCGTTTACAATGCGGCAGTGAAATCGTTCAAAATATCAAATTACAATAATGTATACAACATTTATTTATCGATTTTAGAAGATAGATCTTTAAGATACGCTGCATTAATAACTACTTATGGTTACGAACTAATAAATGCAGAAAATTCTGGTGTGAATTTGCCAGAAATTTATAATCCCAATAGATTAAAGTTTAGACAAAGGATTTTTGAATTAATAATTGAGATCTTAAATTCAATCCTTAGAAGTATATCTATTTATAATTCAAATGAAAACGAAAAAGTTGAAAAATTCTTCGAAGTACCTGTATTTCCAACGTCCTTCACTAAAAAAAATTGTATATATATTTTGAATCGAATAAAAACTACGTATCAAAATTTTGTGTTGAACAGATATCCAAAATTTAAAGAAGATAGTAAACTTCGATGCGTTCAGCGTAAATGCTTATTAAATAATGAGCTAGATAAAAAAATAGACAATTTTTTAATAAAAGAATACAGTGAAAAAGACTTAAATGATATATATCAGAGTGTTGCTCTTGAAAATGTAGCTTATATATTTAATTTGAATCACAATAGAACACCGCAACAATTATTAGAAGTTTTTCTAAGTTTGTTGGATAAGTTTGCAAACGAATACGGATTGTCCAAATACTTATAGTTAAGATTAATTATGTAAAAAATTTAAATGTCTTCTTATAAATTCTCTTTCATTGAATAAAACTAATTACATTTTTAATAAATTTTCATATTTCATTACCATACATAATAAATAAATAACCAACATTAATGATTGGATTTTTAAAAAATTATATCATTGTAAAAGTTAATATCAAAAAGATTATTTATACAAATTTCGCATTAATTCGTCTAGTTTTCAATATATAGCGAAAATTAAATAAATCAACATTAACTAATTTTTTAGGACATTTCTCTTTATTACAGCGATTGAGATGATTTTTTTCAAAATTATGGTTCGATACGTTTTGTCATCTTTTGATATATCGATTCATTAGGAACGCCGAGTAATCGTGTAAAGCGAAAATAAAAAACGGTAGCACAGTATATAGGTAGCATAGATGAGACATAGATTGAAGTATAGATGATATCTTTATTAATAAGAGCATATTATATTTTGCTATAGAAATTAATAATTTTAGAATACACGAAAAAAATTCACTATGTTAATACTAATATTATGATTTATTAATTAAACCATTCAATTTTAGCTTCAATGCGAAGCTGAGAAGGTATTAATTTTACCATGATGTGTTTATTTATTTTTTTGTCTGTCTCTACTTTTTCTCAGCTCTCACTGGACTAATTTCTTGCAAAAGTACATCAAAAGATCAAAAATCGTATCTAGTCGAAAACATTACCCTCAAAAATTGAAAAAATTTCCCTCGTTCCCCGTANTGTATCTAGTCGAAGACATTACCCTCAAAAATTGAAAAAATTTCCCTCGTTCCCCGTAAATGAGGGAAACCTCCAAAAAAATTACAAATTTAAAAATCGGTAAATTTTGTTAATTTTTTCACTTTTTTTTCTTAAAACTTCCATAACTTTTTGAAAAATAAACAAATCAACATAAATTTTTTTTCTACTAAAACCTTAGATATTTCCCTTTCGTTTAACATCATTTTTTTGAAAATCTAACACTTACTGCATCCTTTAAACATATATCAAATTAAAGCTTATTTTATGTGCTATAAAATGAAAAAAAAAAATTTATCCCGACACTATCTTCTGCATGTAAACGGCTGCCGTAGTTAAAAAATCGCTATTTTTGTGTTAAAATTTTCGATTTTAAATTTTCAACTTAAAAATGCTATAACTTTTTGAAAAATGTATATATCAGCACAAATTTTTTTTTTCTAAATACATTATAAGTACATCTTTCATTTGACATACTTTTTATTAAAATTGGACAATTTCCCCTTATATAGGGGGCGTTCAAAACTTAAAATATTGTAAAAAACATAGATCTTTTTCAACTGAACTTTTGAAAATGTTCCGGAAATACTGCGTCCTTTAAACATATATCAAATCAAAGGTTATGTTATATACTATCAAATGAAAAGAAAAAATTTGTCCCGACATCTTATCTTCTATGTACAAATGGCTGTCGAAAATTAAAAAAAAATGTAATGTTTGCAATAAAAATCATCTTTTATNAAAAAAATGTAATGTTTGCGATAAAAATTACATTTTATCGGGATGTTTTTTGTACTTAAAACTGCCATAACTTTTTCAAAAATGAACAAATAAAAATAATATTTTTTTGTATTGAAACCTTAGATATTTCCCTTTCATTTGATATCATTTTTTTTGAAAATCTAACACTTATTCTGCTCACTGGGAGGATTTAAAATAGCAACTTTTTTACAAAAACTAACTTTTTCAACTTAATTTTTGAAAATGTTCCGGAAATACTGCGTCCTTTAAACATATATCAAATTAAAGCTTATTTTATGTACTACAAAATGAAAAAAAAAAATTTGTCCCGACACTTTTTTTTCTACATTTAAACGGCTGCCGTAGTTAAAAAAACACTATTTTTGTGTTAAAATTTTCGATTTTCGATTTTAAATTTTCAACTTAAAAATGCTATAACTTTTTGAAAAATGTATATATCAGCACAAATTTTTTTTTTCTAAATACATTATAAGTACATCTTTCATTTGACATACTTTTTATTAAAATTGGACAATTTCCCCTTATATAGGGGGCGGATTTAAAATAGCAACTTTTTTACAAAAACTAACTTTTTCAACTTAATTTTTGAAAATGTTCCGGAAATACTGCGTCTTTTAAACATATACCAATTAAAGCTTATGTCATGTACTATAAAGTTAAAAAAACTTATATTGTCCCGACGATCTATCTTCTATACGCAAATGGCTACCATATTGAAAAATATACTATTTTTGTATGATAATTATGGGTTTTGTATTTTATTTTAATAGAAGTTGATGTTGCTTTTGCAATTATCCATCAATTTTTTAAAATTAAACACTATCTACAGATTTGCATCGAAGCGTTTTTTATGATAGTGATTTTAATCACTGTCAGATATCATCTATACTAGACCCACCTATGCCACGACCCCACTGTGCTGATTTTTTTCTATTAAAATTGTAGGTTTTATTTTATTTTATTTTAAAATATCTTATTAGGAGAATATATTGACTTTCATGAATATTATATAATTTAATTGACATAGAATAAAGTTCATAAGACATAAGAAATTAAACTTATTAAATTTTTTTTACTTTTTTAAAGTCGAAAAAGTAATTTTTAAATTTGAGTTAGCTTAAATAGCCAATTTTTTAGCTTCGATGCGAATTTTTTATATGTAAATACTAATTTTTAATAATATTAAAACTTAGAAGTGATAGAAAAAGTCTAATTGCAGATTTGAAAACATCGCGAAAAGTTGATTTAGAATGGTATATTTTTGTTACTGATGAAAGTTCCTTGTAGTTCAGTGCATTTATTTATAGTAACAAACAGTTTTTATTGAAATTTATTGTATCAAGCCCTTTAAATTTTTATACACGTAAAAATAAAGCAAAATACAACTTCTTTATTATTTTTATAATTTCTCCGTTTAAATTACAATATTAAATTATTGAATATCAATTTCATACTAAATTTAATAATTATAATTAGTATTTATTCATATATTATATTTTAAAATCAAAGAACTACTAATTAGGATATAATCAAAGAAATAAGAGTTGATGATGCTTTTGGAATAATCCATCAATTTCTCTAAATGAAACACTATCTACAGATTTGCATCGAAGCGTTTTTAATGATAGTGATTTTAATCACTGTCAAATATTATCTATACTTGTCCCTTCTATGCCTTGTCTACACTGTGCCTCGACCCCACTGTGCTACCACTTTTTTAAAAATAAATTTCCATAATATAATTTTGATTTGTATTGATATATTAACTCTAGTGATGCAACTAAATGGGTTAGGGATTTGTAACCTTTTCCCTAGAATGATTAGCTATGTTACAATTTTTAATCGTACATAATTTTTATTTTACAATAAAAAAATTGTTTGATAACTTTTTTTCTCAATTATTTTAAAAAATAACGATGTAGAGGAATTTTTATTGATCAACAAAAAAAAAAACCCAGCACAGGGGGGTCGCGGCACAGTGGTGACGTGGCATAGTTGGATCAAGTATAATGATATCTGACAGTGATTAAAATCACTATCAAAAATAAACGCTTCGATGCAAATCTTTAGATAGTGTTTAATTTTAAAAAAATTGGTGTTTTATTCCAAAAGCTACTTGATCTGCTGGTTCCTTATTAATATCTCGATTAAGATAAAGTATGTCGAATGAAAAAGGGTTTATTAAAAAATATTATTTCTCATAAAAAAATTGTGTGGATCCATAAACTTTTCAATAAGTTATAGCATTATAAAGTTAAATATAATATAAATAATAAAATCGAGAATTTTCACACGAAAATAGCATTCGGTAGCCATTTTCGCCGTGAAGACAAGTCCAGAGGTCAAATTTTTTTTTTTCAAATTAAAGTATATTACATTAGCTTTAATTTAAGATATATATAAAAGTGTCAGACCTTCCGGAACATTTTCAAAAGTTAAGTTGAAAAAGTTAATTTTTTGTGAAAAAGTTAATTTTAAGTCATTTTAAATCCCCCCTGTGGGCAGAAAAAAGGTCGAATTTACAAAAAAAATATACCAACTGAGACATCAAGACATCAAGCATCTATATAAAAAAAAATTATATTGATATGTTCATTTTTGAAAAAGTTAGAGCATTATTAAGTTAAAAATATAAAAAAAAATTATTTTACAAAAATCGTAATTTTTTATTAACTTTGATGTCAACTTTCACCACGAAGACAAGTCCAGAGGTCAAATTTTTTTTTTTCAAATTAAAGTATATTACATTAGCTTTAATTTAAGATATATATAAAAGTGTCAGACCTTCCGGAACATTTTCAAAAGTTAAGTTGAAAAAGTTAATTTTTTGTGAAAATGTTGTCATTTTAAATCCCCCCCTTGTGGGCAGGTTAAGGGTTAAATTTATAAAAAAAATATACCAAATGATAGGTAAAGACATCAAGCATCTATATAAAAAAAAATTATATTGATATGTTCATTTTTGAAAAAGTTACGGCAGTTTTTAGTAAAAAAAATTGAAAAAATTTCGAAAATTAGCGATTTTTAAATTTGTAATTTTTTTGGAGGTTTCCCCCATTTACGGGGAACGAGGGAAATTTTTTCAATTTTGAAGGGTAATGTATTCGACTAGATACGATTTGTGATCTTTTGACGTATCGTTGAAAGAAATCCGTTCGGTGAGAGCTGAGAAAAAGTGGTACAGACAAAAAAAAAAAAACACATCATAGTAAAACCAATACCTTCTCAGCTTCGCATCGAAGCTAAAAAATATCAAACATTCTTGAAATAATGATAATGCTCCCCTAGAAAAAAATTTTAGTAGTGCCACTGTTAACATCAGAGTAATACTTTAGATAAAGATTTAATACACAATGTGAGAAATGGGTAGAGCTTGGGGGTTAGCCCCTATTCCAATTTTTTATTTTAAAACTCATATTAAATATATATTAATATATAAAAATATATTTTAGGGCGAAGTAAAAATAATAAATTACATCATTTTCCCTCCTCCCAAAAAATGTTTAATTCTACATTCACTTATGTTGATGCAACTATTTTTTGACATGGGACCACAAGGAATAGTATCAACTCATATAATCAATAATAGTAGTATAATAAATAATAATACAATCAATACTTTACAAAAATATAAATATTTTATATTTTATAATACAAAATAAAAATTAAAAAAATGGACATATTTCATTAACATATTGATGTACTAATCATATTCATAAAGGATTACTCATTTATCAATACATAATAATAATTATGCCTTTGGTCATTTATATTTAACATAATGAAACAATAATTAACTGTCGATAAATTTTTAATCTTTTTTTAACTAGTCAAAAACATATCATATGTCCAATTTTAGATTTGGAATCGCACATCTCTAATGATTACACTATTTTATTTAAATATAAAAAAAAATAATGATTTAACAAAATAAGAACATATTTATGGATAATTTGGATAGTCTAGATAAATGAACATCGGATACTAAAATTCAGAATATTCCGATATCTGGACTATTCTCATCAATAAAAAGCACAACAGCTCAAAAAATTTTAATTTTAAATGATTGACTTCAAAGTTTTAACCTTTTATATAAAACCTGTTAGGTATAAACTACATTAGTTTGAATCAATTTTATATAATTCTCTTAAGTGAAGGTTTCATATTAGTTTAGTATATATTTATATACTAAATTCAGAAATATCAAAAATATATTTGTCCTTTATTATCTAGTTATGCAATGATGAATTGGGTGAAATTTCTATGCAACCTCAAATAAATAAAATTCATTTTTAAATAAGATACATAATTTTAAACAGACGTGCTTGCTCCACTTTACTTTATATAAGTATAAATAATATCTTAATAAACCCTGAACTTTGAAAAAATATATTGATGCTCAATTAAAGTTGAATGGTTTTTTTATTAGCATTTAGTGATTAGAAATACTTGAGCAATTTCATATATCATATTTTTTTTCACATAAACAAAACAATATTGTTGTTTTCTACAGTCATAAGAAACAACAATATTGTAGGAAACCAAAAAATCTATACATTTTTTCAAAAAACGATTTTAAATTAACTACTCCTTATATAAAAAATTTCAATACTATACTTACCTATTCTTAAAAAATTGAATAGGTAATTTTAGGATGATATTTAATTATTTTTACATATAATTTGAGGAACTTTGATTATTCAATAATTTTAACACTACTAAATGACCTCCAGCGTTAATAGTCAAGAAAGTTCTTAAATTAGAATCAACTATAAATTTATCAGCTACTATTCTAAAACTTGCTATTTTATTACAAGATTTAACTTCGTAAACAACAATTTGATCATCTTCTTTTGTAGATAAAAGATGATCACTTGATGACCACATCATTGTTCGTACATAATTCATATTTGAATTACTATAAAACTGCTTGGATGTTTTCAACACTCTATCAATCATCTATTAAATATAAATGCCCAAAATAAATTAGTATTAGAATTACTTTAGCACAAATATATATATATATATATATATATTAGTTTTAGGAGCTTTTTGAGTTGAATATTTTTAATATTTTAAATATATTTATTAGTTTTCAACAATATTAACCACAAGTGATCAATTCTTATTAAACTTACATAAATTTAATACTTACAAAAATACATGTTTGACCACCAACAGCAATAAAATTACCATCATGTGATATGCTAATTGTAGTTAATTCATTATTATTAAATGGTAGTGAGTACTGTTCAACCATTGCACAAATCTCAAGATCGATAATTTTGAATATCTTTAAACTACCATTATCAGTCACAGCCAAAGTAGAGTGATCAAGCATTAGACTTCCATTTATCTTCATACAACCATTAATTTCAGATTTTGACAATATCCCATTTATCATGTCTATAATCTAAAAATCATTTTTTCCTTCACAAAATATTCTATAATTTTATATACATTACATAATCATGTAAATTCTTATACGGAGTTAAAAAAAACTATATTTATTGCACATTTATTTAATACCTCCAGTTATGTAAAAAAGCATATCCTTCAAAATTAAAATAAGTTTTTAGTAGATATTTTGTGTATTTTTTTAGGTGCATTTTTACTGTACATTGAAAATCAAACCTTTCAAAAACATTAACTTTTTGTTTGGCTTAAAGGTTTTATTTGGTAATTTTTAACACATTTATCTAATAGATTAATTATATGTATAGTATTTTGTGAATAATGAGAAAAATATACACATTTTCAAACATTAAAATATTATGACTAAAATAAACACTATTATACAATTAAAAAAAAATAACATTTTTTATTATTATTAAAGACAAATAAGAATAAAAATGATTTTTACATAGTCTAAAAATGCATAAATTAATAATCAAAAAAAATTACAGAAATATGTTAATTGTATCAAATGTATTAGTTAGTTTCAAATAGCATATAAGTATTATTTTTCTAGGAAATACATTAATTTAAAAAAATGTTATATTAAAATACAATTGGTTCCACCCTGTACAGGGTGATTGATTAATCATAAGACACTAATATATAATACCTAATTATTTCACCTTTGCCAATTTTTTGTCCATTCTGGCCAAGTGTACCAAGACTGTCAAGTCTTGTACTTTTCCTGGTAAACATTACTAGCTCTGATTTGTTTGGATTAACAATTAAATTTACTACACCACATATGTAGTGTTCAGTCTCTTCTTTACTAAGTATAATTGTGTGTGAAAATTTACCCACTATTACTATAGCTAAATTATCCGTATAGAGTGTGTATAACAATATTTGTTTAACTTTTTAATAAGTGAGTCTAAAACTAGACACCATAGCAAGGGAGATAAAAATCCTTCTTGTGAGCATCCCTGTTTAACACTCTTGATTACTTTAGTTTCATTGAGCTGTCCCAAAATGGAACATTCCTTAAATGTGGTTTCTACCCACTTAATAATAAGTGGTCAAATTGCATGCTGTTATGCAGATTCACACATATCGTACCAAGGATAAGTTCTAACTCTCTTTATTTCAATAATTAAGTAGTGCTATTAGGTCTTTACTTGAGTCTGAGGACTTATATGGTAGGTATCCTGAGGCTACTATAATTGCTTTACCATCACTTAACTGTTTTTTATTTTATCATTAACAAAAATACAAGACTTTGGTTTGTGTGACTATTTATAAAACAGTTTAAAGCTCTTTAAGTTTAATTTGTTTACCATGTAGCCATGGTTCCTGAATAAGAGTTATTTGTAAGGGTGTTGTATGCCTCTCGGTTAAGATCCTTAGCAATACACTATTAGCCCCTTTACTGTGATATAAATTTATCTGCGTGAATTGTATTATGTTGTCACACATTCAGAAAAACTGATACTAACATTTAAAAAGACATGCAAGTCAGGGTGTGATACAAGTTTCATTTACAGTCCCAGTATCACACAATCCCCTGTGGGTGATTCCCCACTACTATTCTGTTTTCCCCAAATGTCCAATATTTTCTTAAAATCACTGGGCAGTCCTGGTATGTGAGTGACTATTCATTAGTACCTCATTGGGTTGTAAGTCTCCATTTGTATCTCATCACCATTCCAAGGTTTTATTTTGTTGACAATTTCAGAGAGCCACTTAAGAGACATCTCTTGGGCTGCACTGATCACAAGTGTTCTGTTAATGAGTCTAGTATCTTCAAACCTTGGTACATCGGTTCAATCAGTACCCGATAGTATCAAGTCTCCAACACAACAATCACAAAAATCAAAAACCGAATCAAGACAATTTGGTATGTAGTGTGCACAATGGATCAACAGATCTGAGTTCATGGGCATTATGTCCAACTCATTAATAACTAAAACTAAAATACAGTACAGCTTCTGAGAAAATAACTGGCTTATACTTAATCTATCACCTTATATATTCATTTATAAAAAAACCCCTTTTAAAAATGATTTTACACAACATCGACTCTGAATTTTGCAATTCTTAGACATAAATTATTGTTTATTCTTTAAATTTAATGACTTAATGATACATTTATTATTGAAGAAACAGAACCTGTTAGTAAGAATTATATATATATATATATACTAACAGCAAATAAAAACATATTAAAATCAATATATTTACAACTACCAATTAAACTGATTTAGTATATTGTCACTTATACTGCAACAGTACATAATTCAATATTTGACAAAATGAGATTTTTATCAATTACAATAAAATAAGTTTTTCTAATTATAATTTTTTACATATATTTTTGTTAAACTCATAGCTCTATTGTAATTATGAAAATAAAATCACCTCTTGTATTAAAACGTATATAATTCAAATTTGTTTTTCGATCATCCTGAAAAACTGGAAACACTGATATATGCACTATTGCAGTATAAACAAAAATATATAAAATTAAAAATTAATTTAAAAAAATACCTGTATTTCATGATAATTAAAAATTATAATTATTGAGTCTGCAAACACGAAACAGTCGATAAAATTGCGAATATAGATTTTGAATTTATGATGCATGTTCCATACCTAAACAAATTTCTATTAAACATAAATGTAATAACTATAACCATTAAATGAATAAATACTTACTTCTATTACTTGATATGAATCTCCATTCTTTATTTCGAGTGCTAGTAATAACATAGCTAGAGTAATATTATCAGAATTAAAACATGCATAAATTCTGTCTACTTTATTTTCAGTATTAAAAAGGTGTTCTGAAGTTTTATGTTTTAAAATATGCATAGATAAATCTTCACATGCTACAATAACAATTAATTCATCAACAGTAGGCTTTGAATAAGCTATACATAATGTTGAAACTTTATTATCAATAAGTGACCATTGATCTAACCCTTCATACAAAATCTAAGAAAAAAATATTAAAATAAACACATTAATTAAACAAATCAAAATAAATTTTATAATCATAGTAAGAATTACTTTTAATCTACCACACTTTGTAACAGCAGCTATTAAAACAGAATTGTTATCAAGCCATACAGCATCAAAATTTGGATTTAATTTACAACAAAATGTTTCTTGTTGTTTGAATGTCAAAGATAATTTGTAATTTTCTAAAGTTAATTTTTCATTTTTACAAAAGTCTAGGTGATTTACAGATGTCACAACAGTATTAGAGTTAAAATTACACAAAGTTTTAGTTATGTCATCTAAGCTCCATAATCTAACTGATCTATCATCTGTTGCACACAATAACCAATGAACAGTATCAGACCAAAACCAATCCATATTCAAAATACCCCTAAGACAAAATTTAATTATATATAAAATATGAACAAATGTTCACAAAAATTATATTTGTTTTAATTTAAAAATAATATTATAATAAGGTAATAACATAATAACACTTACTGAATAGGTTCATTTAAATCCAAAACATTGTAACCAGTCATTAAATTACATATTTTTATTGTACTATTACTTAAAGCAAGTGCTATAAAACGAGAATTTTTTGTTTTGCCATCATTACCTTCTGAAATAGAAGATAATATGTATTCTTGAAAACCAATAGGTTGAGGGCATTCTTTAAGCTGAGGACAAGTTTTGTCTGACTTCAATTTGTAAAGACCAACATTTTTTGCAGTCATTATTAATACAGTATCATCTTCTAAAAAAAATTAATATTATCAAATAAATAATTTTACAAAATATTCTATCAATCAAAAAAAATTGCATATTGTAAATATACAATGATCATTATAATCATCTCTTTTTTTTTATCCCAACTATTTGGAGTCAGCTCTACCTTACAATGATTTGACAGTATTTTTACACCAACTGTCAACATGACACAACCTTATTATAAATGAGGAAATCAGTAATGGGGCAAGGTGACCATTGCTATTGCATTACTAATTGTTGGATCCTATAATATGGAACTATACTCAAGGATAGGGCAAACAAGTAGAGCAGTAGAACTTATATAATGTATAAGTTCTATAATATATATATATATATATATATATATATATATGTGTGTGTGTATACATTATATTACATTCAGTGTAGAACTAGTGAATTTAATTGTAGAATTAGTGACTCTATAAACCCAGATTTTTAAGATATCAATGATATGAAAAGAACTCTTAAATGAAATGTAATTTTTGGATAATTTGATTTGCTTTTTTACTTTGATAAATAATAACTATTGATTTTGAAAAACGATTCTAACTACATTATTTAATACAAGAGTAAGATTAAAAATTATTATTCATATGGATTGCCAAAGTTGTATTTAAAGAAAACATTTTTTGTTCTTTCCTAATATTAAAAAAAAATCTAAAGGTCCAAAAATCAATTAGTACTACTACATTATATATAAAATTAAATTTTAACTATATTATACATAATTAATTATTTATATCTATGCAAACAATTTTTAAGAGTAATTAAGTGCTAACTAAACTAATTTAAATGTTAAATAAAAGCAAACATCAAAATAAAATTACATAATTCTATTAAAAACTGTAATATGTCAAATTTAATGTAGTAAACAATATCACTAAATGGGTAATCTAGTAACAAAGTAATAATGAACAATTCTAATTTTAAAAATAAAAATAGTAATTAATTAATTTTGGCTAATCATAGAAAATTTCTGTATAATATGAAAATTTAATGTCTACCTTCTTTTTCAAGTAAAGGATAAAAAGATAAAATTTTTTCTTTTGTATAGTACATCCCTTTATTTTCTTCATAAGGCCAATGGGTAATATAAATAGCACTACCAGTAGGATTGTTAGCTGAATAAACAATGTGATCTTTAGTGGCACATTCCATAAACCAACACCAATTTATTACTCCATATTGAGTTATTGTTTTATGAAGTATTCCATCATCTAATTTCCAAATCTATATTACAAACATATTCAGAACAAAAATTTTATAAATTTATAAAATAATCAAATAAAATTCAGGATATAGACACCAAAGATATGAAAAATCTAATAATCATTTTCTGTAATTACTTAATACTTCTAATAACTAATTTTAGACTTTGAAAAATTCCAGTAAAAGTTTGTGTTTTTAATATATTAATTTGTTTAGTTAGTAAAATAACTATTATAGTCTTATGTTTAAAAAAAGTGTTATAAAAACATTTGTAGTACTCCACAGTTACATTGTATTTACTTTAAACTATTCTTGAAATTTTATAAATTACTGATAAAATAATCCAAATAAAATTTATACTTAGTATTCATAATTAAATAAAGTGAAAAAAAAATTTCAAAAAGAAAAATATCTTATATTTTGCAATATCATACTTCATAAATTACATTAAGTAATACTTTTTTCACTTTAATGTCCCATAACATTTTTCTTGTGTACTATTAATTTTCCAAAATGGATAGTAAGACTATCGCAAAAGAAAGCTATAATGATTCCAAAAATTTAACTTTTCTTTTGCTAAGAAAACAGAGACATTTGTGACACTACACATCAGGCAATGCCATGTTATATATTTAATCACAGTCACTCTATAATTAGTAGCATTGTGAATAATTTTATAATATAATTTTTTATGTATAAAAGATTAATATATTAATTACCTTTAATGTTTTATCTAGTGAAGAGGAGACAATAAATTTACCACTAGATGAAAATTGAGCACATTTAATTGGTGCAGTATGTCCTTTAAGGGTAACAATACAATCTGAAATATTAGACTGTCTGATAGAACTACTTTCATTAAATGCACTTTTCCAATGGTCTTGCTTGGTTTCAGGTGATGGTGTACGAGTTATTGAATCTTAAAAATATACATAAAATTAATAAATATACTAATCATTTGAAATAAATAACTAAATAGATTAATACTTTCTAAGGGAAAATCAACTATATTCCATACTTTGATAGTTAAATCATCAGAAGATGATAAGAGTCTATCTTTCAATTTATTTTTAACCAAATTAGTAACTTTTTGAGTATGACCATAATAAGTATATAACAGTTGGTTTGTTATTGCATTCCATACCTGAATTCATTAATAATATTGATAAAACTATATTAGTAATATTATACAACCTTACTAAAAGATTTATTTAAAAAAGTTTAATAAATTAAATCAACAAAAAATGAATAGATATTAAATAAAACACCAAAAATTAGGAATTAAAATTTTTTTACTAATTTTACAAAATTTAATTTTCATAAAAATTTTAAATCTTAAGAATTAACCAAGTTGTTACAATTTTTTAATTTTAAAATTCCATGACTTTCCAGACATTTCCCAAGAGGTAAAAAAAAAGGTTTCTCAAATACAATTTCATAATAATTTAATAATGCAATATAAAACTGTGGTTCATAGTGCTAAAAATATATTAGATAATACATTAATTCCTTCGATAAAGCACAAAAAATGAAAATAAGAAAATAAAAGTGTTATCATAAAAATGATAAAATTTGATCTATTCTGTGGCATTTAGACTGTGTCTATAGAGCGATTAAGGCTTTTATGATTAGCAAATCTGGTATATAAAATTATTTTTGACTTTTTATTTTTTCATCATTTTGATTTATTATAGAAATTTTTTGAACAACCCGGGCTATAATTATTGTACTTCTTGGATCGTTAGTTTCCCAGTTTAGCCTGTACTACATTATAAAACAATTTTGTTAAAATTTTTGGTATTTTAATCAAATTTCCTAACAGTCTAGAAATTTCCTAACTAAAAAAATTTTCCTGACTTATCCTGTTTTTCAATTTAATTTAATTTAATTTAATTTTAGGGCAGTCCTGATGAAAATAAGATTTATGTATTATTATACTTTTTTTATTTCAGATATAATTAATGTAGATATTAAGTCAATTATTTTTGAAGGAACATGAACATTTTAATTAATATTATAACAAAGCTAACAAGTATACTTTGTAATTTTTCTAACATGTTTGTGTCAGTAAATTTAATATTTCAATTTATTCACTAATAATTTGGATAATACTTTAAAGTTTCAAAATTTTATCTAATATTTACAGAGAGATTTCTAGGAGGAAGGTTTTAAAGGCAACAAATTCACATAAACATTAATATTTTTGCTTCGATGCAAAGCTGAAAAGGTATTGGTTTTACTAAGATGTGTTTTTTTTTTGTGTCTGTTACCACTTTTTCTCAGCTCTCACCGAATAGATTTCTTTCAATGATACGTCAAAAGATCACAAATCGAATCTAGTCGAAGACATTATCCTCAAAAATTGAAAAAAATTCATTCGTTTCCCGTAAATGGAGGAAACCTCCAAAAATTACAAATTTAAAAATAGCTAATTTTTTCAATTTTTTCAATTTTTTTTACATAAAATTGCCATAACTTTTTTAAAAATCTCCAAATCAATATAACTTTTTTTTATATATATGCATGATATCATTACCTTTTATTTGGTAAATTTTTTTTTTATATCTGACCCTTTACCTGCCCACAGGGGGGGTTTCAAAATGACAACTTTTTCAAAAAACATTAACTTTTTCAACTCAATTTTGTATTTTACATTTTTGACTTTATTATGCTATAACTTTTTGAAAAATGTATGGACCAATACAATTTTATCATGAGAAGTAGTATTTATATACATCTTTCATTCGACATACTGTTTTTTTAAATTGGACCATTTTCACTATATACGAGGGAGGTTCAAATCTAAAAAATGCATATAGAAAGTAGAACTTTTTCAACTTAATTTTTGAAAGTGTATTATACTTTAATTTTAAAAAAAAAAAATTTTGGACTTTATTTTGATTTCATGATGAAAACAGTCATCAAAGTTAATAAAAAAAATACGATTTTTGTAAAAAAATTCTTTTTCATATTTTTAACTTTATAACGCTATAAATCTTTGAAAAATGTATGAATACAATTTTTTTATGAGAAATAATATTTATATACCTCTTTAATTCGACATACTTGTTTTTTAAATCGGAGCATAACCCTTAATACAGGAGGGGTTCAAAACATAAAATACATAGAAAAAGTAGAACTTTATCAATTTAATTTTTGAAAGTGTTCTGGAAATACTGATACTTTTATATATATCTTAAATTAAAGCTTATGTAAAATACTTTAATATTAAAAAAAAAAATTTCGGACTTTATTTTATCTTCAGGGTGAAAATGGCTACCAAATGCTATTTTTGTGTGAACATTTTCGATTTTATTTTTAAAATTTTTAACTCTATAATGCTATAACTTATTGAATATTGTATGGATCAACACAATTTTTTTATGAGAAATAATATTTTTTAATAATCTCTTTTTCATTCGACATACTTTATCTTAACCAGGATATTAATAAACTATGAACTAGCAGATCATGTAACTTTTGGAATAATCCACCAATTTTTTAAAATTAAACACTATCTAAAGATTTGCATTGAAGCGTTTTTTTTTTTTTGATAGTGATTTTAATCACTGTCAGATATCATTATACTTGATCCAACTATAGCACGTCACCACTGTGCCGCGACCCCCCTGTACTGGCTTTTTTTTTTATATATATATATAAATAAAATAACTGAATAATAAATGAAGTTAGAGGATTTATACATCTAATACTTCAAACACTAAAACAAAAAAATCTAATTTTGTATTTTAAGTAGTAAATACTAAAGAAAAAAAAAATCACTTCTATACTTTCTACTTACTTTTATACAACCATTTTTACAACCAATAATAATTTCATCATGTTTATTTCCAAAAATAACTGTTTGTATTTCTTCAGGTGCTACAAACATTTTTGGTTTTGGTTCAAAATCAAGAGATGTTTGAATACTAAAATAAATTAAATATGTATTAATATTAATAATAATAATGATAATTAATCAGACATATTACATAAATGCTTCTAAAAAATTAGCATTTATTTTTAAATATTTTATAATATATCATTATAATATGCACTTCAACCACTATATTTAAAAGAATGTGTTAAGTATAAAAATAACAATTCTTAAAAATAAATTATGTTTAATATAACAATAGTTAAAAAAAGTAGTAACTTCTGTTGTTTAACCATTACATGTTAAATAAATATTTTACTTACATACTATAAAAATATAATTTTCCGTTTAACTTAGCAATTTCTAATGATTTTTTGTAAATGAATGACTGTTCAGGTTCTTGCAAACCTATTTGTATTATATCACATTTTGTTCTATAAACATGAGGTCCAACACGTTTAATAAAACTTTCCATTTCATCAAAATATTGATCATACAGTTTCTATTTAAAATAATACAAAAGACATTATTTATTAATATATTATGATAGTTATTTTTTCATATGAACAAATTTTATTTTAAAAAATTTCTATTTCATAGTATTATACATATTACAAAAATTACATTAGAAGCATCAGTAGTCAAGCACTTATAATCTGTCTAATGTAATAAAACAACATATTAATTTTTAAATAACTGTAGAATATTTAAAATGTTGTCATTAACAGTTATCAAAAAAAAAAAAAGAATTTTCAAAAAATATTAGTTAGATTTAAATAATAGTTTAATCTTATATTAATAAAACATACTTTTGTAAATATGTACTTTTTATATTTTTTCAAATCAGCTAACAAGTCTGCCGGACCAGCAACATGTATTTTTGATTCAAGAAATTTTAAATTCAAAAACCATTTTGCAAATTCATCAAATAACTCTGCTTTTTTCAAATGATAACCAAAATATAAAAATATATAATTATCATTTTTGGGAAGTTGTGCAAAATTTCCTTTACAATAAATTTTATAACACTCAATAAGTTTTCTATGAAGACTCTAAATAAGAAATTGATACACTTAAAATAAATACAATAAAAATTTTACCATAGGTGTCTGCAAAGAGGGGGACTAGGGTGTAGTTGTCCCACCTTGATTTTTTGAGTGCTTAATTTTCATAATCATGTATTGCCCATAGACGTTTATAAAAATACATTTTTGAGGATGCTAAATGTTTTTGCTCCCTATCTTAAAAACACTATATATGTATGTGACAACATACATCATAATTTAAATTTTAGGAGTGCTAATTTGTAAATTAAGAAAGCTAATCTTACTATGGTTCCCTAGGCTAGAACCACAGACACCCCCTTTTTCAACGAGCCCTTTGTCCAATGAGCAGATAATAAAACCAAATTTTTTAAAAATGATTTCCCCTTTCATGAAAAAATTTCTTGCAAACACCCTTGAATTTTACTTACTTTTTCATTTTCATTATCAATTTTATTTTTCAAATTATTCAAGATTAAATCATGAACTGAATAAGTATAACTGTTTAAAGGTTGAATCCAAACTCTTACAACTAAACTTTTACGGATAAATTCAAGCATAATATCTTCTACTTGTATTTTATTTAGATTCCATAATATTGATAAAACCTTTAATTGGATTTCAGTTAATTTTCAATTTAAATAATACCACTTATGTTAATTAAAGTAAAATAAAATAAGAAAAGTGATATAACTACAATACTACAAAGCTTCATATGAGTTTTACTTTAAAAGTAATAAATTTTTAAAGAAGGAATCTTCTACTAATAAATTGGAAAAATTATAACTTGTAATGATATAAAAAAAATTAAATAAATATATACATATTTTTTTTTATAAGGTAAAAATATTTTTGTCAATTAAATTAATTAACAAAAGTTGCCATTTAATGATACTAAGATTTTGTATTTTAAAATTAATAATAATAATTTATATTACTTCTGGCTTAATATTCACATCATATACAAATAAAACGAAGTCTTGAAAGTATTTTTGTAAATCATCAGGTAAATCATTAATAGATAGGTCAATTGCTTTATCAAGACTTTTTAGTTTATGAAAACTTCTTCTATTATGCCTATAAAAAATCATAAACATTAATGAAGAGATAATCTATTAAAAAATCTAAGAGTCAAAAATAAAATAAAGTTTAGTTGACAAAAAATCAGAATTATATTCAGGGAGGGCTAAGGAATCATGAGTACTAACATTAAAATTTGAATTTCTGGAACATTATTGTTAAAAAATTATTTTTTATATAATTATGTATTTGTTATGCATACCATAATACTGAGATGTTAAGAGTAGCAAAAAATTGAAATAGTGTATAAGGTACTTTTTTTTTAAATATATTTTATAAATAAATTTTTGAAAAAAGCGCTCTTCTTTCATACTTTAATAGCACAAAAAACTTCTAAATACATCTCTGAAAAAAACATTAGATTTCTGACCAAGTTGATTTATTTATAGATAAAATTTGTTTATTAATTTCTAGATTTTAGATTTATTTAAGGGTTCCTATTAAAGAAAACAAAATTTAAAATTTTATCCTCTCCTTAAAATTATTAGTGATTTTTTAATTTTTAATAATTTTATAAAAAAAAAAAGGTCAATAAAAATGATTAGAAACTATAATCAATATAATTAAGATTTCGGGGAGAGATGGATCCAGGGACCTTCTCAAACCCACCACTGCTAATAAATTATATACTGGCTTAAATAAATAAATGCTTAATAAAAATAACAACTTCCATAAATAGTTGTATGAATATAGCAAGCCTTAAATAAATAAAATAACATTTCACATATCACAAGGTATTTACTTGAAAGTATCTGCAATGGTATTTTTATCTTTTTTTGAAAATTTCTGCAAATAAAACAGCCATCTATCTTTATTTTGCTTTGAATCTTCTTTGTGAGCTTCAAGTTGAGCTCCAATAAGAGAAATAGTCAATGGAAATCCTATAATAATAGTTAAAAATTTAGAGAAAGTAGCCACAATGAGAAAAATAATTTTAACATCCTCATCTAAATTAAAGTGTTTTTTAATAATACTCTTTAATGAAATATTAGGAATATTTATATATTTAATCAATTTGGTAAAAATAATATTTGGTAATACTTGCAGTTTTTAACATTACAATTATTTAATAAGTATGAAATAAACATAAAAAAAATTTAATTTTTTTGTTTTAGGCAATTGAGTTATTATTTGTTAGAATTGATTATTTTATTAAAAATAAATAAATATAAATTTTATTAAATAATACTCATAATTTATTTTATTAATAAGTGCAATTTTATACATAAGAAAACCATACTTTAAGATATAAATTATATATAATGATATGAATGGTAAGTTAAAAAATGCATTTTCTGTGTAACTTTCTTAAGTAAAAGATTATTATTTTTTTAATAAAAATCTATCAAATTACAGTAAATATCGTTTTTTTTTTTTATTGCATAATAAGTTTTTTTCTTAGGACAGTAAAATTTATTTCTTAACACTTCAACTTGCTCTTATTTATATAATACAGTAGACTCTCGTTATGTTGAATCTTAAGGAAACACAAAAAGGATTTTGTGATGTTAAATTTAAAAAAAATACAAAAAAAGATCTGTCATTACAGTTTGTTTTTTCTTGCTTCTCTCTTGGATAATGTTTTCTAATATTAATGAGAAAGAAAAACATTTCATACTTTTAGTACTTTCAATAAAATTTCTAAGTGTATTTATCAGTAACTTGATTTGTTGTATAGAAACAACAGAGAATTCCTCTTCTTTTTGTGGTTCATCTTCATTATTGCTACTATCAGTATTATAGATTATCTACTTCTAAATATTTATTAAACATTTTACTATCTAATTGAGGATCATCAGCAACAACATTTCATTTTTCATTGGGAATACATGCATAATCCACTGGAGTACAATTATAGGTATCTTTAAAACAATTGGATATAGACTGTTACACTTCTCTAAACTCTATCAGACATTTTTATTCTATCCAGTATTTCATTGCAGTTTGAGATATCAAAACATTTGAAATATCATTGTTTACATAAGTTGAATCTACTGTATTTATAAAATTTGATATGAACTGAACATAATTTTATAAAAAAGTAATTAAAATACATTCAGTTACTCATTTCCTTAAAATTTAATCTGCTATCCTATTGATGATAATTGGTAAAACTCAATAAAACATTAAACAGTTTTTTTCATTTCAAACATACTTTAAAATTTTAAACTAGAAGTTATTAACGATTTTATTTTTTATAACTTATATGATTTTTAATCAATTAAGAAAGATCACTATCATGAAAATTAAAAATCTCATTGTGTCAAAATACCTTTGCAAAGTTTATGAATTAAAGATGCTTGTGGTGGCAACAAATTTATATCTATGTCTAAGCATTTAGAAAACAATTTTAATGATTCTTCTTTTTGAAATCCTTCTCCAATTCTAACAAATTGTATTCTAGAATCCTCTACTTCATCCATAACACCTTCATCATTAGTAGTTATTAGCATTTTACAATTAATATCCATATATCTGATAATGATTGGATCAGAAACATCATCCAAAATTAATAACCCTTTTGACATTGTGCTTTTCCATCTAACAAAAAATCCATTTAAATACACAAGAAAAACTTATAAATTAGTAAATTTAGAAATATACTCTGTACTGGAAACAAAATTAAAGTGTTCCAATTAGTTAGTTTTACATGTAACATTTTATTGTTTTAAATTAGAAGTTTTATATGAACCTAAGATTATATTAATTTTACAATGATACAATTTCTTATTATTATATGACCAAAAATACTTAATATATATAAAATAGGCTAACTAGCCTATTATATTAATAATAATCAATGTAAAAAAAAAAAATTAAATAAAAATCAAATAACTTTTTTTGGATTATTTTTTTAATTTCTTCATATTCTGTAGTAAGAGGAGGTGCTAATGGTTGATTTTGGTTTTGTAACCTATTAAATAATTCACTTTGAACACTTCCAACATCTACAGAATTTCCACGGCCAACATTAATCCACTGCACATGACCCTAATATAATTAAATTTTAAAGTGTATTAATAATCAATTTCATGTTAATAATCTTTGATAGTACCTCAAAAAGTTCTATTGTAATCAATGGATCTTGTAGTATTTCAACGACTAAACTAGATTTTCCACAACCAGTCATACCTGATACTACAATAAATTTACCATTAACCAAATTTTTTAAATGATATTTCAAATTATTGACCTAAAATTTTTATTTAGTATAAAATATTACAATAATACTAAACAAAAAAAAGTTGTACAAATATTTTAACACACTAGTTCAGTTCGTGTAACATGTTTCAAAGATAATTGAGGTACTTCACCAATGACTAAAGCGTTCCTAATTTTTTTTGCATAAACATCATTATACTCATTAAATATGGTTTTTTTTATTGGATCAGCAATCCATGAATATTCAGATGAAAGATAATCAATAAATTGATTTATACCATAACTACCTTTATAAGGTAATAAATCAAGCAGTTTACATGCCTCCTGTTTTGGATTCTCCTAAAGATAAAATTTTATTTATTATAGGGTAAAAAATTTAATAGAATTGCTTACTAATGATTTTATAGCTTGAAAATCATCATCACTCAATACATTTTTTTCATATAAAAAAGTTATCACATCTCCTTGTATATCTTGTATGATAGGTTCTCTGTGAGTTTTTAATAAATCATAAACACATTTCGTATCAATTTCCATTAGATGAGTTTATTTAAAAGGAATAACAGTAAAATAGCTTTTAAATTTAATGAACTTTAAGCACTCGAATTAAAAAATATAAATGAAATAAACAAAAATCAAATGATATTAAGTGTAATAAAATAAATTCACAAAACGTTGAATTATTCTCATTTTACAACGATTAAAAATTTAACTTGTTTCTAATTTTATTGAATTCAGATTAATTTACTTGAAAGATAACAGAAATGTATGTTATTATTTCTCAGATAAAGACAAGGATCACTGATTTTTGTTCCATAAATTACTCATTCAATTAACAATTTATCCATTAATCGATAGTTTCAACAAATATTATACACAAAGTGCAGTATCTCCAATATTTATTTGTCCTAATAGTTTTGTTCCATAAAACATTTGTACGAATATATTTTTATCTATCTATCAATAGTTCGAATACAACTGTTCAACGTTTTGAATCAAATGTTTGTTGAAATAAATTTAATTAAAAGTTTATTGAAACTTATTTAGTCTATTTATTCTATTACATGACATTAATATCTAGAATCTTATCACACGAAATATTTTTGAAAGATAAGGACAAACAAAATATTGAAATTATTTATTTTAAATTCAAAACATTATTAGGGAGCTTAATAATATTTATTTAGGATTCTAATTAGATTAATTTTCTTCCTCGTGTGTTAATTAAGTACACTGCATAAAAAAAATTCAGAACATAAAATTAGGGCTACCAGATGTTCTGAGTGAAAAATACGGACAGATCAAAACCTACCCCCCCCCCTATTGATAATTGGAAAATAAAAATTTTTTTTTTTAATTTTCAAAAAGTAGAAGAAATAATCAAATTAAAAAAATATATTTTAATTTGTTTGCGTGATAGGTGATGCGCATTTATGAAAATGAATGAAAATCGATAGAAATTAATTGTTATCAATAGGAATCGATGATCGATAATCTAGATTGAAATTTTCTTTTTTCCTTGGCCTTGAGCGCCTTGGAAGTTTTTGACTGTTTTGGTTCTGGAATTGTTTTTTCATTTGGAAATGTTTGATCTTGATTTACTGACATTCACGTAAATGCTGGTAAATGCGGTAAATGTAAATAACAGCTGCTCTGCAGATATGACATATATAATAATAACAATAAGATAACGATATACTTACATCTTACAGTTGCAGTAACCATACAGTACTTACTGCATGCTTACACAATAGTTATATTAAAAGCTAGTTATTCCAGTGCCGTATGATGGCATGGTTGGTCACTACTCAAACTTATAGTCTGCCTGATTCTGCCCATTTTTACATATATTTTCTCTCTCTTTCTCGCCTCTCAGAGCAAAATAAGAGAGAATGTGACAGAATTCTCCAATTATTCGCCACTTCGCGTAATTTTTTCATGCACTTAACTTTTTGAAAATTTTTTATTATTTTATGAAAAATACGGACGATACGGACGACCCTCAAAAATACGGACTTGTATTTAAAATACATCAAGTAATAACTAGAAATCAAAGTACCTATTTTTATTTTGTCTTTACGATTGATGTTACTATCATTTTTAATATTAATACCACCTCAATTAACTTTATTTTTAGTTTTTACAAAAGTTATAAGGTAAATAATTTTTTTTTTGTAAGGAAGGTGAATTAAATACCCCCCTACCTTTTATCTAGTTATTACTTGATTAATTATTAATTTATACAAAAAATAAAATGACAAATATAACATACATGATTATATTTTTAAAATTAATTTTTTTTTAAGAATATGCATACAACAACAGTATTCAATTTTTTTACTAAAGTTCATTTAGAATTTATAGATTAATACATTTCTATTCGCGGAATACACGTTAAGCTAGCAATACGAAAACAAGAGCAAAATAATCATCTTTCAATGATCTTTTTTCTTGCTAATTAACTTAGAAAATCGTCTCACAGTAGTTATTGAGGAAAGTTGCCTTCGGGACTTTCAAGTGTCTAGATCGATACTGTCTTCTAATCGAGATCGATCAAATCTCGTCAAATCTGAGTCAATCAAACTAGGATCATCTTGGAACAAAAACAACATACGAAAACACTGTCAAAATAGAAGTTATATATATATTTTGACTATTTTCTTATTATATTTTATTTTATAGATAATAAATATTCAAATAAAATTTTGTGCATTAATAAAAAAAACGTTTTCGACTATAGATAATGTCGGACTTTTTACTACGTTTTATTTTTTATTAAATATCGAAGTAAAATAGGAGTTATGGTTATATAATTGGCACTTTGTTAAATGTCGAGGTATGTAAATATCGGAGCATTATCAGTTAGTGGCAAAAGTATTGTTCCATTATGTACACCTGAATTATGTATGTGTATACATACATAATAACATACTATATATATATAGTATGTTATTTTATGTTAAAAGATAAAATACAACACACTAACCAAAGGTTTTTTTAACTTAGATTAAACAATAAATATTATAAAATGAAATCTTTATTTACTATAATATTCAATTATTATGGTATAATAAGTGTACCATTAAAACAGTGTAAAAATGATGTGAATACCATAAAAATAGTGCAATTGGCAATGCTGCTTGTGACTAGTCCATTTTATCCATAGAGTAATATTCTATAATCTTATCTTAGTTCCTGTTTAAAACTGGTATAATAGAAACCACGGTTAGATAACTATGCTATTAGGGGTGAATGTTCTTACAATACCATTAAATCAAAGATCTTGTAAACATGTTTACAAGATCTATGCATAGAATAGATAAGATCAAATTCTTATCCATTCTGTGAACGTTCAAAAATTTAATATTTTCTTATATAACTTTTTTCCTAAATATTTTACTTCTACTTTATAATAAAGTTAAATATTTCATACTTTGTTAGTTTCTTCAACAGAAAAAAACAAGTGTTAGATTAAAATAATGATTAATACTCGTATATTTTTATATCGCAGTTCAAAATATTTTAATTTTTATTTAAAACCAATTCATATTAAAATATTTCCAAAGGAATGCGTTCGGTTATACAGCCACATTGAAAACATTAGTAAACATGGAGCATTTGCAGATTTTTATGAGAAAACTAAACTAAATAATGTAGTTAAAGATATTGATGAAGATTTTGAAACACTGCTTCGAAATTCAAATTTTATAAATGTAAGTTTGTAAATATATACATATAGTAAGTATTTTATTTTTAAGCATGTTTTTTAAGTTAGGAGATCCAGAGGGTAAAATTGTTATTGGTACTATATTTCATATTGTTAATAATGACTTATACATAGATTTTGGCTGGAAGTTTCATTGTGTCTGTCCAAGACCTGTTAAAAATTTTAAGTAAGTCAATTTAATTGATCATATAGTTTGAAAGAGTACTTATAATTATCTAATTTTTCTTATAAATATTTTTAAAAATAATAAAAGGTTTTATAATAAAAGAAGTGACAAAAATTCTTTTATTTTATACTTTATAATATATAACTATTTTTATATAATTTTGTTATTTAGTGAATATGTAAGAGGTTCTCAGGTCAGATTAAAAATCAAAACCTTAGAATTAGCTACTAGATTTTTAGGTTCAGAGAAAGATTTAACTTTACTCGAAGCAGATGCGACACTTATTGGTCTATACAGAAAAAACAAAAAATAATAAAAATGTTTTATATTTTGAATATTTTGTACGTATTAGAAATTTAGTATTTTAGTAAGTTTATATATATTATTCTTAATTGTTTTTTTTTTTTGTAATTAAAATTTCATAAATACTATCAGCTATAAATAAATTTTAATTTGCTCATATTGCTTATTCATTAAAATACTACATTTAATGATAATAAATAATGTGTATTATTTAGTTTTTCTGAATTTTAGAGAAACTAAGCCACCAATTTGCACTTATGAAATTGAGCCATTATTTTTCTTTTTTCTCTCTTATATCCCAACTACTTGGGATAAAACCCTTATCCTTAACTTTCATTTGACATGATCTCCCACATTAACTACACACACATCAGGTGTCCTCATATTGTATTCAATAACATTCCACCATCTCTTTTTTAGTCTTCCTCTACCTCTTCTTCCTTCAACATTCATTTCCATAATTTTTTTAGAGCTTCCGATTCCTCTCTCCTCATAACATGACCAAACAATCTAAATCTATTTTCTCTTATCTTATCCACAATTGACACTACACTTATATTCCCTCTTATATGTTTGTTCTTTGTTCTATCTTCTCTAGTTGTTCCACTCATCCATCTAAGCATTCTCATCTCTACTACACTCATTCTCTACTCTATCTGTCAATCCATACTGTAAAAATACTGATCCATACATCATAGCTAGTCTCACTACAGTCTTTTAGAAATTACCTTTTAGCCTCATTGGAATTCTCTTATTGCATAACACACCAAACACATCTCTCCACTTCATTCACCCACATTGAATCTTGAATCAATACTTAAAACTTTCCACCTCTCCTATCATGTCTTCACTCATTGTCATTGATCTTCTCATTTCACCTATCTTGTGTTTTCCTTTGTCAAAGTCGTAATCTCTATATACTGTGCTTTTCTCCTACTTATTCTTAATTTTTTTTGAAGGGCTGATCTCCACAACTCTAACCTCTGATTAATTTTGTTCAAATTTCTTCATAGTAACACTATATTGTCCGCGAACATCATGAACCACGCTACCTCTCCTAGTTTTTCTCTAATAATTTTATCCATCACTATAGAAAATAAGTAAAGGTTTGAAACAGAATCTTGGTGCACTCCAACTCTTACCCTAAAATCTTACATTGCTCTACCCACACATTTTACCCTGGTACATGTTCCATCATACCTTATACATATCCTCTATTATAATAATGTACATTTTCGACACTTCTTTTCTCATTAATGCCCATTTCAAAACCTTTCTCAGTATTCTATCATCCGCTTTCTCTAAATATATAAATACTATATATAGCTTTTTCTTAATTTCCCTATACTTTTCTATTAGTTGTTTTACACAAAATAATGGCTCCATTGTTGATTTGCCAGATATAAATCCAAACTAGTTTTTAGATACCGATGTCTCATTTCTTATTCTCTTATATTTTTCCACATCTTTATACTATGACTCGTAAGCTTTATGCCTCTATAAATTTCATACTCTAATATACCTCATCTGCCTCTAAATATCGCCACTACAATATTATTCCTTTGTTCTTTTGGCATTTTCCCTTTTAATAAAATTTTATCAAAAAGATCCTTAAGCCAAAATATCGCTTAATATTTTCTATACTTCTACTGTCACTTCATTAGGTCCTACTGATTTATTCTTTTTTATTGATACAACAGACTCCCATACCTCTTTTTTGTCAATTAAATATAGCAGCTCCTCGTTCCATGAGATATCCTCTAATGTCTCTTGGATACTTCTCATTCAGTAATTTTTCAAAATACTCTTTCCATCTTTTTTCACATCATCATCGATCATTAGCACTCTCTTATTATCACTTGCTATACACTTTGCATAGTGATAATCTTATACTGTTATTCTTCTGTCGACTTCATTTTCACCTTCCTTTGTTCCTAGTCTATCATACAACTCGTATACCTTTTACCACACACTTGGCTTCTTCGCACAAAAGTTTATACTTCATCCAACTTCTCTCATTTTGCTCTTTTGACATACTTAGAACTGACATACTTTTTCTTACTCTATGATTTACTGAACGTCCTACCACCAGGTTTCTTTGTTTTTTGGCATTCTTTTACTTCCACCAACAATTTCCTTTACGGCATTCTTTAAACAACTAGCGAATCTACTCCACACATCATTTTTTTATATCTCGACATTCTACCGTTCCTTTATTTATCATTTTTAATAACTATTTTCCTTTTCCCCTTTTAATTTCCACCATCGGATCCTCGCTTTTCCTCATGTGTTCTTTCTGTTTTTATACATTTTCTTCCCACTACACCACAACTCTATTACAATCAGTATATGTTATGAGATTACACTCTAGTCTAAACGAGTGTAAATACTGCAGTTTTTACTTCTAGACTGAATAATGATCAGGAATTTATAAATTTAAAAGATAAACACCCTTTCTATTAAGCCGATATATTGGTATTGCATCAAAAAGTAAGGTAAGAACATAAAAACAGTTTTTATGGATTATAAGATAGCGGAAATAATTCCAAGAATTGAAACTCACATTAACAAACATTTACTTATCATATAATGATACTGTGTAACATTAAAAAAACAGTAAAATTGCCTATATTCGACCACTGAAAATGGGTCAGTACCCAGACACCAAACAATTCATCTAAGGAAGAATTTTTATATGGAAATAATAGTTTCATGATTCTTCACATATTAAAACATAACGTTGTGATATTTAGAAGAGGTGGGAAGTTTTAAGTATTTTGAATCAGTAGAGAGACCAGCTATGATTCATGGTTCAGAGTATTGGGCGGTTGACAAGAAAGTAGATCAGAGAATAAGTGTAGCAGAGATGAGAATGCTTAGATGGATGAATGGAGTGACTAGAGAAGATAGGATAACGAATGAACACATAAGAGGGAGTATAGGTGTAGATAAGATGAGTGAAAATAGACTTAGATGGTTTGGTCATGTTATAAGATGAGAGGAATTGGAAGCTGTAAGAAATGAACGATGAGAGAAGACGAAGAGGAAGACTAAAAAACCCAGCAGTGTGGGGTCGAGGCATGGCGGAGACGTTGTATAGTTGGGTCCAGGCACGTAGCCAGAAAATGTTTATTGGAGGGGCCAACAATTTTGGGCCCTTGTATCATTTTCCATAATTTGTTTACCATGAAAAGCTTGTGGGGGGGTCCATCCACTCCTTCTTAGACAGTACCCCATTCTATGAATCTTACAAGTTCAAAATTTGTGTTTATTTTTCGAGNACGCTTCGATGCAAATCTTTAGATAGTGTTTAATTTTAAAAAAATTGGTGTTTTATTCCAAAAGCTACTTGATCTGCTGGTTCCTTATTAATATCCTGATTAAGATAAAGTATGTCGAATGAAAAAGAGATTATTAAAAAATATTATTTCTCATGAAAAAATTGTGCTGATCCATACATTTTTCAAAAAGTTATAGCATTATAAAGTTAAAAATGTAAAATACAAAATCGAGAATTTTTACACAAAAATAGCATTCGGTAGCCATTTTCATCGTGAAGATAAAATTAACTCTGAAATTTTTTTAAATAAAATAGTACATTACGTTAGCTTTAATTTAAGATATAGATAAAAGTGTCAGACTTTCCGGAACATTTTAAAANTAATTTAAGATATATATAAAAGTGTCAGACTTTCCGGAACATTTTAAAAATTTAAGTGAAAAAAGTTAATTTTTTGTGAAAAAGTTGTCATTTTAAATCCCCCCCGTGGGCTTTATAAAAAAAATATATCAAATGAAAAGTAATGATATCATACATCTATATAAAAAATTTATAGCAATTTTTGAGGANTACGGGGAACGAGGGAAATTTTTTCAATTTTGAAGGGTAATGTCTTCGACTAGATACGATTTGTGATCTTTTGACGTATTACTGAAAGAAATGGGTTCAGTGAGAGCTGAGAAAAAGTGGTAACAGACACAAAAAAAAAATACATCATAGTAAAATTAATACCTTCTCAGCTTTNTTGTGTCTTGCACTTCGTCTGCACCTCATACCTAGGTGTTACTCTTATTCTCCCTTCCTATAACAACAGCCTTTCGACACCCACAGCTAACCCGGAGTGTCAGCCGAGCACGGTGACTACTGTACGACAACACGCACGTGAATACCTAGACAGCAGGCACCACCTCCTCATGTTCATCTTCGTACACATAGTTTCACATTTACCCATTTACCTAATATCATTTTCTTTCCTGTGTTACGACAGAGCACGCAAATAACAAATTAACAAAAACAAATAAATTACCTATTGTAACTACTAAATTATAAGAAAAGAAACAAATTAAAGATAAGATTTATCAAAAAATGTTTCATAGAGTATACTCTATCGAATTTTGTAATCAACTAGATTCTAATCAATGCAGATACTTGGTAGTTTGTTATCATTTGTTAGATCAGAGTTAAAAAAAATTTACCTACAACCACGTTTGGAGTAATTGCTATTCCATTTATTATTACGTCTAGAACGTTATCTTTTTCAAATAACGTTTTCTATGAATATAAAAATGAAAATACAGCCATNGTTACAAAAAAATTTGGAATATTATAGACTGGTAGTAGCACACACAAATAGAGTTAAAAAATTAATAAATTACAAAGTAAAATTATTTACTTTTGTAGTTGAATACTTTTATCATATCAAATCTAATTCGACAATGAATACTTTAAGAATATTAGATTATTAATGTTTTTATGGAAAAAGCTGGTTAAGCTACTTTTTATTTGAATAAGGAATATTTTTTGATTTTTAAGAGTAATAACTTAAACTAAATACGAATTGTAATCATTTGACGTATCGTTGAAAAAAGTAGGTCTAGTGAGGGTTGGCAAAATAAATCGTAGCCACAAAAAGAACCACATAATAAAACAATATTAACATGAATATAAATTTCTTCTCACGAGGGGAGACTATAGTGATAGGATCCTTTATATTTATTGAAGTTATTGAATCTAAATGAGATAAATATCAAATGATTTGAAAATTTTATTCTAACTCAAAAAAAATGCAAAATGTTAATTGCCAGAGACTGATATGAACCTCGTGAAAGCGTGAAAGACATAGGTGTTACCGATCCCGCAACTGTTCGTTGCTTTTGTCGCTTGATAAAATTGGCTATTTAAGCTTAGTTAAATTTATAAGTTACTTTTTCGANTAAAATATAATATATGAATAAATACTAATTATAATTATTAAATTTAGTATGAAAATAAAAAAGTAAAAAAAATTTAATAAGTTTAATTTCTTATGTCTTATGACCTTTATTCTATGTCAATTAAATTATATAATATTCATGAAAGTCAATATATTCTCCTAATAAGATATTTTAAAATAAAATAAAATACAAAACCTAGAATTTTAATAGAAAAATAGCATATTTTTGAATACGGTAGCCATTTGCGCATAGAAGATAGGTCGTCGGGACAAATTTTTTTTTTCATTTTATAGTACATAAAATAAGCCTTAATTTGATAAATGTTTAAAGGACGCAGTATTTCCGGAACACTTTTAAAAGTTAAGTTGAAAAAGTTAGTTTTTGTAAAAAAAGTTGCTATTTTAAATCCTCCCCAGTGAGCAGGTTAAGTGTTAAATTTTTAAAAAAAATGATATCAATTGAAACGGAAATATCTAAGGTTGAGTATAAAAAAAAATTATGTTGATTTGTTTATTTTTGAAAAAGTTATGGAAGTTTTAAGAAAAAAAAGTGAAAAAAATGACAAAATTTACCGATTATAAGTTTGTAATTTTTTTGGAGATTTCCCCCATTTGCCGGGAACGAGAGAAAATTTATCAATTTTTAAGGGTAATGTCTTCAACTAGATACGATTTGTGATCTTTTGACGTATTGTTGAAAGAAATCGGTCCAGTGAGAGCTAAGAAAAAGTAGAGACAGACAAAAAAAAAATAAACACATCATGGTAAAATTAATACCTTCTAAGCTTCGCATTGAAGCTAAAAGAGATGGTGGAATGTTATTGAATGCAATATGAGGACGCCTGATGTGTGTGTAGTTAATGTGGAAGATCATGTCAAATGAAAGTTAAGGATAAGGGTTTTATCCCAAGTAGTTGGGATAAAATTTTGCTATGATGTATGAATCAGAGATGGCGGAATGTTATTGAATGCGATATGAGAACGCATAATGTGTGCGTATATGTGTGGCGGACCTGTAAGGCTCGCCTGAGGAAATTTTAATATTTATTTGTTGTTCGGGTTACCGTCTGGATTTCCTAATGAGCTATCCGCACAGAGTCCTCCAAGATGTATATAGGAAATAGTGATTATTTATAAAGAAATAAATTTAACACTTACGATAGAAATACTGGTTATAAATAGTAATATATATTATATGAAAAATATCACGTTACAAGAGAAATATAACAATTAATATAAATGTGTATATAGATATAAAGTAAACTTTCATAATAACATTTCAAAATAAGAATATGCTTTACAATTATAATGTTAGTTCTATAATGGTAGACACTAGACACTAGACTGACTACTGCTGCAAAATAGTCATACAAAGAAAACAAGGGGACATCCGCATACGGATGTCCCTATCAATCATACATATATTTATATTCACAAGATAAATTATTTTATAAAGTGGTGGTAACACAACATATGATGTAAAAGATTGTGCCGAGTGGAAGTTTAGGATAAGAGTGCCGATCCTAAGAGGTTGTTATAAAGGAGAGGAAAAATAAGAAGATATGATCTAAAAAAACATTAAACAAAAAAAAATTAATTTCGACCCCAATTACATTAAAAATTTTAAATGTTTAATAGGTAATTTAACATCTAATCTTAATTTCTTTAATGTATTTAAATTTTAACTATTTCTTTCAAATAATAAGTTTTAACTATTTGTTATTATAATTATTTTAATGTTTTTCAATTTTTCATAATTAATAATTAATAAATTGTTTTTTGATATATTTAAAGAAACATTTCATGAACACTGATAAGGTATTCGATATCAGTTCATTTATTCCTTGATTAAGAGATACGAGAAAAATTAGGTTTTGATAACACCACAGACTAAGAATTTAATATATTTACATAATAAATGATAACACTTTTTCTTTTTAGATGAATTAAATTTAGTTAAATAATGTTTCAAATCAGCTTATACCAGATTTTCAAATATTGACATTTAATTAAGCACGATGAATTAATTTAGATATTAACATTTTAATTATTTAAGTTGTTTAATCTAGTATGTCTGAAGAAAACACAGTCTTAGAAGGATTTCTTTGTCCCATTTGTAAAGTTGACTACGGTTTAGATCTCAAACTATTTTTGCATTTTCAGGAAGCTCATGGTGAAGATCAGGATCTAGTAAAATCTTTTAAAGGTTTTCATTTATTTATAAATTCTTATAATATTTAATGTCAATACTTTTAATTGTAAGTATGCTTCATTAATTATATAGATTTATTTGGTAAAGCTAAAGAAAAAATTATGAAAAATGATATTATAAAAAAAGAAGAACGCAGAAATACATGGCTTCCCCAAGATATAGGTATGTTTGTTAATTATTTATAATATATATTTAGAAAATTGTGTTAGTTATAACTAACAACATATTACTTCAAGATCTGTGCTTGAATTTAGAGGGTGTTTTATCAAAAGAGAATATAATGCAAACTAAATATTATTTAGCGTTCCCTTATTCACATTCCTATTCTTTAGTTCAGTTAGTTTAATTAACAAAAACTAAAAATATAACCAACTTCTTCTTCTTCCTTGCCTTAATGCCAACTACTTAGGGTCAGCCATTAAACTAAAAGTTTAACCAAGATTTATTATTATTCTTTTTAGGAGAAACTAGATCCCATAACAATTATTTTAAAATTTGTCGAAATAAATGGGTTGAACATTTTGTAATGAAAACTAATAAAATAATTGTTAGACTTGAAAAACTACTGTCTAAATTGCCCACTGAACCTAATAAGCGGAAAAGTAAGATTTTCAAAATGTATATAAAAAATAATATTTTCTTTAAGATTATACAATATTTTTTGTTAAGTTAAGTAAGATTTGTTCCTTAAATTATAGTTCATGAACAATGTGTGGTACAATGGCTAGATGGAACAGATGTCAAACGTTGTCCAGAATGCACTAGATCATTTAACATTACACGACGGCAACATCATTGTAGATTATGTGGATCAATAATTTGTAATGAATGCAGTTGTTTTTTACCACTTTCAAAAGCTTGTTAGTAGTAAATTATTGATAATACAATTTTATAGAAATACTAAATTATGTATGAGATTGTATTTCATGTATAAGCAGAAAAATTTTCAAAGAAATATTTTACCTTTCAGAGCCAAATTTAGGTAAACAGCATAATATGTAATTTTTCTTCTTTTTATGAGAGGTATCATGTCAATAGCAGGTTTATTCCATCAAGCCTCCCCCTAATTATTATTTTTAATTTTTTGTAATACTTGGATATAATTCAAATTAAAATAAAATTTATTTATGATTTTTTAAAAATATATTATAAATGAATGTGTCAATAATATGGGATTGTAAAAGTATTAAATTAATTCCATTAGAAAAAACTGTTATATTTTTTAGATGAGGCAATTAATGAAGTTCCGAATGATTATACAATGAATCTTACTATTAGTTTTCGACTTTGTGTTCATTGTGGTCAAGTATTAGAAAACCGAGAACAAATTAAGTATCGTGACCAAAAACCTTCAATCTGTGATTATTATGAAAAAATTATGGAATGTCGTAGCAAAATAGAAAATGATCAACTTATTAAATTCTATCAGATTTATAATTTATTGCAGTAAGAATATACATTTTAAAATTAGCACTTTAATTTACTGATCTCTTTTTAGAGAAGGTGATACCTCAAAATTATCAGAAGCAAACATAATTAGAAGTAATATAGTGAAATTAGTTGAAACAATTGATGTCATCAGGTAATTGTAACAAACTTTAAAAATATCACTTGTTACCTTTATGTAAAATGTTGATAAATATTCCTAAAATAATAACAGCCTTGAATCATTTAATCACTTAAAATTCTAAATTATATAAGTTTTTTATATATCAGAATAAATATAATTTTATTATATGGTACTTGACACTGTGCAGTTTTATACTTAATTAATCCATGATGTTTTGACTAAAATTTTTGCTATCTATTATCACATGATTATTCTATAAGTAGAATGTTATTTTCTTCCTAATATCTTAAATATTTCAAACATAATAAAAAAATGTGTTAAGTTTAAAAGCTCTTTATTTAGTAAAACTGTTAAATACATTACTTCATTAGAGTTTGAATTCAAAACCTTTAACATAACTTCTGTAAGATATATTTTAACTACTTTAAATAATTTATAAAATTCTTAAAAAATATCAAGTATTAACTTTTTGCAATGTAAAACCTATATAAATATAATTAGTGATTGTATTTATAATTACATTAGTAATAGAATATTAAAATTGGATACTGATTCTCAATCTTCAAAAGTAACTTCTAAAAATATAAAGCTAGCTATGGTACAGTATATAAGAACTACAGTACTTTCGATTCCTGCTTTACCTTCTTTGCAACAAGTTGAAGAAATTGCAAAAAAAAAAAGGTGAATATTTATCATAAAATTAAATTAAGAATTTTTCTATGAATAAATCTTTTTAAAATTAATGGTTTGTGAATTAATGGATGGTTTGGTCACGTTATGAGGTGAGAGGAATCAAAAACTGTAAGGACTGTTATGGATATGAATGATGAGGGAAGAAGTAGAGGAAGACTAAAAAAGAGATGGTGAAATGTTATTGAATGCAATATGAGGATGCCTGGTGTGCGTATAGATGATGTGAAAGATCATATCAATTGTAGGTTAAGGAAAAGGGTTTATCCCAAGTAGTTGGGATATAGGAGAGGAAAAAAGAAGACGAAGTGATTAAAATATTGAATTTTTCTACTAAAATTTGTTTATTACAATTAAGATTAAGGTTAATACAATTACACAATTAGTTAATTTTAATGTATATATATATATATATAATTTATAATTTTTCAAATATACAAGGAGATCCGTTAATTATAATCCACTCAATTAATTGCATAATATTAATACCATATTAAAAAAAATTTGAATATTTTTAGTTACATATAAGATGTTCTGAATCCAGCTGATTAACCTTACTTTTTATTTATTTTAACATGCTATTATTATTATTAAAATTTGAACTTTTGAAAGAAAATTATTTCAAAAAAATTAAGTTAATGGACTATGCTTCAGAACACCTCAGGTATATTTTCAGTATATAACTTTTTGTTAGTTACATAAGTATTTCCATTTATTCTTATTATAATTTTTAATTATATCATTTATAACTTATAGAGATATCAACATTACGTTATTTATGGAAACACATAATATGTGTTATTTTAGGCTAGTTAAATATTATTTAACTAGCCTAAAAATAAGAAATAATCTAATTAAAAAAATGAATAGTCGAAAATAACTTTTGAACAAATACTTTGGATTTTATAGCATTTATATGCATTAATTGAAGGAAAAGTGCAATTCAATAATATCTAATGATAGAAATATTTATCCCTCTCCTCTCCTTCAGTCCAAGTTAAAATTGTAATAACTTGAAGTATTGGTTTTAAAATTGTTATTCTATTAGATAATTTTCTATTTTATAAGCTAGATAATTGTATATTGTCATTAAGAAAAATAAAGTTTATTTAAATAACTGACAAATCAACAATTTTTTTTTTATTGTATTTATTTTGCAATTAATTGAGTAAGCTAAGATAAACAAATTATTTTGTATATACTAATATATATTTAAATTTATCGCCAAATAGGTAAAGTACATATTTTATAATTTGTTTGTCACTTGTAGAGAAACTTCAGAATCTCAACTTCGAAATAGCCAAGAATTTTCACCAAGCAATTTAAAACTGAATTATAATTATCCACAACAAACATTAAAAAAAGTAATTTAAAATTTAATTTAATATACTCATTACTAAGCCACTCTGAAATTATATTTAGGTTAATAAAAATGTTTGTAAGGAAAAAATTATTTGTTTCAAATATTACAATAATGTGATAAAAAAAATGTTTTCTTTCTTTTATAGTTAAAAATTTTTAATTTAATTGTATTAAATAGGAACCTTTATTTTTAACTTGATAATATGACATAAAAAATAATTGCTAACAATTATGTTTTAGCTTCGATGCAAAGCTGAGAAGGTATTAATTTTACTATGAATTAATTAATTCATATGAAATAAATTTTCTTNAATCGTATCTAGTTGAAGACATTACCCTTAAAAATTGATAAATTTTCTCTCGTTCCCGGCAAATGGGGGAAATCTCCAAAAAAATTACAAACTTATAATCGGTAAATTTTGTCATTTTTTTCACTTTTTTTTCTTAAAACTTCCATAACTTTTTCAAAAATAAACAAATCAACATAATTTTTTTTTATACTCAACCTTAGATATTTCCGTTTCAATTGATATCATTTTTTTTAAAAATTTAACACTTAACCTGCTCACTGGGGAGGATTTAAAATAGCAACTTTTTTTACAAAAACTAATTTTTTCAACTTAACTTTTAAAAATGTTCCGGAAATATTGCGTCCTTTAAACATATATCAAATTAAAGCTTTTTTTATGTACTATAAAATGAAAAAAAAAATTTGTCCCGACGACCTATCTTCTATGCGCAAATGGCTACCGTATTCAAAAATATGCTATTTTTTTAACACGCTTATATTAGTTTCACCTGTATGTATGTATGTATGTATGTTTGTAACTCTCCAAACGCCACGCGTTATCGCATATTCCGTCGTCTAGACTAGACTGTCATAAGTAGTGATGGGCATAATCGAGATATATAATCGAGATATCTCGATTATTTTCATAATCGAGATATTTCGATTATTGAAATCATATCTATTATATAATCGAGATATTCTGATTTTTTAAATAATATTGATTATTCTATAATCGAGTGATTATTTCTAATGATTTCTCGTTTATTATAAAAACAATGATTTCTTGATCTTGAAATGTATATAATCGAATAAAAGTTATTTCGAATGATGTCCATGAAACGATGAAACGAGAGAATACTATTTTTAAGTTTTTATTTAGCATAAATTATAGTCGAATTATTATTAAATT